CCCTTCTTGAATTGTAAATAACTTTTTAAGTGAGACAATTCTCTCGCCTTCCCATTTTCCCAACTACATCCAGCTAAGTAACAGTTGAATACACAATTGTAAATACAATTGCAAGTGTAGTGTTATAGTTTTGCTTTGTATCTTGCAACACAGTTTTTGTAGCATAAACTTCACCTGAAATTTTCATCAGTAGCAAAAAATGTTCAATGACAGGACTTTGAGGTTTCAGGATCCCAAAACATATAAATTTCAGGTGAAAATTTACAGGGAAAACTTTGAGCACTCTCGATTTAGTAAACAAAGTCGGAAAAATTGCAGCATAGGAAACTCAATTTGACTTGGTTGAAAATGGCTTTGAACCTCTAATCTTACTGTCTTCGAGATTTCATTAGAACCTTGAAAAAATGACGTCACTCTTCTAGAATTTGAGCAAGAGAAACGCAAAACACATCACATTTGACAAGCAAGTTAGTCATTTGTATTATGTAACTATAACAACAACAACTACAGAGACTCTGCATTTACTAACGAATTATCCATATTCACACAACATAATGTTAAGTAAAACAAAGTGAATAACTGTTCTGCCAAATGTGTAATACCCAACAGCATTAAAAGCCAGAACGACGCATTCCTCTTATTAAGGTAAAAAAGAAGTAGATGCAAAACATAGTGGGATTGTTTTGTACTGAAGATCGATTTGGTGTTAGTATACACATCGCACTTTGACATAGTAAAGGGTGGAGGTCTTAACGGTTTGGGACATAAGGGTGGTCAGAGAAACCGGAACACATTATGGAGCAGGTTGGGCTCTAGAGAGGCTGCCAAACTCTTATGGTAGCTTGCCACAATTATGTAACCTTGATGTAATAGTACAGCCCCTCATCCCCCTCTGCCGGCTCCGGCGTACCTAGTGGTGGTTCTTAGGAGAGAATGTTTGCATTAAGAATCTTAGGGGACGGGATTCTAAGGGGTATGATTTTAGGGGTGGGCGGCTTAGGTATTGTGGGGGTCACAGAGGTAGGAGTCTCAGGGTAGCGCCTTTTGGATCTTTCAAAAAGTAATAAAATCTTTCAAAATTTAATGAAAATGTTTTTAGGCAAGTCTTCTGTTAGCGGAATCACAGCTTGAAAAGCAGCTTTCGTCTTACAAGCGTGCAAAATTCCAGCTCTATATATTTTTTAAGTTGTGTGCATGCGATGGCGTTATATTCAAATGTAATTGATTCACGATTGCTTATGTGATGTGTGTAGAAATAATAAAAACACTTAAAATAACAAAAATAGATGTAAGAAATCATACATCATTTTACTTCATCAATCTAATTACTTGAAATTTATCTCGTGACTTGGTTTAGAAACTAGCAATGGTTCATGTATTGCTAATTTTGACAGCAATTCTGAACAGCATTATAAACAGCAGAAATTAACAACGATGTATATGCATGTATAAATGTCTTTCAGAGAATGAGAAATTAACAAGGGTACCCGTGCGATCATGGAGTGAAAAATCATTAAATGACAATAACAACATATCCTGAGATCAAATATTTGAGATCTCACAATGGAAACTCAAATAGTTATTCTTTAGGAGGGGGCAAGTTGTGCCTGTTTTGAGAAAAAGAATCAGTAGGAGTTCTTACAGTTCATCCAGTCAGTTAAAAATATAATTATATATTGCATATAAAAAAATCAATGGTGACACGGACGTTATGTCTAGGGATGGTAGGCCTATTCTTAGTTTACAGCTGGATAAAGTCGTCTGAATGCTTCTTCTTTTTTCTCCAGGTTTTCATGACTTTCATTAGTCAATGCTAAGTGTCTTGGAAAGCCATATTTTCTTACTCTAATCTTCAAAATCGATACCCATCACCTATTAATGTGGTATGTTGCAGGGCGGGCGCGTCACGATACAAGGTAACTCCCAAAAGAAACTTCTAGAAATGAAGTTCTCAGACAGCAGTTATGCTACATTTTTCATCTAATTCTGACGACCTCGAGCTACTGTTGCTGTCAGATTCAGAGAGGGGCATTTCAGCGTCGCCTGCATCGTCTGCATCGTCTCTTAAACTCAATCGGCCGTTTCTATACGGCACTCTTCCTTTGAAAACTTGGTCTTCCATTTGAACGACAGCCAATGGGTAGAGTAGAAGAACTGTTGAAGCAATAAAAATTTGATGAGAACTAAATGAAGAGGAAATTTTCTTTGAACAACTTTTTAAATAGACCATGGGACATTTAAAGTTCACTATCCTGTGTTGCTGTTGAGATCTGTAAATTTGCGGAAATATAAGCCGTGATGCTACCAATAACAAGACGGTTAATTCAGCACTATGTTACAGCCTATTTTTGTAAACTGAATTTAACATAATTAGGCTTTTGTACACAAAACGACAAACCTGCAAAGAAATCCTCAGCCATGTTTCCTCCAATGGCAAATTTCTCTCTTACATTAATACGGACAGCAGCGAGGTATCCAATGAAGATAATGAAAATAGCCCAGGCAACATATGAGATTCCTTTGATGCGCAGCTCAACGACTAACAACACAATCCAGAGGTTGAAAAGCAGTCCCATGAATATAATGTAGCCTATTGCCTTTCCGTTGTACAGTTTTGCTGCTGTCTTACCCATATAGTACCAAGGAGCGATTATAGAAATTATCATTTTGCGGAGCCTCTCTAGACTGTCAATGTCAAAAATGCCCATGGTTAATTGGGATTCTTTAGGATCATAATCGCCAGCCTCCTCCTTGACAGCACGCCAAAGTGCAACACACAAGAAGTTCATGACAACGGTGTATGGCAAGCCTGATACTATGGCAGCAGTTTGCAAGGCATCCAATGCTTGCTTTCCGCCAGCTGTTAACAATGCTGTGGCACAAGCACCTTCGGTAAGAGCCCAGAAAATACGCTGAAGGATTGGTGGATCAGGGTTGCCGTTAGCAGAGAGGCAATCTATGACCAATGAACCACTGTCAGAGCTTGTCACAAAATACAAGACAATGCCTATGAGTGACAAGATTGATAAGAACCCACCCAAGTCACCATACTGGCCCATAACATCGAACCACATATCTTCTTTTGATCGGCAAGATAACCTGTAAAAAGAAAACTAAATATCACGTTTGATTGGATGTGACTGGGTATATCAACAACTAACATAAGAAACCACATATCAAGCCAAGCATATTACATGGAACTAGCAAAAGCTAGCACTTTTACGGTACTTTGTTAAATAATTTTGAGGATGTACCTGTCTTTCTTTAGCACCCAGATGTCTACGCCCAAAAATAATTGATAACAAATCTAAAATAAAGAGATGTGTCATACATTACCTATAAATTCCATTTAATCCCTCCGTAGCATTGGTACCTCCAAGAGTAGAAGAGCAGTTTATTCCCAATTTCGCAGCTGTCCTTTCCATCAAAATACCACTTCCACCGAAAATTGTTAACCAAAGAAATGTGTACAACATCGGAACAGTAAGCGTGTATGTGATGAATTCTTTAATGGTCCTTCCACGAGAAATTTTAGCAATGAACATTCCAACAAATGGTGACCAGGCAATCCACCAGCCCCAATAAAAGATGGTCCAACTGTCCATCCATTCGGGATTTTCTCTGCCATCAAGAGCGTTGCCAAGCTGAGCAAATGCATCAGTATGAAATCCAAGCTGTATGACATTTTGAAGATAATACCCGCAGCTTTGGGTGTAAAGGTTGAGGATATACCAAGTGTTGTCATGAAACAGCACAATAAGCATGATTAACATGCCTAGAAGCAAAAAGAATTCTTTCAGTTATCGATAAAGATATCAAATGAACAATGAAATATCAACAATTTAAAAAAATAATATATATTTGTATATAAACCTTCTGTGATTTAATGGATAGAAGTTAGTTCGTAAGAAAATAAACTGATGCTTGAAATAAACGACGCATATGCCAAGGGGAGCAGTGGCCCCCCTCCCTTGCAAATTCGTTTAACTATCATTTTGCCTTTTTGAAAGCCCTCTGTCCCTTTCCCTCTTCGAGTGCACGCTTCCCTGGTTGAGATTGGCAAAAATGTTATAGAAAACTAATAAATCCTAACGAAGACTACAGTGTTGACAACACAACCACTTTCTCACAAAGTTGACTCTTTTTTCGGTTTAAATCAAATGAATGCAAACATGCTTGCATCTCTGCTACATTGCTGGAATTTTGAAAGACTTGATACGTTGAATCAATCAATGTGACTCCTTAATACATAGCCTAAGAACATAAGAAAGCTGGAAAATAAAAAAAGGAATAGTACCAAAGAGTGTGGAAACTAGAAGGAAATGATCGTGGTTTTGAACAAAATTACAACCAATTTTGTGCTTAAATAGAGACATCAAAATGACATATTCTAGACCAGCAACTTTCAGATTCATGGTAAAACTAGTCAGTCAGAGGCCGTTTGTATCAAGCCAAAAGCAAGAAGACAACTAAAAGCAATTTAATACTGAATACAGTTTACATTAGTAATGCTTAATTTCTTGAAAAAGCAACAATAACCAAATAAAAAAAACTATTAAAACAACATTTGTAATACTCGGAAACGACACGGATATAACTAATGCTTTCTTATTAGGGTGTGATAAACAAAGCAAATTTTGGACAATAATATTGTTGACAAATTTTGCTTCGTTAAAAGCATCATCATACTTTCTCCCAATGACATTGGGGCGAAAGCGTTTATCAGAGTAATACAATTTAATAAACTTGCGCAACTGCAAAATTTGAAGCTAGCAAGGTAAAGCAGAAAGTGTGATTAAATGGTTTTCGTCAGACACTCTTCAGAAAATAAGAATGTCAGATAATGGCCAAAGGTAACAGAAATTCATATCTAGTCGCGATTTAAAAAGTACATGTGGGTATGCTTATGTTCTGCTGTTCCATGCTATCTTCAAACTGAAAAGGACTTGAAACTTTAATGACCCATCCTCGGGGCCTGCCGAGAGGGGGGCAGGGGGCAGATTACCCCGAGCTGACACAGCTCCCAAAAGTTTTGAAAAGTTCTTAACAATAACAAGAGCAATTACAATTTTCATGACGTCATAATGGGCTCTTTCTTTCTTTTTGCCCCAGGCCCCAGAAAATCTTTCGGCAGGCCTGCCTTCCACTAGTTGCAAGACAAAATAACTTTCATCCTTCACCAACTGTTCTGGTTACTAACACAATCACAGGACAATCAAAGACGGAAACATATCATTTGTCAACTAAAATGGTATTATACCACAAACGTTTACCTATCGTTGGAAACAGCTCAAAAGCGTCAAAGTTTTGCAGCTCGGTTGAAAGCTGTCTGCAAAGAGAAATTATTTGTATGCCATTTACTTTTATCAGAAGTTCCTTATTACTGTCTTATATTTGGTCAAATGCCATGATCAAATTGATCAACTCCAACATCATCACTTGGAAAGCAAATACAGAAAAAATATTTCCTTTTGTCCCCCAATTTTGATTTATATTTGTATTCCAGCTTAAAATAAGCTTCCATATAAATATATATGCAATCCAAAATATTTCTAAAATATCAATGTCATAGTTTTTTGCTAGGGCGTTTTTAGAAAACAGAGAGCTCTGAGTTGAATTTTGGACAAACAGGGCTTGATTGTTTCTCTAATTTGTATAAAATATGCAGACTGCTTATCGCGGACACTCACAGGGCGGAGCTTCAATGGCCAATTGCCAGTGTCGGCTCCACAGAGGTGCTGATGGTCTAATCTGCTACTTCACCTCCAACAGAACACCTGGGCGACACTAACCTCTGTAATGCAAAAAGACTTTTTGGCAAAGAATTTAACTAAAACACCGTTACTTAAGCAAGCTTGAAGAACATTGCAAACCATTTGTATCAGTGAGAATGAATGGCTTAAAGTCAGCCTATAATTCTTTAGATTTTTATTGTAAACATGTTTCAAGCTTAATACATTTACAAGGAAGTTTGCTTATGCACTTTAGTGTATGTTTGAGATAATTAATGTTTTACTACATTGTTGTAGCATCATTTTTTCAAATGTTGCAAGTTCTTCAAGACCACCTGGTGTTTTTACTTCAAGAGTTAGCAGATGATTGATCAATGAACAAATAACAATATTTACAATAAACCCCTTGAAGTAAACAGCATTACTGAAATTGGATTTATGACATCTCCACTTTTACCTAGGGACCTGCAACCACAAGTGTAACAAGGCTTTCAATGACAGCATATAGTGCTGAAATTCATAACAAATATGTAAAAGGGAACAAAATTGTGATTCTAATATTGATCAGAAAAGATTTGATCTGGTTCTCCCAGCATTATCTTGAAATTGGCATGCTTTTTGGGGCTTCCAGGGGAAAATTTTGTTTGGCAAATTCTAATGGAACAATTACTGGTCACAGTAGAACACAAAAGTAACTGATTGTAACCTCATTCCCTGATAAAGTTGACTCCTCTTATAGTCACTCCATTTTAAGTCACATTACCAGTTACAGTCAAAAAAATTTAGACCCAAAGATGCAAAACTATTCAATCTAGCTCCCCTTACAGTCATACTCTGTTTAAAATCATAAATTTTCAAGCAAAATTTGGTGTGACTATAATGGGAGTCTATGTGACTCTAACCAGAGTCTACTGTAAAAATTTCCCTAAAATGTCAATGTCATAAATCTTAAAAATTCAATAATGCTGAACTAACTCTACCATTGGCGAAATTACAATTGCTGTTAAGATATCTCTTTAATCTTTTATGGCAAATCCAGTTAAAAAGACATGTGCAAATAGTATTTTCTTTAAAAAATAAGATTACTTTGCCTGTCACAAAAGTAAAGGTGAATTTGCAACTTCTACTTAACCAGATTTGCTTACTACTTTCTTTAGCCGAAACAACATGAAAATGTACTGGCAAACTCACCTACTGCAAAACATATTTCGCTTAGACGTCTTATACCAAGCTTTACACCACTGACAACAGAGAATGTTGCCACAGCTGTTACACCCCAGATAATGATGATCTGGTTGTGAACAGACACATCTATATTGCGATTTATCCGATTTATTCCTGTATTGAGTTGAATGACACCAAGACCAAGACTTGTGCAAACACCAAACATGGTGGCAACAACAGACAAGATATCAATGCAGTCCCCAAGGAAACCAAAAACTTTGTCACCAAGAAGTGGTTGAAAGCATGATCTCATTGTCATTGGCAGATCTTTGCGGTATGCAAGGAAAGAAAGCAGAAGTGCAACAATTGTGTAAACAATCCATGCATGAAGGCCCCAATGGAAGTATGTGAGGTTAATAGCATCTTGACTGCGTTGATTGTCATTCCCCCTAAGAAAAATATCAACAAAAATAATCACCAAAGATTAAATAAGCATTGCAAACAAGAAATTTGCTTAAGTCAAAGAAAAGTACAAAACTAAACAGCTTAGGGAAAACAGGCATATAAGGCAGTGAATTTTCGAAAGTTTTTGAAAGGTTAGGGGCTTTGGGCTTCCAAAAAGTCATGAAATGAACAGAAATGGGAAATAACAGATCACCTAAAGGTCATTCGATGATCAGACACCGGAGGTTTACTAAAAAATGGGTTATTTTTAAACGCAATTATGTTTAAGATAAAATGCCTATTCTGCTGTAGTAAATGAATGCCTCTTAGTTTGAGGCACATGATTGCAGGCCTGAGCCTCGTTGCTTGCCTAGACGAAACAAGGTGCACATTTTTCACCACCTGCTTTTCAAAAATTAGCGACATTGAGCACCACTGCCTTTTCCATTTTGTAAGGATTACTTTTTGTCACTTGAGATAAAGATTCCTGCTGTTGTGACTCATATAATCAAATAATCATACAATCATACAAATTGCAGGGCTTCTAAAAGACTGAACACTTCCCAAACACCCCAATAACACCCTTTACAGTTGTAATACATCATTGTAGCTAGAATGTAAGTAACTAACTCAATTCATGCTTCTAGTTTTGCTGAATACAAAATGAGATGTTTAGGGAGAGCAGGGGGAGCTAGAAGGATTGATGTCTCAGGGGGGGGTACCTTAACATGTTTGAAGGCACGGTAATGTACTATTATTTAAGGGTATCTTTTTTCTGAAAAAAGCGGAATTATCGGTATCAGTTTTTTAAATATGTGCAGAACTCTGGGTACCATTTGAAGAAACATGAAGAATTGTGGGTACCATTTTGGGAAAGTATTGCAAAATTATTGAAAGGGAGATTTGACATTAACAAAGTGAATGTCCAGTTAGAAATGAACATATGAAATATTTGTAATATTGAGATTTTGGGGCAAAGGACATGCAAAATTTGTTTGATGATTTTGCAGGGCCCGTGCCACTGGGGGGACCGGGGTGGCCATGCCCCTCCCACTTTTTTGCGAAGCAAGTAGTATTAAAGCTGCAATAAAAGGGGTAAGAAGCCTTGGCCCCATACATTTTTAGTCAAATTTTTTAACCAAATTAGCACGTCCCCGTCCAAAATTAGGCTTATTAAAAAACCGTGTCGTACGATAAGTGGTACTGGATGGTTTTTTACAGCCGTGCTGAAGTCGCGCCGTTCCATGCGGAATCTCCACCAGCGCATGCGCAACATATCAATGGCTAAAAGGATATACATAAAGTCACTCTGTTAACTCTAAAAAACCTTCTTAAATCTTTCAACTGAGTTATTGGTCCACAAATTTGCTTGTGTTTCCGAGCAAACAGCGACTTTATTACTTCATTCAATTGAGTACAAAATGGCGATTATCAAACATAACAAGACTTTCCTCTGCGTTTTTGTTTCGATAGAATATTCACAGCTCTCGCAGTAGAACGGTGGCGGTCATCGTCAACAGCTATGTGCTGTGTCTACGTTATGATGCGCTTGTAAGGTTCGGCACGGCACGGCTCGACGTAAAAAACGGCCCTAACTAAACTGTTTTAAGATGTTGAGTGTCAGAGTATTACATGGGGAGCAATGCCCCTCACTTTTTGAGAAACAAAAGATTATGAGTCACAATCGTTAATTTGCCCTTGGCCCCCTACTTTCAATCTTTCGTCGGGGCGCCTGTGTTTGTTAGCAAAAACTGATTCTTTTTTCTTTCATAACATCCATTTCTCCCGAGGTAGGTACATCCGACCTTGTATAAAAAAATTGAACAGTTAAGAGGACCACGAGGGATTGGTCGACAACTATCCCCATCCATTACAGATAAACAATTTTTTTGCTATATTTCTTTATGGGGCATTCAAGACAAAATTGATTTTAGATAATCAGAAATTCAACCGCGCCCGCAAAGGGGTCTGGATGACAATGGCTCTTTAAGCATCAATTATTGATGGATTCAAATGAAACAATGCATTCAGAGCAGAAAGGGCTTTGAAAACTTGATTGCGTAATTCATTAATCTTTAATATGCACTCCTGGGAAAATTTATGTAAAATTACTGACAGGCTGGGGACCGGGTCACCTGTTCTACTTCACACTTCAGTGCAAGACGCCTTTCTTCGATAGAAACAATGAATAAGCAATATCAAATGGAGATTCTGATGCGGGATTCAAATGTGATCTTGCTCATGCTCAGCGAAGAAATACGTTAAATTATCCGATTAGCTTTCTGTTTCGCTTTCCAAACCTGTCGGTGAAAAAACGCGCCTTTAGCGACAAGGCGACTTTTTTATACGTTAATACGATTTTTGAAGGAAGTTGAGCTGTTTTATACAACATACAACTAGACTACTTTTCGATGTGTACTCGAAGACGTCGCACGACAGATTCGTCAAGCTAAGAAAACCGCTAGCCTGCCAACAGACTCGGCACTTGGCTGTGAAACTCTGCAAGTTTTTAACTTGTAATTGGATTATCATCAACATAAACACCAGAGAGGCCCTATAATGAGTGTTTGAAATATGAAAAAATTGAGATCTTCGGAATGAAAATATAAATATTTAGGTTTTTAAGTCTTGAAATATGAAAGAACTTTGGTTCCCAGTATGAAATATGAAATTACAAAATAACTGAATACCTCTTTAAATGTTGCGTGAGCATTATCTGATTGTTAGGGCTCTTGGCGGTTTTTTAGAGCCAAACAAGATGTCATAAAATTCAAGTTCAAAAATCCTTCAAGTTCATTGTCTTTTCCAGGCATGTCTATAACTGGCCCTTTCAGGTTGTACCCTCCACGCAAAAGACTTAAGACTATCAGTTTTTTGGTAGATGTATGTTTTTCGAGTTTCTTTTTTAGTTGTTCCCAAAAAATAGCCCCTTACTTAACCATCCTTCTCCTCCAGTATTGAGACCATGGCGCACCCAAGATGATCGCCGTGGGCGATCACAAAAACTATATAATTTCGCTATAAAACTTGAAAAAATGATAGTTCTAGCTCGTCTGGTATTTCCGGATGATTTTTGCACACCTGCAATTTAGGCTGTTGGTGTCCCTAAGTAAGCAAAGGCACGCCATACTCTGGCTTCTCTCTGCATGGATATTAGTTCAATTGGGACCAGATGCATTTGATGGGGACTCGTTATTGCTATTGAGACATTGGTAGCGTCGCTAAAATTTTTTTTGAAACCACGCCCCTTAGATTACATTTTAGAGTAGTTCTTGCAGTCATTTTCTTGCAACGATTTTGTAAAAGATTTCAGGATATATTTTGACATGTATGCAAAATGGCGTCTGAAAACATGGACAAGTATGGGCATGAAACTTAAATGTGCGAAAAAGAACTATTCTTTCAATTGCTTATAACTTTCTACGTTTTATTTATTTAGATACACTTTTCTTATGTTTAATTGATTCCATTCTCACAAAATGGAATTCATTACGGTATATGGCATTCTAGAATTTAAGGCCCTGGGGCAAAACCTTTTAATTAGGTCACCCCCGAAATTGGGTCACAAAAAGGATTCGTTGCATTATGTATTCTTTTCTTCTTCCTCTTTTCTTTATTTTTTTCTTTATTTGTTAAAAACCTTTTTGGGGCTCCATAAGCGCCGCCAATGATTCACACACGAACTGGTATAGCGCCTGCAACTCTCAGCAGCTAAATTAAAATATCAAAACATATGAAATCCTCTATGGAGATACGGTTAGCAGTCACCTGGGATGTAGACATTTTTCTTGCCCTAAGCGGATATTCACCCTGCAGCGTTATAGCAGGGCTGGTTAACATAAACCGCGCGTCAACCACGGATAAGAGGCGCACGCAGCGTGCAGCGCAAAATCCTCTTGGCTAGACATGTTGTGAAGTATTGACCGCCTCTCTGTATTTGAGAAACACGACTGAATTAGGTCTCATTTTGTTTTATCGATTAAAGCGGGCGTTAGCCATGCGAAAAACTTTGTTTGTGTTTGTTGAAAGGATGCTAAATAGTTTGAAAAGAAATTGACGTATGCATACCAGTTTTTGCGCGCATCAGTTATTCCAATTAGCTTTCAAAATCGTCATGCCAGCAAATCCAATTCTATTCTTTTGGACAATCAATTTAGCATTAAACAAACGAAGTCTGGCGTGCCTTTCCAATACCAAATGTGGTATTTCATTTGCATTCCTGAATAGACCCATTTTCGATAATGACAATTGATTTCAAAGGAGACGGCTGTGCAAAATGTGTCCTACGGATTGACTTGATTAAAATTATGAGTTTTGTGTAAATTCGCTAAATGAATTTTTGTTGTGAAATAAAGATAGAAAACATGTGCAACTTAAATCGCTATATTTTTCAAGCTGAAACTTAACTGCTTGCCACCAGTCGTTAACTAATACGTCGTATAAAAATCAGCTAGCCTTTTTCTGTACTTGCATTTTTGTTGACGATAAAGGGTGGTGAAAATCCTAATAGAAAGGGGGCTTATATCAGAATCTTGTATTTAGAATCAACTTTGAGAAGTATTTACATTGAGGCGCCGTCGGGCTACAAAGAAAGTTCCTGGGATGAATCGTGTTGAATCGATGACAAGTCAATTCAACTTGGTCACGCATACGTTTCGAAAATGATAGATTGGAAGTTTACCTGCCCCAAAATCTGTTTCCATTCGGACCTGGTTCGTAATGAAAAATTGGCTCAGCAACACCGAAGTAGAACAGTCCAATGCCAACACCAGCGGCAAACAACATCGTGAAATATGTCGCATCGTTGTATTCTGGTTTCTCATCATCTTTTCCAAGTTTCAAACTGGAATATTTTGAAAAATACAGTATTAGAACAAACACAATCCAGATATTCTGTGTACCAATGTAAAACCAAGTCCAAGTTTTAGTTATCCAGTCCTTCCAAATAGACATCTGTTTCTTCGAAGATTCTGGGTAACTTATGCACCATACAACCATCGACCATATTATAACAGCAGACAGCAAAGTCACTACGGGATTGAAATTGTAACGCAGACAACCAATTTGTCCTTCGACGGTGCAACATTTTGATTTGGCCGATTTTGCTTCTGTCTTCCCCTTTTTTACATCGTTTACGACAACTGTTGTTGTCATCTTTTCTTACAGTAGTTAAACGAAAACTGGGAATGTTAATAGGGCACTGCAGTCTCAGCGAATTGGAAAACAGGTTTTTCCACAGGTGCTTTCAAACTTCTTCTCAAAGAAATTCAAGAATGTTCTTCAGCAAGCATGTGTTTGTCTTGACCTGTACGTGATCTCCCGATCTCTCAGAGCTAGCTCTATTTATACGATCCCGAGTGTAATTCTACCTGCAGAGAAATATTACTTTAATCCTTCATTCCGACCCTTGACATAGAGTTGTTTCTTGGGATTATTTTTTAGAGTAATATTCACGAGAGGTCATACAACGGACCCTCTACTTCTTTCAATGTGATGAACTAGCTACCTCTCGCCTACAAGGTAATTCATTCATTTATAATTTCATTGAGGAAATGGTTGCAGGTATAACGATGCAGGCAATCCGGGTGTTTAGCAAGTTAAGTTATAGAGTACCTCTGCTGCAAGATTACTATGATTAAGCAGGCCTTTAAAGATTTGAGCCTGTCAAAATTCTACGAAAAGTATCGTTTTAGTTCTTTTTTACATTTTTTAAAAGTTAGATTTTATAAATTTCTCGAAATTGGCTCCAAATAACCTAGAAAATTGACTCACACCAACCCCCTTTCACGATTAGCCTGCGAATAAACGGGATTTTTACTCGACGAGGCCATGTGTTCTGGGAAAAGTACTAGCCTCGGTTGAAACGACCACGTGATATAAACGTAATGTAAATCGTTGAGCACGTGGAATTCGGAAATAAAACAATCGCCTTAAAGGGGAGCACCAGGACTTGCTCGGCCTTTTGGACATGTTCGAACAAAAAAAATTGCGCGAAGATGTTTAGATTTGGCACGCTTGGCTTTCGTATCTTTAGAATAATTATAATTTTCTATCTTATCAAAATATTAATATGCCGATTGTATCAACACGCGTTTTTCAGTCAAACCGCAATACAATAAATCCTCTGGTCAGTGATAAGAAGCTTCTAATAAATTGCAGCGCAGATATGATAATATTGCAGCGGAGAAAGGAAGATGACAATATTACAACTTTGCTAGGATATTTTTGCTGTTGAAGATTTCTCCTGTTACAGAGCAGTTGTGGGAAAATATACAGTATTTATAGGATAATAACCTTTCAATAAAATCATGTTAAGCGAAGAAAAATAAGTCACACAAACAACTGGAAAGTGTTGTAATTATCAAGATACTTCAGTTTTTTGCAAACAGAAAATTTTCAGTAAAGTCCTTTTCCCTCAAGTTTTTTTCCTTATTTTCAAACACACAAGGACGCCTTGAGCCCTAAGCAAAAAGTAGTCACGGATAATAAAAATTACAGGAAAATTGGGTAAAGCTAGCGTCAGAGTCAGAGGAAAAAGTTTGGGATTTGGAGAGATATTTTGAAATAGAGAGCTTTTCTAGAGTAATATTATTAAATTATTTACCTTATAATCTCTTCATATATCACGGGTACGCAAGAGTTCTTCTTTTCTCTGGTCTTGCCTTCTTCCTTTTCTTTTGTCTCGGGACAACGATAGTGTCTCAAAAATTAACGATATCCTTGTGTAAATTGAAACCCTGATACCCACCCTTTTTAAGTTTTTCAGCCGACTCGAACAGTTAGGGGTTGTAAATCAGTTCTTTAATCTATCCTAGCATACTTTATAATTTTACTGGATGCATTTTGTAAAGAATTTCTGAGGAATTTAAGCGAAAATTGCTATGAGATCGCTGTGTAATCAACGTATTATAATAGGCCATCAAATTTTGGTTGGAAATAAATGTTTTGGGAACTGTAGAGGGAACTGAAAATCTAGGCCTTTGAACACTTAAAAAGCATTTCAGTCAGTCATCAAGCACACGACACTGAGAATTAAATAAAGGAAATGTAAGCAAATTTTATTGAAGAAAGTGGGTAATTATTCAAAACAGGGCGCTATTTTTGCTTCTAGCTTGTGGTGGGAAGAGGAGGATTATCTAAAAGGGATTTTCTTCAAGGTTCATAGATGCCTTTTAATGGAGAAATTTTTTTTTCAAATACTCAGCAGATTAAAACACGCAAACACGAACAGAATGTGTATTTCTATCCACATGTTCGTATAAAATAGTTCTATTAATTCCAACAACCAAAATAATTTTTTTGCTGGCTTCAATTTCTTTAGTAGATTCTGTTTCAATTTCTCCTTATGATTCAATTTGCGTTAATTTTCTTTAGGGAAGCTATAGGATGAATGGCAAACATTTACAAACAACATTAGAAATTTCCATGCAGTTCTAGCCTATTTCGACAGAGAAGCGAACGTTCAATTTTATCGTTTGCCATTTATGTTATAATTTCAAATATTATATTTAACATTATAAGTTTTATTGTTCATTTTATATATAGTAATTACATATTTCGTCAAAAGCTGCAAACCAAATTTGGAACGCTGCAAAAAAATAAAATAAAAATTGAGGGGAAACTGTTCACTGCTTCCACTCTCACTCTGCAGATAACAAAGGAATTTCTTTATCAAGTATGAACAAGTTAACTAGGGTTGACCCGCGAGGAAGTAAATACACAACATGATAAAGTATACAAGTCTGGGGTGGATCAAGACACCTAAACAAAAGTTTGTTGAAAAATCAATTTTTAATAACAAAAACAGCCTATCGTTTTACATTTGCAAGTGCTTACAAAATTATGGTACTACACTTTTCATGACATTGATGTCCTTAATTTGATAATTGGCAAAATAAATCACATAGTAAGAGGAAAGGATATAGCAGTGATTTATCTCTAGGAATGGTCTATGGGAAGAGAGCAATAGGAAGACAAAAAGTTACAACAAGGTAAAGATAAAGCGTCAACAACAAAGAAATTGCTGGTGGAAGAGATATGGTACGGTTATATAGATTGGCACAGGATAAATGAAACTGGAGAGCCACGACGGTTTATTCTGAACCTTCCTTTAGAAGATGATGATGATGATAATAAATCATAATTACTTCAATATAAATAGGTGTAGAGTTTGTATGAAAATTGGTTTATGAATGGAAAAGTATTCTAGACCTTAATTGGCACATCTCTGTTGCATGGCTTATTCAAATAACCAGTATATGTCAAAGAGGCTAAAAATTTATACAAGACAACACGACAAAAGGTGCGAGCAGCACGAGTCAAATATCTAATAAACGAAAATTGAAAGTTTTCATTTGTATCTCAAACACAGCTAGAATATTAAAATAAAATAAAAAACCAAGCAGGTAGCCAGAGGAAACAAAGCATTTCATTGAGAAATGTTGGTTTTAGAAATCTTCAATTTGCTGTTAACCTTCACGTCCACGAAAATTGTAAGTTTTCATTTTTATTTCAAACACAACACAGCTACATTAACCAAACATAATAAAAAGGTAGCCTGAGGAGTTCACTTCAAGACGGTTGATGTTCTTTACCCTCGCTGCAACTATGCAGAATACAAGCTCAATTCACGTACCACTTTACAAGTGCACAAATGCCGGGGTATTTATTCCTCCATATCTTCTCTCCTGCTTTCAAACCAATCTCATATTTAACTGTGGAAAAAAATTCTAAACTGTAAGTTAATAAAAGTTTTATCTCAAAAATAATAGTCTCAAAAATAATATTAAGTGTATTGATCGATCTGAAATGAAAGATGAACTCCATGAATTAAAATACACTAGATATGTTTATGAAAGTATATATTTCCAGATGGTGTCAAATACTAACAGTATTTCAAGGTACAACGGATCCGATCCGAGAATAGGATCTGGAGCATACTTCTAAACATGCAAACACAGAGGGGAACTTCGAACTGAACATCAAAAGGATCCAACATTTGTTTCTTTTCTGTGCAAATCTATCTCTGCTTGAAATACAATGTTTCATAATAAACTGCTAAACCATATTCACGACTGATCAAAGTCTAAAAAATGCAAACTATGCCTTGCTTCATACAAGTTTTGCAATTACATAATAGCTTTTTTCATCAACAGAAGTGTTATTCGTTTACTTTCAATAAACAGTACATATTATATTAATTTGAGACGCGGCTTTGTGTTGATCCGTTCGGGATCTAACTGCCGTGTCTGATTTTCGCCCTCTCTTGCCAAATCTCGAAATGATCAAATGGCTTTTCCAATAAACTGATATATCTCTAGTTTAATCTCGACGGTCTGAGATGTGCCTTAGCAAACTGAATATTAGGTTTAATCCGGGTTTTGTTTATTCTAACCAATCACTTTCCTTCAGGCATGCCAAGTTCAGCAATCACTTTCCTTCAATTCAAGCAAAAATTTGCATGAATGCATGAAAAGACTAGAAATGTGATGAATGTTAAATGGGATAAATGGGGTATTTAGAAGTCACCATTAATAAACAAGATGTGACGAGTTTCAGGGTATGTTGTACGAATCAAAATGCCTTGGTATGAAACAATTTCCATGCCATTTGAAAAAAGGTTGCATATAAATAAAATGTAAAAACTAAAGATCATACTTGCCGTGCCATGGATTTATATCATAATGACTATCAAAATGACAATAAAAATAGCCTTCTACTGAAGCTCTAACTACTTGTACATTAATATATTATTTATCTTACAAACATTTACTTTAGGAAAAGCTCACGGTTTAAATACTATTTCCATGTCTTAAAAAGTGTACACTCGCGTCGCTAACGTATTCCTCACGATGAAATTAAACGGGTTAAAAACTATTTTTACAAATTGCAATTATATCAGTGTAAGTATTAACTGTATCAAAATTTCTGAAGAGTTTTTCGGAAATTTTCTTTAATGACTTTGCAACCGAGATTGTAATTCTGCAGAAAGCAATTCTGCGGAAAGGCACCCTGACATACCCAATTACATTTTTTGATTCCGTTTTCGCATTTTTCTATAATATTCTAAATTTCTAAAGAAGTTCTCGACTTTACACAAGTAAAGATTGGTTTACCAAGATTATAGAATCCCAAAAGCACAACAGAAAAATTTCTAGTGCCTTTGAAAACTAAGGAAACGGGTGTGCAATGCATGCTTTTCCGTTTTTGCCTCAGGCTAGCATGCTATGTTTCCGCGATATCGTGCCATTTTTTAAGTTTCCTTGTTTGTCTGATTAGCGGCGTTTGGAGACACTCTTTCCTAGTCTCTATTGATGTCCATACAACAGAGAAAAGAATCAACTTGGCAATATTTTTTCTTAAATGCTTCGGTAATCTTCCTTAACACAATGGACAGATTACTGTAATAGAAATATTACTGCTTCACCAGTAAACATTTTAGCCGGTTTTACCTACGACACTCTTCCAGGCAACTAACTACCCATCGATTGATTTGAATGATTAACACCTATGGCGTGGTCAAATAACAACAATGGTCTTTGATGCAAAACGATGCATGATGTTAGTATCAAAATATTGACCTGCAATAACTAAGGATAAATTAAACAAATACAACCGAGGCGAGTCATTTGTTGAATTCATCTTTGCGCGCTAACGGTGAATATGCAATTGCACCTTTTCGTTTGCGATGACGCTTTTCGGAGCGGTGACGCTTTAGTCCAAGAGTATTAGATTCGTCACTATCATCGAATTTAGTTCGAACGCCACTGAATGAACGAGAGGATGCCCTTATCTTCTCTTCGGCTGTAAGAGTATGGTCGCTATGTCCATTAGAAGAGCCGTTGTGGTGGTCACTAGAAGTGCCATGCCGTTTAAAAGTTGATTCATCTAAAGCACGCGAGAAACCATTGAACGACCTTGATGAGGATCGACTGGAGTCATCAAAAGAGCGCCTTATTCCACTCGGAGAACTGTTGGTAGAGCGTGCACCATTAAGCGACCGCGTTGATCCACTTCCATGTCGAAATATAAAGCCTGTAAATTGCTGTTTGCTTTCCGTTAATTCAAGAGTAACTGTCACTTGTTCTCCGTCCAGCAGATTTTTCAATTCATTTAAGGGTATTTTTATTTCTCCATCAACGGCCAGCCTTGAAAAAGGATCATAACGAAGAAGAAACAAAATAAAGAAGTGTACATTAACATCACTTTGCTCCAAAGAGAAGTCAACAGGCCTTTTTAAACAGCCTCTTAGCGGCCGACGATACCCAGGAGGCCTGTAAGTTCGGTGTTTATAAGGCGAGACCTGCATGTCTGTGTAAGCTTCCGATGAGCCACTCTTGACTTTTGGAAGATTAGAAGCTTCAAGCAATGTAACAACAAGCTTCATTCTAGAAAAGCAAAAGGTAAAACCATTTAAACCACACCTACAGAATAATTAGAAAGACATGCAACAGCCTGTTGACAAACTCTCCTTTCTATCTTTCCTTAGGAATTTTCTACATTGAAGTTAAGGTGTAGCTTTTCTAGGAAATCAATGGCAATCCACTGAAGAAAAGATTTAGAGGAAACAAGCCCATTTCAAGGAAAAAGCCTAGAAAATTTCATTCTAGGAAAAAGCTTGGAAAACGGGAAAATCTAAACAGCTCAAAAACAGACAGTTGCATTTTTAAGGGAGAGCAGATCACACACAGTTTTGTTCGAAATTGGCCTATATGACTGTTCATTGGTAGTATTTCCATAGGCAAGCGGCACTGGTTGGGCAACCGTAACATGCACGTGCTTGCGCTTCTGATTTGCATATTTCGATTCACAACCGAGCAGATATACATCCTAGCTTAACAATTTCCAATAATTTTGCTGATGTCGTATACTCTGACGAGTGTTTACATTGCTAAGCCATATTTAAATATCACTACAAAAACAACAACAAAATTTGCATTCTATTAACTACTTGAAAAGTTCATGAAAACATTTCAAATGAGTGCTTGTGCTTAATGCGCCTAGACGCTTTTATGGTATTGGTACTAGCTTCTAATATCACAAATAAACTTTTCATGAAGTTATGATAAAATAAAAATGGGAACCAGAAAACTGCTTTGTGCTTCCCAGGCCCACATAAATTTTATCCGAAATGTATCATTCAATGATGAGCAAGTAGCTGGCAGCATTCCTCTTAAACTTTCATTTCTGTGAGTGGCGATGATTTTCAGGAAAAAATGCGTAGGCATTTAAAGAAAGAAAATATTTTTGAATCTTATCGAGAAAAGATTTGTCTAATCGATAAAACAATATTCAATAGAACTGCACAACAAATTGTAGAAATAACGAATATCTTGGCCCATTAAGGTATTAATCCCTACCCTCATAAATAGTAATGTAGTTATATCCCAATCTCAAATTACTAAAAATTTGCCCCAAAACAGTTGCCAAGAAATGAAATATTACTTAGTGCCTGATAGTGGCTAACTATCTAGAAAAAACCTTATTCCAGGAAGTGGGCTTGCTAGGTGCACCAGCCCTTGTACTGCCTGGAGAATACCGATTTCTAAGGTCGGTGTCACCACTGGGAACATTTTCCCGACTGATGCACCTACCCATAAGACGAAAAGGTCTTCTGGAAAAGAATGATAGCCAGCTTGGAAGAATTAACAGACAAAGAAAAAGAGGCGGATGGGAGGGACTTAAAAGATTGAACATTGCTCCAGTGGCAAACAACCGTTTGCAGCATGCATAGACCTTGCAAAGGGGGCGTAGTACTCATGCATCCCTTATAAACCTACAAATGTCCCGGATGTCCTAGGTTAGCCTGCACGTGACAGAAAGTGAAAGCGAGGTTGAATGATAGCATCAAGGGGGTTATTAACTCTGTTTAAAATAGGGTTCTAAACAACATTTATGGTCTAACCCATAGATTACGTTAATTCAGAACAATAATTTCAGGAACGTAAATTTGGAAATCAAAACTTACTCTTCGGAAATATACTCAAATAAGACGGTAAAAGAACATTTTTCCTTCACTCCATTTTTGGATTTGAGGTCTTCTGCCACGGACAATATAGGGCCAAGCATCGACTACGGAAAAGAAAATATTTCTCTATTGCAAAAGTCACAAAGGAAAGAGTCACAAGATTCAAAAACTGCTAGTCTACAACAGTAAAAACAATTCATAATAATTAGCTACGTAGTCCTAGTTATTCTAAATCTCAGAATTGATTGGCAGTTGATGTCCGGCCTTTATTGGCCGGCCTATACATTGCTGTAAAGGCATTGAATTTAAGCAACTTCGGGTTTTTTTCTCATTTCTTTCACGGGGTTTAAAAGAACTAGGCATTATTTGCTTAAATACCCTTGGTAAATTTGCTCTCTTTTTTCAAAATGTGCATATAGGCTAGTATTTTGATTGAAAGACAAATAATAACATAAACTCTAGAATCAAACCTGCGCTAAGGACGTCTTACATAATACTGCGTCTTTCCTATGCTTTAATCTTTGACAGCAAAACGTTTTTATGGTCTTTTCTTCTTTGTTTTTAGATTATTTGTTACGACTTGCTAAGAACAATATTATTCGTTCTCTTCAGGCAAACGAAAATACAAAACATTAAATCTAAAGCAATGTTTTCTAACGTCGCCAAGTCTCTCGAACATGTTACGTACTTTAGAGGTCTCTATGAAAAAATGTCAGTTGTCAACTAATAAATGAAATATTCAAAGATATTCTTTAGAACTGAGAAAACCTAATGCGTTTCCCTTCGGTATGTACAGAGCTTACTCAGTGACAACGCTTATTTTAATGCATGGAAAAAGCTTTAGAACAAATCTTATTACATAAGCTTAAGTTTTAAACATTAAACTTGATTTAATACATGACCATAAATTCAAACATAAACATGCGTTCTGTCTGCAAAAATTTAGCTTGAATTTTATTCAAAGTCAATTCGGACAATTAGTATTAACATACATAGTTTTATTACATGCTCTTTGCTACAATACTGATTTAAGAAATGGAAGTTTTTACAGCCGCAGCAAGTCACACGCAAATACGTAATATATATTGGATGTTGTCCGAGACCAAAATTTTATTTGTATACAACAATCAGGCAGTGTCAGAGGATTGGAGTTGGCTGAAAATAGTCGCCGATTTTTGCACTGATTGACCTACTAAAACCGTCGTTTGGAGGAAACTCATGAAATGCGTTCAATAACAGGGCCTCCAACGAAGGGGGCCGAAAAGCCATGTCCCCCACTTCTTTTGAAAAACAATAGAGCTTTTTCTGACAATCTTTTGTTGTAATGGCTAAATGTTCCTTGCCCCTAATCCTAGATAAGTTCAAGACTCAAAACAAATGATAATAAACTCATTCCCATCACAGGTTTCTTATACCACAAATGTTGTAAATTTCCAACTGTTATTGCCGTGGCAACACCGGCAACAAGGGCTTACTGCTTTCTTAATTTAGGTGGGAGAATAGAAAGAGGCATTTCTGTAAGTCAAGTTTGGAATTTGCGAAACGCCGTCTTTTGTATGGCTAAGAGGATTGTGAGATAAAGTATCCTGCAAAGATTCCAGCATGAAGGTTTAGCTGGACTTCGAAGATCCTGTACAAGAGATGGACACAAAGGGTGGAAAGCGAGGCACAAGTAAGTGAAGGATTAAATAAGTTGGCTAACCAGGTCGAGGCCTTCGTCATCAGCCGAACCTAAGCTAGACATCCTTATAATTTTGAATAAGATAATCGTTACCGAAGTGCATTCGAAGAGTATTCCCAATGAAAAGTACAGGTTTTTCAGGATATGAGCGAAAAGGAAGGCGAATAGTCTTGAAAATAAACATTGAAAAAAACTTTGCGATCGAGGAAATCCCTCGGTTTCAGAAATTCTAAATGTGATTTGCAAAAAGCTGACCTTAACATGAGGTTGAACCACAGAGGCTGTTGATTCTTCTGTCACAGAAGACGATCCAGTTTTCGTCGAAAGACTTTCCTGGCTCGATTGCACAGTTTCAGACAGCGGACCGGCATCAACCTCGTCCGCCTGGCTGAGTGGCGCCTCTTCTTCGTCAAACTCGCCATCTTCGTATGACTTGACATGTAGGATGTAGATTTTGTAAATCAGGTAAAAAAGCAGGAAAATCACTACCACAAGGACGATTATGATGACCAGAAAGTAGATTTTCATTATCGCTGAAAGGACACAAAACACTTTATCACTTAAAATGTCTCAAAAGGGCATTTTTAAAGCCTGGTTTCCATATAGCCGTAAGGCTGCCTGCGACTGCCTGCGACTGCTTTCTGCCATCTTCCATCTTCCACCCTTACAGCAGCGCCGGCAAATGGAAACGTTCTGTTTTCAATTGCCTGCGGTATCGGTAACTATGCCGGTAACTAGGTAAAGTTTGAGCGGGAAAAACTGGCGGGCAAAATTCAACAACAAAGCCCTGTTTCAATTGGTTCTTGCACATCACATGATCTGTTTGAACAAAAGAATGCCGCAGGCAGCCGCAGGCAAGGCGTTTCCATTTGTAATTTGTCTGCCGGCGCTACCGGGAGGCTGCCGTAAGAGCCGGGAAAAGTTGAACTCGTTCAACTTTCTCCCGGCTCTCCCGGCAGTCTTACGGCACTTCAAACAGCTGCCTGCGGTACCGTTAGAAAGCGTTTCCATAAAGAATTATCTGCCGGCGATACCGTAGGGATGGAAGATGCCAGATGGCAGAAAGCAGTCGCAGGTAGCCGCAGGCAGCCTTACGGCTATATGGAAACCAGGCTTAATATAGCAGATTACAGAACTTTATTGTAGCAGCATATCTATACCGGAAATGATTTGAATCCGCTAAATCTTGAGATTTGTTATCTTATTATTGGAAACAGTACAAAAACTTCAACAATATGTTTCGTAAGCGTAGGTGGGATGGCTTTGCAATACGCCCAATAGTTTTAGGACACCGCAAAACTTGGGTTAAAAGTTGCTTGTTTTCGGAAAAGCCTACTTACTCAACGAAACACAGTCTCTTTTACGATGATCTATTCTTATCATCAAATTTCTAATTAGCACACTTCAAACATGGCATATTTTTTCATATACACTTTCAGTCACTTTAAACAAAGTTAGAAACTTTCGAGCCTTTTTATTATCTTTACAATTTTACGATCAACGGTCTTTTTTCGAAAGGTCAACATTTTTAATTAAAAAAACAGTTCATTTACCATACAATTGTATTTTTTGTACCAGTGTTCATAAATTGACCTATACCTATGATTTGCCTCAATGGATAGAGGATATTTTTGCTAAAAGAATTGTATGTAGAAACGGGAAGAGTTTGTTCACTGATATTTTAAATGATGCTTAAGAACATCATTCCTATGATGCTGAGTAGGCTGTAACTTGATCATGCTTATAAGCTTCCTTCAGCTAAAACACGGAAGGAGGCTTGTGAGAAAATGTTGCATTATCTGACTTGGCAAAAATACAGTACCAGAGAGCTTTTATGGAAGAAAGATTGGTCAGTTGCAAAAACATGTTCTGGGGGCTCCACCTCCAATCTTCCATTTTTTAGGTTTTTTCCCTTTCGAGCAGCTGACAATACCTCAGGAATACATAAGTGAAGCAAATAAAAAATGTCCACTGAAACTTGCAGATTTGGAGGTTCTGTTGATTGGCATGATAGCAGTGAAGGTGAAAAAATGAGTGATAATGATGCTTGATGGTTGTGATGATGATGATTGATGATGATGATGATGATGATGATGATGATGATGATGATGATGATGATGATGATGATGATGATGATGATGATGATGATGATGATGATGATGATGATAAGGATGGTTGGTCATGATAGCCTAATATAGCCTTCATATTGATTTTGCCTTCATAATTCTAGATGATTTAATTTGGCATGGCAAAATCTATTTTCCTCAAAAATATTTATCTAACAATTGATTAGTTTTTCTGTCTGAAGAAAATTATTGGATGAAAGGATTTTTGAAAATTCTGTACATATGGCAAAGATGATAGATATTTAAAATATTAACACAATATGACTTTCAATAAGAGAATAGTTTTAACACAGCAATTGCACAAAAACTAGATAGATTTAGATGGTTAGAAATAAAGTTGTTTGAGTAAGTTAAAATAAACAGAACTATTAAAACACTTAATTTTATGAATACATCAGTAAAGAAAAAAATTTATTTTATGACATTCAAGTTGAAATGGTCCAATGTAAAAACACAATAAGGATGCCAGAAGGTTGCAGGTCAGTGGGAGCAAAACATCAAGAAAAAGGGCAAAACAAGAGACAAATAGAAATAATTGCTAAATTTTGCCAGAGCAAGAGGGCAACTACCCCTGTGTGCCCCAAAGCACCATAACTACTGACTCACAGTGAGCCTATTTTGGATGATCTGATGGTGGCATTATGAAATGGTAAAATTTAGTCACTAGTAAATTATGAAGAAAGTTTGGAATGAGCTGTGCAATGCTAAAACTCTCCTGGCCAAACCAAGTTGCAGGAAAAGAATTAAAGATAAGGTCTTTCATTAACATAGCTTTCATCTCTGAGATGCAGGCGAGGGATAAAGGTAGGTTTTATTTGTTTTCAACAACAAACCATTACTTTTTTTAAAAAATGGTAAGAGCAAAACATGATTTTAAAAACTCACTAACAGCTGCAAGTTTGAGAATTTGGTAAATATTTTCTGGAACCTGATTAGAGTGTAATTTTACATTGGTTTAGCCTTAGCTACAATACTCAGGTCTGTTAGTATGCAATCTGTCAGATTACTCAGGTCTTCCTATATGTTTTTTGCAAATAACAGGTGCTACCAAAAGAAGTTAAATTAGCAATCGCATCAAAATGATCTGAACAACCTGCATGATGACCAGATAAAATTTGAACAAATTAATGTAATATTAAATATGACATCAATAAAGTAGTACATCAGTGTGTTTTAACAATCAAACTATTATATTTTCATTCTGGTACTAAATTTGTTTGCTAACTGTATTATCGTTATTCTGGATGAAGTACCATACGCAACGTACATATTTAATAAAAAAGTATGATGCTCTTTTACTTTATAAGATATAGCCAAAACGTTGACATTTAAATAAGTACAGATGGATTTTAGAATAGCATTTTAACTAACATTAAAGATTATTATACATACATACAAAATGACCACGAACCTTTGCATCAGATTCAGAAAGTTTTGCAACGATGCTCAAAAGAGTACCATACCCAAAATGATGTGGAGCTTTAGAATAGGGTTTGATGTTCACTTTCTCTAAAAATTCATTCAGCTTCCGAAGTTTGATTGCGTAGCAATTATTACAGATGTATCACGTTTAATATGGTTAATAAATATTCAATTAGCATTCTAGATGGAAGTTTGTTAATTGCAAGATATTATTTAGTACATTACAATAGATGTCAGGCCAAAATACTTTTCTCTCAAGGATGTCATTTGTTATGATCCGCAGCATATTTCAACTAGGAAGAGATCGATGAAATACATAACACGTACCTTATAAAACTTTTTATCGTAATACAGGACACGGATTTCCGAACCAGCTCTTAATTCTGAAAGAATTCCGGTCAGCACACCACACAACGAAACATTTAGGCCCAAGCATTTCTCTTTACACTAGCTACACGCAATATTTATTTACCATGGCCATAAGTTATTTGTCATTGAACTTGAAATATACTAACAAAAGAAACACAGCCCTTTGATACAGTCTGAAAGGCCATGAATTCACACGACAGGACGCTTTCTTCCAAAACAACAAATTCCTTTCCAGGTCCTCCATTAGACAAAAAATTCCTCCACCCATCCGGGGTTGTTGATTGCTCATTTTCCGAAGATCCCATACGTTGGAAGGAATGTGACGTGAAGGAGGTCCGCCAGGGTCCATCCCCTGAACCACAACAATCTGTTTGCAATGCGGAGGTGTGTTCGTCAACTCTTTGCCCACTCCTCGAATACCTTTCTGTTGATGTTTGTTTAGTGACAGCTGTAACAGGGGTTGCCAGATCGGATTTACAAAAGAAGGCCAGATGGGTAAGCAACTCGGACCAAAATGTTCACAAAAAGGCCAAATCGGAAAATTTTCTCAAAAATACATTGCACAGGCACTCTTTGTATTTCTTCATATGTGCCTTGTAAATAATTGTTTTACCTCAAATGAGAAACTTACTTCTTCTTAAAAAAAATCTCTGCTGAAAAATGACAAAAAAGCCAAATTTAATTGGTAGGCCAAAGACAATCTTTCCAAGCAATTTATCTATGAAAAAATTTGAGAATTTGGCCTGAAAAGGCCAATCTGGCAAGTGTTGGTGGCGCCAGAGGGGGGCAGGGGGCTACAGCTTAGCCCTCCCGTTGGCAGACATACGAAGAAGATTTATAATTTGTCGGAGCAAGATTTTGCTACCGTTTGTAAATTTTTACGAAATAAAGGAGCGATTGAGTACAGAATCTCATTGAGTATAAATGTACAAACAGGTAACTCCCAAGTACCGTGTTTACTCGAGTGAGCGCCGCCCCCGTATGAGCGCCGCCCCCGAATGAGCGCCACATTTTAGACAAATAAGGTTAAAGGCCGCCGCCCCCGAATGGGCGCTGCAGTTACCCTTTTTATATATTCGGCGCTTAATCGAAAAACCGTTAGAATCGTTAGAATCAAACAGGAAAAACTGCAAATCTTAAATCAACTTCGGGAATTTATTTTCTTGTATCAACACACACTTAAAGTTGAAAATGATAATATTTTAAAGTTTTTTTATATAACTCTCTCTTGAGATTCTTGGCGATGTGTACATCTTTCTTGAAAGCAGAGAACTTTGATGGAACAACAAGGCCAATTATGTGGCTTCAAGCACACAGGAAGTGGCTTCAAGGGTAGCTTCAAGCACAAAGGTAATAATGTGGCTTCAAGCACACCGGAAAAGCTTTGCGAGGAAACTTTGAGAACGTTTCCGAAAGCTAAAGTTGCATTTTCATTGATTTTCAAGAGGAAGGATAACATGGCCCTGAATAACACATTAAAAAAGGTCAATGAACTTCTCGAAACTGAACTAGCCCTCAACGGACTAGATATGGTTGACAATTCTAACATTATGTTCAGCAATTTATGGGATGATGGCCTCCACATTAATGATGGAGGTATCAGAAAGTTTTCTGGAAACATTAGTAGCTTTGTAAAATATTGTTAGGGATGTCTCAGCTATAATAACGAAAATTTAAAGTGTAGACCAGAGCAACAAAGGAAGAGAAATGGTCTAAAAATAGCGTTTCTAAATATAGTCTCCCTCAGAAAACATAGACATGAGCTAGAAATTGTGCTTGATGACCATGACATAGATATTATTGGTTTTAGCGAGACGCGGCTTGACAAAACAATAAGCGACTCTGAAGTTAGCATTAGTGGTTACAACATCTTTAGAAATAACCGTAATGTTAATGGTGGAGGTGTTGCAATTTATGTCAAGGCAAGTTTACCTGAACCAACAGTGAAAATAAAAAGTGAAAATTTGGGATTAATCTCGCTTGAAATTGCACCTAAGCATGCAAAACCTTTTCTCATTGTTTGTTGGTATAGACCTCCAACAGTAGAAGATGCTGCATTCGAAAACCTTAGGGAAGTTTTGAAAAACTTAGACAGAGACAGCAAAGAAATTATTTTTATAGGGGATACAATCTGCGATCTCAAAAATAACCAAAGCTCAAACGCAAAAAAAATTGACAGCAATTTACTAGGAGTACCAGCTTGAACAACTGATTAAATGCTACACTCGAGTAGCTGTAACAACGAATGAGCGCAATGAACAAACGCAAATAGACCATTTCTCAACAACTAGCTCAAAATATATATTGAAGGCAGACGTTCTAGAGTTAGGGATGGTTGACAACTATTTGATGTACGGAATAAGAAAAGTGAATGCCTGGCGAGTCAAAAATAAAAAACCAAAAGTTTTGGAGATTTGCTGTCTGAGCGATTATGACAGGACATTGTTTTGCAACGACTTGCAGCAAATAGATTGGGAAACCATCCTTAACTCTTACGCTGATAATCCTGATAATATGGCTACCACTTTTCAGGAGATCTTTGAGTCGGTTTTAGATATCCATGCACACCTGAAGAAAAGGGGGTTAGGCAATACTTCTACTCCCTGGATCACCCCAGACATCAGAAAAATAATGAAAGAGAGGGACGCAGCTAAGAAAGCGACGAAAGCATCTCTTGAAAGATGGAACACATACAAGCACCTTCGTAATAAGGTAACGCATAAAATTCGAGATGCAATACAATCACATTATTTTGATTTAATCGAAGAAAATAAGGGAGATCCTAAAAGTATGTGGCAAGTTATCAATAAGGTGTTAGACAAAGCAACCCCTTCAACAGAAATTTCGAGCTTAGATATAGAGGGGAAAACAATTACAAAAGAAAAAGATATAGCTGAAGCACTTGATCATCACTTTACCTCCATAGGACCGAAACTTGCTATCAAGTTACAGTCTAGACCTGATGACGATTCTCTCAAGCATATCAATGTTCAGCAAAACAAAATGGTATTTGTACATATCGATGAAACATATGTGCTAAATGCCATCAAATAATTTGAAAATAGTAAGGCACCGGGCCCGGACAAGATCTTCACTACGCTAATTAAAGATGCCGCAGACTTCATTTGGAAACCACTAACCATGATTTTCAACTCGTCATTAAAGTATGGTGCTTTCCCAGATATCTGGAAATTAGCAAAAGTCACACCAATTTTTAAATCAGGCTGAAAAGGGATGGGAACAATTATGGACCTATCTCTGTCATCTCAGTTTTCTCTCGACTGTTGGAAAAAAATAGTTCACGATCAGCTTGTTAAATATCTCATAGCGAACAAAGAATTGACCCCAAATCAATCTGCTTTTCGAAAACTGTATTCTACTATAACATCCCTGATAAATGGTACTGACTATTGGTATGACAACATGGACAAAAAAACAGCTCAACTTGGCTATATTTTTTGGATTTGAAAAAGGCATTTGATACCATAGATCTTCAATACTGATAAAAAAGTTAAATACACTCGGTATGAGGGGAATCTCGGGAGCATGGTTCACATCCTTCTTAAGTAATAGAATACAATTCTGCTCAGTTAATGGACAACAGTCGGGGGCTAGAATGGTAAAATGTGGTATACCTCAAGGATCATGCTTGGGACCACTCCTGTTTATCATCTACCTAAATGACTTTGAAAAGTGCTTAGAATTCTCTAAGGCTAGTATGTATGCAGATGACACACATGTTACATTAACATCTAGTACCATTGAGGGTCTACTTACAAATGCCCACAAAGAATTAAGAAACATCTTGGAATGGATGCGGATGAACAAACTAAGCGCAAACCCGAAAAAAACTGAATACATGATTATTGGCCATCCACGGAGGACAAATAAATTTGAAATCTCAAAACCACTGCACCTTAATGATTCAGAAATAAAGCGAGTTGCGAAGACCAAATCATTAGGGGTTATGGTGGACGAAGGGCTAAACTGGGATGACCAATTCAGCAAAGTGAAAGGAAAGATTAACGGCGGTCTGAAATCGCTAAAAAAACTGAAAAATCTAATTTCACAATCCCAGCTCGACCATGTGTACCGTGCACTTATCGAAAGTCATCTGAGATACGCTAATGTTATTGGGGAAGTCTTCCTAAATCAAAATTGAATACACTCCAACGTCTGCAGGACAGAGCACGCTCGATTATTCATAAGGCCAGACTAAAAGACAACTGATCTCATAACTGGCTGACCGTTGAGCAACTAACAAAGTTCGATCGATCAGTTATGACATACAAAATAATCAGCAGACAATGTCCCGAAAGCCTTTGGGATAAATATCATCATAGGACCCAGCACTCCAACTACAGAACAAGGAATTGCCGGGACCTACAAATCCCAAGAAATAACCTCGAATACGTCAAGAAAGGCTTTCACTATTCGGCTCTGAAAGCCTGGAACGATATTCCCATCAATATCAGAGATCTCCCTACACTTAGTAAATTAAAAAAGCAATTGAAAAGTTATTAAACGAGCTGAACACAACATAAAACACAACTCCCTGGAAGAGCAGCTGCTTTAAGATAGATTACTGTGCATAATTTAGCTTTAACTGTAGATAAATTACTTTAATGTAATTAGGGTATTTATTTTTCTATTTGGTATTTAGTTGTAAGCTGAAGGGATTTTTCTGTATAAAGAATATAAAATGAAAATGAAATGAAATTTCTCTCTTTCGTTTCCCTGTAACTTGTGCGACCAGTTTATTTTCTGTGCTGGCTTCGAGAAAATTCTTCATCAGTTGGCAGGGTCGTCTCTAACAATGGTTGGCGTTCTGTTGGTCTCCGACAGTGAAGACGACAGTGACATTATGAACCTTTAAAGATATTTTCAAACTTGTACGTTTTACTACTAAATGATTGTTTAAAACTTATTTGTTTTATTCAAAAATGATAGGGTTTATAAAAAGCGCCGCCTCCGAGTAAGTGCCGCATCAAAAGTAGCGGAAATTAAAAGAGCGCCGCGGCGCTCACTCGAGTAAATACGGTAATTTACACACCATATTGGGAAACTCAACCCTCTCTTTCGGCATAGCAAACGGCAATCGGACTACCAATCTAACTAAAATATTTAAAGATCACTGGGTGGGACATAATTTCAAAAGTTTAAAAATTAAAATAAGTATGGAAACAGCCCCCTATACTAGCTTTAAAAAGGCAAAAAACATTGGAGATCGAATAATCCACACTTTGGGAAACATTGGTGACACTCGGCATGTTTGGTGTTTACTCGGCAAATTTGGCGGTGGCATTAGTTAAAGAATCAATGATAGTCGATGGTATCAGGGACGGACTTACCGGGGGGTTTGGGGGTGCGACGCCCCCTTCAATATTTTTGCGTTATCCGGTAAATTTTGTGTTGATTCGGTAAATAGCTTATTTGGTAGCCAGTAGTGATGAAATAACATCAAGTTCCTTCCTTCCTTATTTAACTTCTTGATAAGTCAGTTGTAGTTTCTCTTTCAATATTATAAACTACTTGAAATCGAAGAATATTTGCGGTCAAACATGTGTGATGATCGGCTAGACAACCTGATGATCATTGCTTGCGAAAGTGATGTAACAGACAAGATAGACGTTGGAAAGCTTGCCGATAAATGGTTAAAATTTAAAGCGAGAAGAATTGAAGTTTGATCAATTCCTTTTTTAATCTGCAATCGACTGTTTTTTGGATAATTAAGTATTTTGTAGCTAGTAACGGTTAGAAATTTATGTTACAGAAAGCAAAGATCCAAGCCATTATAGTTATAAAGAAACATTTTGAAATGGGCGATTTTATTATTTTCACGGCACCGGAAGGGCGTGACACCAAAATCCAATCATTATCTAACCCCCCCAATCGTTGCCCCTTAAATCCGCCTCTGGATGGTATATTTGATCGTTTTTATTTTCATTTCGATTTGACCCTCTTCACTCCTTGGCACGTTAATATTTAAACTGTTAAATGGCAAACCAAAGCCAGGGAGAACCAAACTCCACATTACGATGTTTCAGGGTTGGGTGCGCAAATGACCGGAATAGCGTTCCGCCTGTGGGTATCAATTCTAAGAGTAAGGTTGTATTTTAAAGGTAAAAAATTGGTCCAATGTATTTTCCAGCAAACTGGAATCGTCAAAATTCGAACATTTCCTCGCCTGCCGCAACAATGCCGCCTCAGTAGTAATTTCGAATTTTGAAAAATCACGGAAAAAGATCTACAAAGAACTTTCTTATGTCTTTTTTTTAGGGACATTTTGTTAAAAAAGCGAGTCCCCACAAAAAAAATAATCCCGCTCTAAAGAGCTGCTCTTTCTTGTTTGTTGAATTCATGTTCTGTCATAATCTCAATGTTTGTGCGTCCTTTTCAACTGTAATTCCATGTTTTCGCTCCGACTGCCTAGCCCCCTGTCGGAAGGTCAAGCCCCTCCGTAGGAGAATTTCTAGCGCCACCACTGCTGGCAAGCCTGGCTGCAAAAATGGGTGGTGGCCAAACTGGACAACATTTGAGCAACATTAGGAATTTGTGAATGTCGCCCGCACAGTGCCCGCAGCCCGCAGGAACAATGATATCGTTCTTCGAACGAGGTGAACAACAATACGAGGCATCCATGCAATGGAGCGCTAGGCCAAAATGACTTCGGCAGTACACAAAGTCAAAGATTTACTTTTCGAGACACATAGAATCAGTTACGGAACCGAAAAGGGGCTAATCGCTTTATGTGTTTTTATTATAGATGTTATTGAGTTTGGTTTATCGGGCATTCACGAATATCTACCTGGAAAAAAGTATAGGAAAAAAACAGGAAAAATTGGAAGGAAATCCGGCCTAAATAGATCGTCTTTTTTTATCGATGGCACTGCCGTATCATCTTTGGTGTCAGGCTTTATCCGTAGGAAGTTTACAAACGTTCCAGTTTATACCTTGGCGGAAGAGGACTTAATTGATACAATAATAAAAAAGAAGATTTTAGAGCGGAATGAACATTTTATTGGTTTTGACTGTGAGTGGGTAACTGAAGGAAACCCAGCCGCTACTGCCAGAAGAGAATGTGATAACCGACCTTATTTTCCAATAGCATTGCTTCAGATTGCAACAACGAGTGATTGTTTTCTTATTAGAGTATGCTGCCTTGAGAATTCTTTCCCTAAAAGCCTCAAAGATGCTTTGGAAAGCAGACACATTTTGAAGTTAGGTGTAGGTATTGAGGAGGACTGCAAACGGTTGCGTATGCTTGGGATCGACATTTGTGGTGCAGTTGATCTTAGGTTTTTAATTCAAAGATGTTATCACAAAACTGATATTATTAAGTTTCCAGAAAGGTAATTTAATTGTATAATGCTATTTTTAAATTGCATTTATCCCAGACTGGAAACTTCATCCTGCACCTGTAAGACATTGCCACTGCACTTCCTAGTGCAGTTTGCAGTTTTCACCATACCAAAGTTTATTTTTGTTCAAATGGCCACAAAAAATATCATAAACATGTTGTGAATTTCCAATTGAGATGCTTATTTTTTACCTTTTTTGCTATTGTTTTGGCTTCCTTATTTGATTGACAATAAACTGACCCCAAAAGTTATTTCAGTAAATAATTTATTGGCAGGTCAAATTTTGTGTCAGTTTTAGCTCAGATTGTGCAAAAGATTAAGTCAGCAAATGGCTTTCAATTACTTGTGTATATAATAGTTTCCAGTCTGGCATTTCTCTGTAATTACTGTACTCCAGCCTCCTCATGAGACTTTTATCACAAGACAAGAATGTTATTATTCAATTTTAGTTTTCCACCCCTTTGTCGACAATAAATTGATCTGTTTTTCCTGTTGCCCAAACTCACTTATCACAGGCCATTCCTTATGAGATTTAAGCACTAAATAGCTATAAAATATTACAGATTGTGACAATTTTAGAAGTAATGAGCTATTACCTTGGTTAAATCTATGCTCAAGGAAAAAGTTCTGTGACATCATGAAAAAGTAAAAGTCTAAATATCTAACAGATGCTTGGTCATTTATTGGATATATTACAAGTATCCAAACTATTTATGCTTGGTAGCATGAATATCAATATTTGTATGTTTATATGTCTGGGTGGCAATTAATGAGTAGGGAGTAATTCAAAACATCCTAAAAACATTATAGATGATTTCCAAATTTTGTAATCTATTTCATTTAGAAGCCTAATTTCCCAATACCGTATTTTCTCTAATGAACCCGCCCTCTGATAAATGCTGCTCTTTATTGAACGCTGCACCTTCAGCCAACCGTAAAGAACGCAATTTATTACGTGTTTTTTGGGGGAAAAAACATTGTTTAAAGTCTGTTTTTATCTTTTTTTCATCAAACTTTTCTTGTCATTTTTCATTTGACAACATTTTCATTTTGTATTAGACACCACCCTCTGATAAATGGTGCCCTCTATTAAACATCATATATTTAAATGAATAAATTTACTATTGTCTTTATATTTCGAAGGGTCAATGGCTTGAGCTTAGTATCTCTGACTGGTGCTATTGTTGGATCAAAGATGGATAAATCATATGAGGTACGCTGCAGCAACTGGGAGTCAAAAAGACTCACATGTAGGCAAATTGCATATGCAGCAAATGATTCCTTGGCAGCTTTACAAATATTCTTAGCTTTGTGCATTGAAAAGGTTCAGTCAAAGAAAACTGTTCACCTCTCAAAGTGTCTAGAAAAGATCAAACTAAGACCACATGGTGATGACTTACTCATGATGTCTTTCTTATTGAATAAAGCACAGCTATTCTATCAACCTGGTCTGACTGTAAGAAGGCTTGATATCTGGAAGACCTTCACTTCAATGACCACAATAAACAATGAAGTAACTAAAGTTGGCTTTTCACTATGCCAAGGAATTGTGGATTTGGCTTTCAAGGACAAAAATTCTCTTTTCAAGAAAAAGCCATCAAGTGATACAAATCTCCCAAAATTATCACAAAAGTCAGTGACAGTTCGGAAGACACCTTTGTACCATAACTGTATTCTTCTCGCTCCAGATGGCTGTCTCTTGTGCACATGTGATAAAAAGAAAGCAGAGTGGTATGCATTCAAAAACCTAGGTAACTATGTTATTTTTCTTTTGAATTGTATTATTGTTTCACCTTGAAAATTACTAGTAAGTAAATAACAATAAAAATAGTCTATGATATAAAAATTAAAAAAATCTTCAGTTTTTTGCATTTAACATTTGTTGGGGACATTAAATTCAACATCAAAGGTGAAAACAGAAGTGTCACACTTTAAGAACACAAAAGGGGTCTCTGAGAAAATTCCTCAAGAAGCAGTCAGGAAGAGTCACTAAAGTAGAACAGGGCTGAATCAGTCCTCCTGGCGCCCCTTGCTTTTCAATCCCTCCTCCCCCCCCTCTGGAAAAAAACCGCCTTCAGCATTCAACACATCTTGATTAATCTGCGCATGCGGTGGCTTGCGATACAAATTGGATGGCTCTTTCATCTGTCGTTTTTCAATCCAGTTATCAAGAAACATCAGGTGCTCCTTTGAAGAAGACCTTTTGTGGTATAAACTGAACAAAAAACCAAGGAAGTTTGGGCTCCATTTGGGCAGATCTATCTCAACAAAGCACTAAAATTCGGGCCGAATTTATACTAAGCCCCCTCAAATGTTTAGCATCTGCTACACCCATGCTTTTTGGGTTATGTGGTCAAAAATAAAAAAGTTTGAAAATATACTGTTTTATGACGTTACACTATAGGCCATGGTTGAGACTTATTAAAGAAAGTGAACGCAAAATGCTTTTTATTTCAAGCAAAGTTTGCCACACTTACCCATTTCCGTTATGTTTTATCATATGGATTACAGTTGCCAGTATTCTCGTCTACAAACGCCTCTCTATCTCCCATTCCGCATTTCTCAAAATAAATTGGATTTATGGCTTTCAACAATTTTGCATTCTAGCTAGTCTCAACCATCAAATATTTATTCTAAGTTGAAATTTATACACATTCTACGGCCATATCGACGGCCAGTAATGACTTGTTTAATGAGCAACTACAGGAAGCAAATTGCAAAAGCAAAGTTTATCAGCAAATTTAGCCCTCCTGCGCTAGAGAGGACTTTTCTAAATTCTATCTAAACAAACGTTACTACTAAAGTATTTTTATTTGTAGATTTAGAAATTACGTATTCGAATTCTCGATCAGTTAAGAAACCTGTTCACTGAGTACGAAGGAAGGCGTTTAAAATGGAGTCTGTAAAACAAATGTAATTTTTTTAATCTCTTTGTAGTTATTTTTGCTACGTAATATCGTTCCTGTACTTTTTAACTTTCAAGGGCTGAAAAAAGTACGAACGGGAAAATAACTTTTAAGCAAAAAACGCGCGGAATATTTGGAAGATGGAAGAGGCAGGAATTGGTAGGCTTGTAAAAAATCAAACAGACATTTTAACCAGTTTGTGCCGATCACTATTTTGTACTGCTTTTTCTCTATTTCTTTGAAAGATTTTAAACGGCGTTATTTTGCAAGGAACACGTCTTTTATACATTTGAGATGCATATAGAGAAACAATTTAGCTTTGAAAATTACAGACTGAGGGTGTGTTCGCAAAGGTCCTCTCAAGATATATGACAAAATGGAAAAGTGCGCGCGAAATTTTTTCTTCAAGACCGTTTTGATTAAACAATTAATTTATTTCGACACAGCTCCAACTTTTTTTATAGTGACCATGCTTAGGCCATTTTACAATAAATTCCTACTCATTCATCGAGCATGCATGCTATCACCCTGGAATCCCCCTACGTCATTTACGGCATCATATACCATAGGTCGTTCCCTCTTTGGGAGTACTACTGTTTTCAACTCCACTCATCCAAATCATGCTGACTTCTTCCCAAGTCTAGATATTTCTTTATCACCTCACATCATCCTTTCGTCATCCTAAGTCAGCAATTTGATTATTGCACATAAGTATCTTAATTTGTATGTAGTTTTGTAAAAAATTAATGATATGGAAGTGGAAAATGAAGTGGAAAATGAAGTGGAAAAGGAAGTGGAAATTGCTCCCAAGCCCCCCTCTCCTTTTATCAGAGGCCCTGGTTATATTAAAGTGGCTTTCTTTCTTTAATGCTTCTCTAATTCAATAGGAAGCTGCCTGATTGCATTAACTTGTTCGATTTGAAAAAACCTTTGCTTGATTTTGTAAAAATGAAGTATACAAGGTGGTAAAATACTTGACTATAAATATATACGTAGAATCACCTGGAATGATTTATACAACCCAAGATTAAACGTCTGAATTGCAATTTTGCTAAACTGTTTCTTAGTAATTTTTAAAAAATTATGTCTTCAATTATCTTTGCATTTTCTATCTAGTTTGAGAATACCCATCATTCACGTTCTATTTTTTCAGGTACAGTTGTAAACTCGGAACCTTTTACGGTGCAGTTGAACTTTGATCCCGCTGGAAGGCCATTCGTAGACAGGGACTACTATACCACTGTGAAGGAAAACAGGTGTGTTGTCTGCGGAAAGGATGACAACTACATCAAGAAGATGATAGTGCCACGTGATTATCGCCGCCATTTTCCATCATACCTGAAAGACCATTTATCCCACGATGTTTTATTACTCTGTGTGACTTGCCACAGAGTTTCTGAGCTTCACGACTTGCGTTTGAAAAAACAATTAGCAATGGAATACTCCGTGCCAGTTGGAAATAGCAAATCAAAAGAAGACCCGGAACTGAAGCGCGTTAGATCCGCTGCAAAGGCGCTTGTGTACGCAGGGGAGAAAATCCCTGAGTCAAGGAAGTGCTCACTACGACAGGTTCTTACAGAATTTTTGAAGAAAGACAACGTGGATGATGCTGAAATTAAGGAGTTGTCTGAAATAGGCATTTCCAAAGAAAATGAATTCTACGAAGGTGCTCACGGGGAACAGGTTGTCGCAAAGCTAGTTGAGAATGGGGAGTTAAAGAAGTTCGTCGTGATGTGGCGGGAACATTTTTTGCAGGCAATGAAACCAAAATATCTCCCGGAGTTCTGGTCGATTGATCATAACATTTCTATGAGCGAAAAAGAGGCAGATAGGGAATGAGGACAGGCGTACATTGGTTGGAGGATTGTGATGTTGACTTATAGAGTCACGAAGAAGTATTCAATTGCGATGCTTGTAAAAAAATCGCTAATTGGCTATTAATAAACATGTTTTTAACAAATATCTTTTAGAAAATTTTGTATTTAATTGCCGTTGAAAAATTCTCGCTGGAAAAAGTTGTGCGCTTGCTCATCGGAAAAAATATCAAGCTCAAAACATTAGTTTGTTTAATGATAATAGCTATGATCTTATAAACTATAGTCATACAAAGCTAGCGCACAACAAAGAATTGTGCAGACATATTGTATGATACCAATATATGCTATGTATTTGATCATAACGTGTACAACGCCTTTTTATCTATAAGAGTTCTTAGCTTTTCAAACTGGATTTCCTCCAAAATACTATTGACTCTATCCTGTATGTGTTGCTGTCTTTTCATATTCCAAATGCTTTTAACAATCAGCTCATCGTCGATTACGCCATCTGATTGTTCTAAGAAAAAATGAAAATATCTCGAAGTGAATGAGAATTTCAACTGATAAACAATTTTATACAGAATAAAATTACAGAAATATTTTCCAACGATATTAAGATTGTAAGATTTGCATATTTTTACCTGTTGAGGCCATGCATATTATCCTTCGAATTAAACAGGGGTTTATTTCAAGCACTTTTGATACGCATGCCACCAGATCAGTTCTCCTATCGATGCCGTTTTTTCCTAAGCTCTTTTTGCGACGACTTTCATTAAAGATGACGAAGAAAAGAAACTCAGTTATTCTTTCACGGATTGCTTGTTCTTGGTCATCAGGAATAACTCTTTCCAAATTGCCAATCCTTTTCAAAGACAGAAGTGTACAGTGACGGATCGAAATGTTAAAAAGCATGTTTATTCAATGTAATAAGCATATTTCGCAGGCGAGGATCGTGTCCTATTTTCAAGTGCAATTAAAAAAGTGTAAAAAAGCAGCAATGGTCTGAGTTTGTCAGTTTCTAGATAGAAGATTCTTAAAAATCATCAGGGTACCTTATCTTTTACGTAGATTTGACGATAGCACCGAGATTATGACTATTAAGACATATTGTACGCTTTTTAATAAACTTGATGCCCCTAACAGATACTATGGCTCTGTATGATACACACGTTTTTCAATTATTTATATTCCAACCAATTCAAAAAGATTTTCATTATTTAGGGCCGGAACTATTTTTATTCTTGGAGGGGCTCGAACCCAACAAAAAATTTAAGACATCCTCTGGTTCCAATGAACAATTCCTATTGCTCCAATTGCCCTCAAACAATGGTGCCCCTCCGATAATTCTATCCTTCTTACGGTACTGCATAAGATACTAGACCAAAAATCTGCCAGAGATGTAGGTTCTACGTCCTTAGGTGCTCTAACGCTTTACAGTACACTTACCGATAAAGGAGTAACAAAATTCCAACAACAGTGAACTCTGGAAGTACTCTACACTTCTCCTAGAAAACAAAAATGTGCCAAGGATAAGAAGAATGCAAATAAGTATCAAATATATGAGAGGCACTCTCCAAGCACTTAAGAGAAATCACAACCTGTTACACATATACAAAGTAGTCGTAGGTGAAATTTTTACAATTTTCAATTAAAAAAGTAAGTCAAATATGATAAAGGTCTAAATAAAGAAACAGAGAAAGACTATACTTGATTAGGAAAGGGCCACTTTAGCTAAACACGATTAAGGGCTACGCTGTGAATGGAAAAAGCGACACGAGAAACGCCGATTAGAAAAAAACTTCTGTAGTTGAAGCCCGAAATCTCCCTGCCCCTATAGTTGGACATGTCATTTGAAATGAAGATTTGAAAATGCAATAGTAGACCAAAAATTGAGGGAAAGAATTCGAAAAGTGCAATATACAGAGAGGTGGTGCTGGGGAGGAGGGTGTGGGTGGGTAGTAATCGAAATGGAAAATTCATTGGATATCTGAAAAAAATATCTCTTGGTGACAAGTTCTAGAATGCCTCAAAAACTTTTATTTCTTGAAATTATAGCGGAAGTACCCAAAATTTCTGAGTGGATAATAATCCTATCACTTTCTCGCTCCTTCTTTTCGGCCACTTTTCCTACTTCTTTATCATATATCGCAATATCTGGGTCATTCATTTTTCAAGTACATAAATGTCCTTTGTAGATAATTAGTCCTAGATTACTTCAAGCATTTATATCTTAAACCAGATGGTGCTTTTCCGCCACTAGCTCAATCTAAAGTGATGTTTATCTTGCGAATCGATAAGCGGCAGATTAGAATTGCAGCCTTGTTCAGAATTATACAACAAACCATAGCGTGGTTGCATATGCCGATAAAGCAACGCAATCTGCTCTAAAACAACCAAATACCACCTTCAGAGTGGATTTAAATTAGCAATTACAATTTCATACAAATAATTTCAAAACTGCAAGATTATAGAAATTCAGCTGATTTCATATATAACATAGCCTAGTTAGAATGGGCTAGCCTAGTTAGAAATTGTGAAGAAAAAAGCCAGTTGTAGAATTGAATGGGCTAGCCACAAAAAGCTATATTTGACTGTCCTTGTGACCGATTAACCAACTATGTACAAATGACACAGCTAATTTCATACACATTTACAAAATAAAAGACTCACAAGTTTCCCTGGTAAATCAAATTTCTTTAATCACGCATAAATTGTTTTTCATTGAAACTGTTAAGATTTATTATTTTTGTGGTTGCTTTATGCCCATAAATCCAAGTTGCTTGAAGTTTGATCCGATTGTTCGTAAAATTGTTCTCTTTTAATGGTGTTGAAAAAAGCTTACGGGCATATCCTGAATAAATAATTTCTTATTTCCTGTCTTTCGAACTAAGACTTGTGTATGAGATTGCTTTCCATTGTTAAGATGAAAATGTGGTGGTGCAAAATTCTCAATCAAAGCTCAGTTTTTTCTGTCTTTAAGACGATTTCTCTATTGAAACCATGCTACACATTCTCTGGCATGTCAGCTAATGCTAAAACTTGCGTCAACCAGACCAAAGATTTCCAAAAGATTTGATATAACTAACTTGCCAGAATCTATAAAGATTACGGTCCATAGTTGGTACACCACAATCTGAAATATCACATGCTGACCATATTTCTTAAGTTTGGTAAACCAATGGGTGTTTTACAATGTCAGGGCAGAGCCATGACGAGAAATTACGAAGTTCATTAGCTATGGAGTCCAAGGGCATGTACTTGATAAAATTATCACTGATCATAATATGTTTCGATCTCTATTTGGCACGGAAAAGAAGCGAGGTTAACGTACTATACAATTTGTGTTTTTTTAACATGGCCCTTCGACCTTTCACGCGCTTTTTCGTCAACAAGATGAGAATAAACAAAACAAGATGAAGGATGTTTTCTATTTTTTGATGAGTTTATCGATAATTTGGTGAACAGGCTCCAACAGATCTTCAGGATTAGGGCTGTTTTTTATCGCTCAAAATAAACATTATATTATTAATTTTCAAATTCGAAGCCATTTTCTTCTCAATCTTTCTACAAGTTGATGGCATAAGCAATATGCATGAGCATTTCCTTCCAAAGGGCTACAAAAGCAGTGCGGTCCGATGTGGGATCGATCCCGTGTAAACACAATACATTTTGGGATTGTCGATGCCAAAGGAAATCGATCCCAAACTGCATCGTTCCCATTTTCTCAATGTAAATAGGGTCGGGGTGTATATAATCATGGGCGGCGTAGCGGAAGCAAAACGTTTAGAGGGGCCTAGCATGGATTATCCCGAGAGCCTGAACATTATTGATTCATTGAGATAAAGCTGTCCGAATGGAGCCTGAAATACGAAAACTTTGCCTGATTAGGGGGCTGCCTGATTAGGGAGGCTGCCTGATTAGGGAGGCTGCCTGATTAGGGAGGCTGCCTGATTAGGGAGGCTGCCTGATTAGGGAGGCTGCTTGATTAGGGGGGCTGCAGCCCCTTCGAGCCATACGTCTCCTATGCCTTTGCATGTAATATTTTTCTAGTACGACTTCTTTGAAACTATTTTAACTTTGCATAACCACTGAGGTTCGTAATACTTAAAAAAAATTTACGAAAGCTATTTTTTCCTCTTGTTTTTTTCTATTCACTGATTTGATGCTCTGAATTCTGGCAACAAACATTTTATAACTTAGTAATAAGGCAATAAAGCCTTAGCAGGAATAACTAATCAACACTTTATTTATATAACATAAGACAATATTAATTGTGACGTATTTTGCTTCACATTTCAACTCTAGAAATAACCCTTCATCTGTACAACAAAAGAGAGCTTCATCATTAGAAATTCTATTAGTGCAGTCGAATGCTTTTGTATAGAGTGTTTTGTGCGACGGTGTTTGATCGTGAAGACTAACTGAACAATGACGAAATGCTCCAACCTTAAAAATAGTGTGAACTTTTACACAGATGCTTACCAATATTTTACTTAAAGGCAACAGAAGCACTCCGAAAGCGTCCTTTCCACAATCCATTGACACCAGCATGTCTAGGATTCCCTGAATAGAAAAGAAATATAGTAAAAAAACGGATGACACCGAGATTATGAGATGCAGGACAAAGTTTTCTAGACGTTTTGCAGAGCATGTGGACGGGAGCTGCTCAGTCAAAAGGCATTTGAAAGTAAGACGAAACCGTCTGGAACATCAGCATAATTTTTCTGTTAAAAGTGCTTAAAACTTTGAAACAATACTAGGTCCTACAGCTCCTGGGATTGATATTGTGGTGTGGTTCGAGAGAAAATTGATGCAAAATGCAATCTTCGAATACAAAAGAAGTGGATTAGCTGCACATTCAGCATTAGAAATAATGAAAATTTCACATGGTATTGGCTTTATATTTCAAATGATAAAAACTCTAAAAGGTAATACTAATTACATTATACTTTGGGATAATTAACAGAGCGCTTTTCTTAAGACTGCGTCCATATAGGTGAAGTCCCCCCATAGCAGAATTCCCCAATGTGATAGATAATAAGGGGCGTTCTTTTTAGAAGATGTTCGAAAAGTACATCCACTCAACACATTTTGCTATTACTTTAGAGTACAAGAATGGATGATACCGAGACTCATCTATTCCTTCTGTTATTACTAAACAAGGTATCTTAAAAAGATAGAAGCAATTGCAGTCATAAGCTCATTCATTAACACTTATAGTACGAGTAAAACAAAAGCGAAAAGCCAAGCTTAGCTTTGTATAATGATCTCACCACGCAAAACCTTTCGTGAGACACTGTGTCTTTTTTCTTGACTGAAATTAAAATTACAAATTCACTACAAGAAACAGTGTATGATTCATCGCAACCTTAAAAACGAAAATGACAATAAAGAACAAGCCTAAAATGTTTAAAGTTGATAGCAGATCAGAAGCATTCATTTAATAAAATAATGGTTTTGTAAACATCTAGCAGACAGACTAAGAAATATGTTTAGAATTAAAGTTTTAGAATCGATCTACATGAAAATGAAAAAAAGCTATTTTGGAAAAAGAAAGAGTTCTTTTTCACCCTTCAGTGTCAATATTTTCTATAGGCATGCGGCATGGATTGGGTAGCCTTACCTGCAATGTGCAAGTTTTCTCATTGGCCTATTTATAAACAATTGGGTATATATTTTCTACCCTTATACATTAAATCATTACGTTGATGTGATATACTCTGAGCAGTGTCAGATGAAAAGCTTAAATACGTTTCAAAATGTTTGCAATTTTCAAAGCCACTTGCAAATTTTGTACCATCAAAAAACTGTTCACGTTCAAAACAAGTACTTGGTTTAATTTTGATATAAGAAAGTTATATAGAAAGTTAGCTGCTAAAAGGTATAAGATGATAGCTCAATGATATCTTGAAAGAGGAATCAACAAAATTCCGTTCAGAAGTCAAGAAAAACATTGGCAACGAGAGAAGATAACGCATGCAAAGTAACCAACAGTGCTAGCAATTGGGATAGGGGGCAGTACATTCAAAAGTATCTTCAAAGATTTGCTATGTGTACTGCTAATACCTGTACTGTCATTTATCAATCAACTGGTCAATCATGCTGTTATCACATCAAGCGAATAAGACATTTTAGTAGTTTTTAAAAGAGGGGAATCAGAAAAAAATTAAATTTGCTTTATCCCTTAATCAACAGAAAAGAAAAAGCAGCAAAAAACGTAGCCAACTAACCGATTTCTTGTTCAATTTGATCCTCCGCTATGACATACTTAAGCCTAAAATCATAGATTAAATTCTTCAAAACAACTATCAAATTATAAATTGCTCATAAATTCATGTATTCTTAAGATCTCAAGTTGAGATTTTGCCAATCTGGCTTGGCAAAGCAAAATATGTTGATTGAATTAAAAATCTTCCAACAAAGCTTCGGGCAAATTCAAAAAAACTCTTTCAAAATCATAAGCGGTATTTTTTTAAACAAAATTAAGGCTGATGGGCGCTACGGCTAATCCTCTTAAAGGTTAAAGTCAGCTAGGCCTAAGCAAAAATAACGCGTCTTTTGTTATATACAATGCCTGCTAAAAGTATTTGGAACACCCAGCAATTTACGCTACATTTGATATCTTTCATTCCTTTCATGAAAAAAATTACTACTTCCGTCCCCTTCCCCCTAAAACAATGTTGACGATTTAGAGAAATATCTATTTTAGGAAGCAAAGGAAAGTGCTTCCTAAAATCCTAACCCGTTTGATAGTAAACCAACATTGTTCTGTAGGGGAGAGGGGGATGATTGATTTTGAACTTTAAAATAGACGTCAGTGTTCCAGGACTTTAGGCAGGCATTGTACGTTGATAGTAGACAAACGCAATGAGGACGTTGCTCAATATCTTTGCTGGCGCATTCTCTGTTGTTTACAAATAGAAATCTCGTAATTTCTTTAAGCACTCCTAACAAGAAAGAGTTACAAGTTAAAAGATCATAAATTTCATTGTTCTTTCTCTCCGTGATATCAAAATGCGCTTACTTTCCCAATTTTTAATCAACTGGTTAAAATTGACAGCTTGAAAACCATTCAATTGCAGATTTCAAGTTCTGATGTTTTACCTTTCCCTGCCAAGGAAATCACAAGAGGCAACAGTCTGCAGCTGCTCTAGGCTGGACAGTGAAGCACCTAAAACAGCAAACAGAAAATGAGCAAATCTTTAGCAAAGCCAGAAAAATTGAATTTTAGTGTGGCCAGGAAAATCGGCTAGTTGAAATCAGCGATCGTTTGCTGATTGCAAAGAACAAAGAATAAGTTTGTTTATGACTTAAAACTTGACCATATGAAATTATAAACTCCCAGCTACAGCATAAAGACAAGCAACGGGTCTCCAAACAATTTGCTATTAAAATCGCTAGAAAATGTTTTACAAATGCTTTCCTTGTTCAGCTCAAACTATATAAAAATCATCAAAAATGATCAATTAATCAACTAAAAATAAAAGCAATGTAGATACTTGCCAATAATGATGGAAAAAATGAAACTGAGAAAAGATTCAAATGCTATGGATCCCTTTTTCTCGAAACTGAAACCAAAGAAAGTAATTGTTTATTAGCAAAATCTATTTCGTAAGGGTTCTTCAATATAAAAGTTTAGACTAAGGTTTAATAGCATTTTCTAGTGTATGATCAAGCTTGCAAATTTGCTTTCAATTGTCAAACTTCGATGTTAAAAAGAAAATGAATCGTTTTAGGAAAAATTACGCTTGGAAAAAGGTGCTAGATGTTAAAACCCACAATGATACCCAAAAACCAACACTCTTTCATTTGAATGAGTATATTGCAGTGAGCTAGGAACCTAAAAAGAACTTATTTCTACTTCCTTTTAAAAAAGATGACCTTTTTAAAAGAAGTGTAAACATTTCTAATTTCCACGCAAACTGCTACATCATCAAATAGGTCCTTTATCCAATTTTGTCCAGAGTTTGGAAAAATAGGCCAAGATGCTTATCAATTTTGAAGAGAGATTCTACAAAAGACCAGATTCTTTCTAGCCATCCGTTTATCTAACCTTAAAATATCTTCCATCGACTCTTTTTCTTAATGATAATTTTTATCAGAAAACCATGAATAATGCTAAAAACATGTGCAAAAGGACTGCTTCCTTTCATATTGGGGTTTTGCAAAACAAGCGGAGCGCCAAGTTACTCCATGAAAACTGATGTTAAAAACATAAGAGCATCTCCACCCACACTATTCATTTATTTTGATAAACAAATCTACCTATCCTGTTATTCTACCTACTCCTGCAATTGTTCACAGTGACATTTTATTAAAACCCTTGTTCAAGCCACCCTTAATATTCTAGGCTTTTAGAGTTGTTTCAAGAGTAAACTTGAATAATTCTTAGAGGTTGTTAACGCCTTTGCGCAGACTGTAATTTTTGCAGTGTTTCTCATTATATTTCGTTCTGTTTTTGACATTTTCTGTGACCTTATCAATCTCTGAACAGCTTTCTCGAGTATCTTTTAGCTGGTTGGATACTTTAAAAGGTCCAGCAGGAACCAAAATCTTTGAAAATTAATGATCCTGTGACGGATTATTTAGGGACTGGAAATAAAGGTACATTCCATTTTGAAACAAACAAAAATACATTGCTATGGTTGAAAATATATTTTCCAAACATACTTACCAGCATCTTAGAATATGGCAGACATAAAACTTTATCTTGTCATCAATCTCTTCACGGTGACAAAGAAAGGCAAGGTTTCTGGAAAGCTCTTTACTGACACAATCTAAGTGGAAGACCAAATCTAAAAATTGCCGTTGCAGAACTAGATCATGCTGACACTCTGTAAATACTGATTTGGGTAGGCCTAAAAAGAACAGTACAGAGCTGTAACTACTTAACAGCAATTTAAAAAGTATGATTTTTCCATGATTTACTGACACAACTGTTTGAATATCAATGGTGACAATACAGTGGTCTCTAATTCCCCTTTCAAAATGGCTTTGAAAAAAGCAAACATTTTACAACATACTAAAAGTTTTTTAGTCTGACACTCCTCAGAGCATAAAATGTCAGAATAAGGTTCCGAAAGAACACGATGAAATTCCCCTTTCACATAATATGCTCAACTAATGAAAAAATAATTCCATCGGTGGTGCTGCCATTCCTTCGTAACAGAGCTGGCTTTTGCTAAGCCCAGAAACCTTCATTTCTTCTAGCTTGTTTCATAATTAGAAGTGACTCATCCTAGAACATGAAACATATTCAAGCCCTTAAATTTTTTTAAAGCTTTACATTACTAAAAGAGTCAAGACATACATACACACAACATGGCTGATAGAAATTCCAAGGCTATCCACCAGTTTCAAAGGGGATCTCTTTTGAATTATCACTGAAGTGATGAGAGACATCATCCGCTTTAAGCCACTCTGGTCCTTTGGATCTGGCATTGCAAGTAGGTCACCTGGTAACATAACTAACCAGTCTTCTAAAGTGTGGACAAGATCCCTGTTTACCCTAAAAAATGATAAACATTTTGCAGATGAGGCTTTCATTTAACCTCAATAACTTTAATTGTGTGTTTAGTCCAATCCTTTTATGATATCATTTATTACAAATTATGTAAAGAAATAAGATAATTACCTCTAGCATTTGATTTTTTTCTAAATAGAGTTGTACCTGGTCCATCAAACATGCAGTAAAAGAATACATTTCCTTTTTTTCCTTTTTTTGATATCCCCATAGCTTTAGAAGCTTTTGAGGTGATCTTAATTGAAAGATGTAACACAACGATAGATTCTGTCTTTTATTTGTTGAGAAATAAGCAACTGGGTATTAGTTTTGGCAAAACTTGACTGTGTCTGTAAACTTGAAGAGCATGTAAACAAATTATTGAACCTACAGGTCCACATCAGCCATTTTGAGGCTGCCATTTTTTAATCTGCATTACAAAATAAATGATGATGATGAAATGACATAACCATTCATATCCAACTTGCAATAAAATTATTAATTAACTAATAGAAATTATTACCTTGATAGATTTGGTAAATCTTTAAATTTCAGTAGGTTCTCAAGAACTGCCAACAGTTTGCATTTGACTGTACAACTTTTTGACATTTTATATCCAGCCATTAGATTTTGAGCAATCCCAGTTACAACAGCAAATAAAGACTCTACATAAATAAAAATTTTAAAAATATCAATGTTAGATGATGATTTTAAGTTTCTTTATAAAGAATCACTGAAAATGGACAATTCATATTCTTAAAAAGATCTATATTTATTGTTTGTTTGAGAATGATTATGAATGCATTTGATCTCAGATATGACATCAAGTAAACATTGTATATAAGATAGTTACATATAAGATAGTAAAGATAGTTACATATATACACTTAGTGTGCCAATGTATTGCACAGGTTTGACAAATGAGTAATGCGGCTGAGTTTTCAACAAAATGATGATCAAAATTTAAACCACTAATGTGAAGCCATTAGGCGTCTGTTTATAGTTAAAAACCAATCAAACTATGTGAGACTTGCTAAAGTTTTATTTAAAATTTTTGTAACAGGTTCTGTTAATCGTACCATGATAGGTTTGAAAAAACATTTGTAAGATCACATTAAGGTGCTGGGATGCCAAATTGATAATTATTGATCTTGTATTTGGTGAAACGTGTCATATTTTAACCCATTTTATTATGCTGACTCTAATGACGTTCCAACCTAAAAATATTTGAAATCAATAGTTTTTTAATAAATTCCTGTGAAATATTCGTATTTGGCCCATCCACAAAGGATAACACCCATGAATATTGCAAAAAACTCCACAAAAGTAAGTTCTTGAAAATAAAAATTCCCTTAAGACAGCGATGGGTATGTGGTAAACTCAAAATATGAAGTAAAACTTTGTCCTTTACATCTATATTAACTATAAAATCATATGTTTTATGGCCAAGATGTAAACAAACCCTCTGATTAAAAAATTTACCCTTGCTAACGGAACTGGTAATGTCTGACCAAAAACCAGGGTACATCTCACAAGCTATGGTTTAAACGTCAGAGAGATTGCTATGGTAGATATGATGACAAATTTTACAAATACTCATACAGGGCTTCAACATTTGATTTCTAAAAAAATTCCTGAAAGTTTGAGATTAGGTTTGAAATCAGGAGAACAACAGAAAAACTTCGAAGAATGGAGAGAGTGACTTGAATCAGAAACATGTACTTTTAAAAAAATTAAAGGTAACAAGAAACTCTACACTAGAATAGAGTCTTAAGAGTTAAAGTGCAATGTAAGAATTTACCTTTCATCTTGACATTTTCAGCTGGAATTTGACTACAAAAAGAAACCAAATGACACAAAACTGTTTGGATAGCTGCAAGTTGGTCTGTCCAGTTTTTAACTCCACGACTGGAACACTTTGACTGAATGTAATTGGCAATCTTTACTATGTATTCAAAGTACTTTTCAACTGACTCTTTAGGCTTCTTGGCAATCATGCAGCAGGAAATCTCACAAATAGCAACATTAATATAAAAGATGTCTTGATTAGAGTCATAGCTTTTGAGATGCTTACTTTGAGCTGTAGTTGTGAGATCAATTGGGAAAAAGTGAAGTACATCTTTGATGAAATCATTATAATATAAATTGGCAAAATCTAGATTTTCATCATTTTCTACAAACGACACTATGGTTTTCATTATTAAGATGATTGTCTTCATTGTTGGGAGTAACACTTGGTTTTCTTTCTCTGCATTTGATACATGATCCCTTGAGGGGTTGCAGTCATTCCAAACAGAGAAAAGAACAGGCATAAATGAAAGGATCAAGCTCCTGACCATCTTGCCACAATTTGATATCTCATTAATGACATTGCAATGATCACTAACATCTGTCTGGTCTTTTTTATCATAGTCAAGTAGCTCATACTTCAGTAAAAAAATGTTTGTTTTATTTCCAGATATTTTAGTGTGACAATCTGATGATTTGGCAAGATCGTTATCTGGATTTGTCTTTGATTTAAAAACGAGTAATACTATCTTCAGAAGTTTTTCCAATACACTTATCTTTACTGCTAGAGTTGACATTTTGCCACTGGGTTTTGTAGACAAGTCTCTGCCAACCATCTTGGATTTTCCTTTGTTGTGCACTCCTTTCTTATGTGAAACAGAAGTTTGATTGTGAGAAACTAAATCAAGGAAACTGTGGAGAACTTTGTCACAATATTTTAGAAAAATCTCTGGAAATGAATCAAGACAAAGATCCATAAAATCAATGGAATCACTTTGAATTCCATCATTTATGTGGGTCATTGCACAGTTCATATGAGCCATTATAATTGGGAAGAATGGCTGGATTTGGTTGGCAGCTGTAGTTTTTAAGATATGTTCTAGGCAAGTCAAGAAACCTTTTCTCACTCCAAAATGAGCGTCTACAGCTTTGCTAAGAAGTTTTGGAATAATCAAGCTGAGGTTTTGATGTAATGACATTGGATACTGGATGAAGAAATCTTTCAGTGCTTGAGTTGCATCTTTCCTTGTGTTATCATTGTAATGTGTCAGTTGGGTTAATAGGTCCTGTAATGCAAAAAAGAAATCAGCAAGACAAGGTAAAACAGCAAAATAAGATAAAATCCCCGGTATAATTCTAACTAGCTTGGTTTTCTATATCGTTGCTTTGAAGTCTGAAAAATTCTACTATTACCAAAGGTGCTCCTTTAAAATAGCCAATTGAAAAGCAATTAATTTGTTCTTATATCTTTCTATTGTATTGTATTCAATTTTTCATCATACTGGATCTTTTCTGAAATGATACTCAGGATGTCGTTCGTGGTAATTCTTATATCGAACTTTAGTTCTTAACTATTTTCTACGTCTAGGAGACCATACATTAGGTACTGACCTTCAAACTTAAATTCCTTCGATTTGTTGGTTCAGCCTTCTCCTCAAGTTGAGCTAGTACATTTATGGCGGATGATTTGAAAGCAATGCTTGTAGCATTGGCTGCAGTTGGTTTCTTCTTTCCGACTTTCAATTTTGGCTTCACAAAGTCCGCTTCCTTTTTCTTCTTCTTTTGTTTATTCGACTTTCCCATTTTGTTATTTTACACGTGAAGGTTCGGAATGCTCTTACTTTACCTTCTTCTCTGAGCCTCTATTTCGCTACTGCCTCACTTAAAGGACATGTAGGGATGGATCTCCATGTATGGATCACAATTTTTTTTATAAACAACCTCATGTAAAAGGCAGGTAGAAGGAAAAAGCCATAAGTACTAAGGACAAAATCTCTAAGAAACTTTTTATTTTTTAACATTGTTATCATTGCAAAGCAGCAAGTTTTTAGAACTGCACATTAAAAAGACCCTGGAAAGCAGCTGACAATCCTTGCTGCTTTCGGGACAAAAAAGCTCAGCTGTTAGATTCACGCTGAATCAAGTGACATGACAATGACGTGGATTCATAACTGAATAACCACAACTGCTATAACTTTAATTATGAATATTCGCTAGAAGTATTTTCTCATTATTTTAGCTATAACCGTTTCTAGCAACTATTTTCAATTTTGACTGACATTATTCATACCCCCACTTGTTTCGATTGCCCCCTGCATAGATAGCCCCAAATTGCCAATCTAAAAATCACATGAACTGTGTGTTATGGTGTTACGAAGGTAGATATCGTGTGTTTCATTGTGTAATTTCGAGTTTATCATCTTCCTTTTTATTGAATTTACATTTTTTCATATGTCAAACGTTTTTCTAGTCTTCTTTTTGTATATCAACTTGCTGTCTAGCTGTAGTTAAGAATCTAGCAACACTAATACAGAATTTCAATGTATTATTTGCAATTTTCATAACACCATAACATTCATAACATTTTTAAATTAAAGAGCTATTCAGAAACTTCACTACTACAATTCGATGAAAGAGGTCCAGATTATTGAACTTCAAGAAATAGGCCTCAAGCTGGGTATCATATAAAATAAAAAGCGTGTATTCCCCGATAAGACCAGTTTATTTTCCTAAAGTGGGGGAGGGCAGACTCTGTTGAAAAACTGGAAAGTTCGTAGCATAGAGCGAGAATGAAGAAACGCTACTGTCATTTTTTCCTAACAAGCCATCAGTAATGTGAATTCTCTAATTTCAAACGTAATACACAATGCCTTTTTGCATATTCGGTTGAAATAATGATTCAATCGGAGCTCGACTGTAGAACATCCCAACATGAAGACAGTAATGAAGTTGTGATTAGATTGATGCATACATGACATTTTTTACAGTCACAGCGCCACTGGGGACTTGGGGGCTGAAGCCCCCCAAGTTTTTCAGAGATAAAAACTTTTATGACCGTCTATTTACCAGCTTTTTAAAACAGAGTATCAAATCAAAGGAGAACAAACTCTTAATATACTGCTTGATTTTATTTGATCTACATTATTTACTAACTTATTGAGGTATATTTCTATTATTTTTTCTATTATTTGCGTCAATTCAGTAAATAACATTCTGTATAATTGGAATGTCTTCATTTTTGATATGTAAACATGGCCTACTAAAAATACTCAAGAAAAAAGAAGATGCACATTTCAGTTCAGAAAGTAAAAATCTCTAAATCAATTCAACATCTTCTTGTTATTTAACATTTTCCTAAAAATCCATAATCGATCTTTTTCTAAGAATCGTCGAATTGTCTATTCTGAGCGGTATAGTAATTTGTTAAATTTTAGTCTGGGAGATGCATTTTAGCCATGTTAGAAGTCCTAATTTCAAAAATTTTCTTGCGCCCTTGCTCCCCCAGGTTCAATTTTGTAGTGCCATCTCTGGTTTAGATTCAATTTATTGTTTAGATTTAATAAATTGTTCATATAAGAAATGTTATGGACAAAAGCATACATCTGCATGGATAACAAATTAGTTCTTCATCGCAAGGGCAGAGATAGCCGGGGGCTAAAGGGCATGAGCTCCCCACAGTGGCCGGGTCAATTTTAACAGTCAGATCGTTTGCCATCTTTAGACTCAAAAGTTGAAAAATAGCATCAATACTAATTTTGTTTTATATGAATAATTGGAAAACACTCTGCTAATTGTTGGGCATCTTTTCCAAAAAATTATGACCTTCTGTAAACTGCAGTCACAAGCATAAAAAGTTGTATCATACGCAAAATTGCATAATAAACTGTCTTCGAAAAACAAATCAAAGTCACTGAAGCAGATATCGAAGATGAGGAAGTGAGGACCTCTAGGACTGATTTTTGAGGAACACCTAGCTTAATGATGGACCTGAAGTGTTTGCGGAGCGTACATGTATAAAATTATTCTAATTGAAATGATAAAAGTCAAGAAATGAAATGCTACTGAATTAAGAAACTGATTATTTGTTAGTGAAGGCTTCGTGTGAAATTTTTCATTAAAGATTCCGGGTAATAGACTTTGCTTGAAAATGCAAATAACAGTACCATTCATGAAAAAATACCATTCTGCAACCAAAGTTTGTACAAAACGAAGCGTGACTATATCCCTTAGCGCAATAGCTGCGATGCCTCCGTACGCAGGAGACTGTTTAAAGACAAAAAACAATGGTGGTGAATGGGGGCGAGGAATTACCCCCATATTATTATCAAATGACGATTCATATAATTCTTCTTACAATTTTTAAAAGAATTTACTTCGTACGGATATTTCTAAGAATTGCCTAATACAACTGGATAAAGTTCTGAAATGCGACGAATGGCGTGGTCTCGTGGGTCACACCAATTGCCTTGCCATTGAATAGAAAGATTAAACGAAATAAGACAAAAACATGACTTTTCATATTACAATGTGAAATAACAAGCTGTGACGAACAAGAAAATAGCACCAACACCCCTGGGTGTGTTTCAAACTCGTAAAGGCGTTACTCTGATTTGCAGTAGCTGCGGAGGAGCGTCGAATAGATTCAATTCAATTCATTGACAAGGTCAGAGGAACGCAAATTGGAGCAAGTTTGCGCCAAAATTATTTTGCGCGGGAACAAAGACGCAGAAAAGATGGCAGTCGGAGGTAAGATACAAAAAGTGCCTTAATATTATGGATATGGACACCCTGTTAGACTAAACGCTGTCAAGTTAGAGAGCAACTTTAGCACCTGTTTACAATCTTATATAGGCCACCTTGGCTTCTTCTTAGAAAGAGGCATCACACCAACAAGGCGGCCATGATACTCGTCGTGCATAATGGCAGCTCAAAAAATACGCACGATGTTTTCGTAACAATTTGAGATTGCAAATTTAACCACTCTGATTGAAAGTGCTAGTTTTCATGCCAAATCGAGAATGAAAATCAATTTGCGTAACCATCAAATATTCGACTTGTATCTCTAATTTGTTGCCACTCTGCCAGTATATCATATATACTATATGTGAAACATTTTCATAAAAATTATAATTAGAATGTTTTAGTTCTATATTCTATGTAAAAAACCCCACATTATTCTCAGTTTGCTATAGTGTTTTGTATGATGATGATGACGCAAACAAATTTTTCTAGAATTTTTGAATTTGGATCCTCCAACCTGAAAGAGCATCATCAGTGCCGTCGGAACGAAATTCATATTGGGGGGGGGGGGGCTGCCCATTGTTTTCCTTCTCATTTTGTACACTGTTATAAAGGAAACATACTACAGTTTGACAATTATTGGGGTGGGGGGGGGGGGCCCAGCTCCCCGGTTCCAACAAAACCTGATCATGAAATACCTAACTACATATGCAAAGTCAGTTAAATGTGTTGCGAATTGGCTGTGATATGTCAACAAGAGCAGAGGCTTCTTCTCCATCAAACTGCTTATTAAGTAAATTTGGTCTCCATTCATAACTTTATGAAGAGTTGCCATATCTCAGCTGGTTTTTGACATATTGACTGATTTCGCACATTTAGAAGTATTTCATGGTGTTATTTTAGGTTATGTGGTCAAAGTTAAAAAATTCTAGAAATAGATTTTTTATGATGTTACAGCTAGAACAGCATATATATTTTTTTGTGCGTAAAGAATGAAATGAAGGAGAAGATAATCTTACTTTTGTGTTGTGAATTTTGCTTATTTTTCATTTAATTTGTCCAGTATTTCACTTCAAGTGAAGGCTTAATGCTTTTCATTGGCAGATGTTGTGTTTCCAAAAGAAGAGGATAAGTATAAAGTTGATGCGAATGAAGTTATTCACATGAAACTTGGTAAGGAAAAATTTAATTATGCTTTTAAACTTTTAAATTTGCATGGATATTAGGCTACATTGATGTCTTCAAAAACAGGCTTTTACCCTCACTAGAAAAACTGGAATCACACAGGAAGGCAGTTAGGAGTTATTTTCTAGTGTTTGGCTTCAAAGAATAGCTTTTTTAGTGCGGTCTTTCTGTAATAATCATTTTAGCATTAGCATTATTATTTAAGTTGCATGTATGTTTTGCATGGGCAATATAGAAAACTCTATAAAAAATATTCAATTCATTGCACATAGAGAAAAGACTTGGTAGTTATAACAGTGGCTTTAGAGACAAAGTTGGCACAAAGGGGAACGGCAAAGAAGTTGATTCTCAATAATTAATGCCCAAGATTTGTTTGTTTAGTTATTCTTACTAGATTTAATGTAGGGAATTTAAAGTAAAATGAACTGAACTGAACAGGATACGTTGGTGATACATGAACTGAACTGAACTCAGTTGTTACAGTTTTTAGGTCAAGTTTTTGGCAGTTTAATTTTTGTTTTCATGCACTTATTATTAGGGTTTCCAAATATTAAGTAATAAGGAACAGTTTTAATAAAATTTTAAGGAGAAAAGATAAGTAATTAGGTAGAGCATTGATCTTTCAGTTAGAACTGCAGAAGATGTAAAAAATGAAAGCAATGCCTTTCAGCCAGAAATGAGCCATCAAGTATTTGGTGATACGTGAGTTTGTTAATTATGTCATTGTTTTAATTTTTTATAATTATTTTTAAAAGCATGTACCATAGTAAATAAGCATCATTTCTTATATTTAGCCAAAAATATTTGTACATAAGTTATTCAAAGTATCATTTCTGTCAAAGATCAATTAAATATATATATTTATATATATGTTCTATGTCAGAACTAGCATTTCTCAATTGAGCTGTAAAACTCAAAGTATTATGCATTTAAAGATCAACTACATTATTATTTTTATGAGATACTTCCATTTTGGCAGTGAATCAATTTTTGGATACAATGGATTACATGTCAAGGTTTGTTTCCTGTAATCAAAATATCAGTAAAGTAGGTTGAGGGGCAATTCAATGCTTCATTGAAAACCTTCTGTTCAACTTATAAAATAGAAACTCTATAAAAGCTAAATAATTGAGTACACTATTCTATTGTGTTTGTATTTGTTACTACCTTGCTTTCGAAGTTATGTTTCAAGTTACCGGGAAGCTATACTTCTGGATCAGTATCCTGATGTGGCAACTGATGATTCCTACGCTTGTAAATACTGTGACCAGTGGCATATTGACTTTTCTCATTATAAGTGAAAGTCTAGTCATGTCAGTGACTTGAACCACAGACCCTAGGATCTGAACTCTGCCAACCTAACCACTGAGCCATACTTGCACTGTTAAGGTTCATGATACACATTGTTCATTAGATTTCTTGCTGATTCCATGTTAATTACAAGAATCTGGTATGTGAAAAGTAAAGTTAGCACACACAAAAATGTGATCAATGAATGTTTTTTCATCACATTTTTGTGTGTGTTAACTTTGTATTGAACCTTATGTGTTTTTTCATAATTAACTGTTTGATTACAATTTAGATTCAAGCAGGGAATTATATTATACTTTTTTCTGACATTAATCAAGTTTTGTCTCATGAAATTCATATTTCAGCTCTACTACCATGCAGGAAGTTTGCTAACTTACCTTGGAATGGAATACAAAGGGAAGGTTCCAGATTCACTTGGAATTGAAGTAATCATTTTCTCTGTAGATTAATATCTATTGATATTGATGATTGATGCTTATTTGAATTCTTGGCTTTTCTTGATGATCTTGTTGCAATTGACCAAACATAATCAACATAAAAACTAAACCAATACTAATGTTGTCTATAAACCAGAAGCCAAAATGTATATGACATGTTAATTTAATTTCAACTCTTCATTTTCAACAAATTGAAAAAGGTTTTCACATTTTCTAGGCAGACAAAGTTTTGCCAAATATAGCTGAAATACTGGCTCCAGGTAACCTTTTTCTTTATCATATACAACAAAGTCTGAATTTTTTTGTTTTCTTTCTCTTCAACAACAACCTTTTTCAAATGCAAAATCCTGACACAAAACTGTAAATGTGAGATGATTTTACAGGATACTGCACAAATTTGGATGAATTTGTTGCCAAGCTACCTGGAGAAAGCAAGTTTACACCAATGGGAACAAAAATACATTCATATAAAGTAAAAGATACAGAGTATGAAATTTATCAGGTGAGAAGATGTTCTTTATATTTCTTGAAAAATCTTGTGATTTCAGTTGGTTTTTTGAAAATTATCTTTTGTTTTTAATTTGTTGAAAATTAAACAAATTTACTACTGTTGTTTTGAGTTTTAGGAAGCCAGCTTAGATAGGAATGATCTATCTACAAAGACTGTGTAAGAAAGCAACTATGACTGTAGCAAAATCACAATATTGTTTCCTTTATTATAAGGTGGATATATCAGTTCCTGGATTTCGAGAATACCATGAACGATTACAAACATTTATTCTTTGGTACATTGATGCTGCATCATTTATAGGTAAGGACTCTCATTAATGGCATTCCCTTGTTTCAACTTTGTGAATCAGGTTACACTCAAATTTGTTTTTAGAAAAGATGCCATAGTTGTGACAAAAATAGTTACTCTTACCTGGAATATGTAAACAAGTCATTTTTTCTAAAAGACCGAACATCCAACAGACAGACTGAACATCAAAAGAACAAAAAAATTTACTATGAAACACTCAACAAATAAATTCAATCATTTTGGCACTAGAGATAGTTTCAGAGTAAAAAAACATGAAGAAAAGCAGACCAGAACTATTTATGGATGTCAAACCATTATTCGATTTACGTTTTAACAGTGTTATGCAGCGTGAGGTGTTTAACCTGTCTTTTGGAGGTTTTTTGGACTGTTCTTGGGTGTTCCTGGGGTGTATTTTGCATGTTCTGTCTGTTTTTGGGTGTTATATATTTAAGATTAAAATGATTTTGTTCATAAGTTGATAGATTCAAAAGCCTAAATGATGAAGTTCAGTTAGTTGTCCCATGAAAGCCAAAGATGAAAGCAATGATTTAATCTTTGCTTTGAAAGCCCATCATCTTGACACTAAATTTTCAAAATAACTAGAAAAGGATGTTAAATATGAATTTGAAACAAAACATACCAAAAAATGTTTATCTTTTAGTCTTGGTTCTTCTGTTAATCGTTTTTTTAGTTCCTCTGGTGTTTGGCAAATAATAATAATCATAACTTATTACAGCACAAATTATTTATAATCTATGTGCAGTAATAGTAATAGTGATAAGTTGTGCTTTTTCTTTCCAGATGTTGATGATGAAAAATGGAACTTCTTTTTATTGTACGTATACATTGTACAATCTGGAAAATTTGGAATTATTTCATATAGGGTTTTATTTTTTGGGATTTATTGTGTATATTATCATGTGATTTTGGACAGTGACAAGTTGCAATAAAAGGCTGCAATTAAATTCCTATAGATTTCTTAAGTGAATGTTGTATCAAGTGTCAACTTTGAATGTCAACTGCTTTCAAAGATGAATTAAAACCTCTAAATAAGTGAACTGGTGTCAATTTTACATCAAAAATTTTGAAAACCCCCAGCTATGATTTGAGAGTCATTTTTTGCCTGTTTTAAGTAAGATTAGAAGCTTGGAAACTAAACAGTTTCCCACACAAGTTAAATTGGTGTAGAGATTTGTATTCATTATTTGACATCCCTCCCTCTATAGATTTCAAAAACAGAAAGGGCCAACAGCAGGATATGAATATAATATTTGTGGATACATGACTGTCTACCATTACTATGCCTACCCAACAAACACCAGACCGAGAATCAGGTAAACAGTTTCTTGTGCTATTGCCTATCTTGCTTTATGAATGCATCAATTAATGCCAAGACATTTATAGGAAACTGCAAGCTGCAGAAACCTGGAAGAGCAACAGAAACTACACATTTACTTAGTTTTCTACTTTGACTGATAAATATGTTGTTTGGTAACCAAACATCACCAAATACCAAATCAAAAGTTGCCAAAGGCATAACAAGTATCCAGAAAGAATAACATATTAAAATAGCACAATGTTCAAATTTTACACCAGATATGTCACTAGAAAAACTGACACCTTAATGATAAATAAACATAAAGGATAAACGTAACTAGCAGCTATTTGAAATATTCAATTTGCTTATTCATTTGTCCTTAGTCAAATGTTGATTCTCCCACCATATCAAAAATGTGGCCATGGAGGTTTGTTCAAGATTTTTCTTTAAAGTCTTATAAAATATAAATTAAATATATATATATGCATTTTCAATGTGTATTTTTAGTTATATAAATTGTTTAATTTGTTATTTGTTCTGAGGTATATTAATGATAACCCATTTATTTCAGCTGAGCTTTTGCAGACAGTTTACAACTTTTACCAGCCAAAAGAAAAGGTTATTGATATTACAGGTAAAGCCTAATGATTATTTTAATAAAAAATAGCTGCAACACAATAAAATAATGTACAGGAATAATTTCAAATGCTGCCACAGACAGTGCTCATTACTACAGACTAGGTACCCATTTACTCTCCTGGGCAGAGAAGGGACAAATTCCTGTTAACACTTTGCAGAAGGATTCTGCCCTCAAAAGTGACAAAGGTTGGCATCAAAAGCCAGGAGCCACATAGCAGTCTTTGTATTATTCAATTTGCTGGCATATGGTAATTGCACACCTTGACAATTTAAGGCTTACGTGTGTGTGATGGCATGCCTTATATAACCAGGACTGCACAAAGTATTCTATTGTATACATTAAAAATGGACAAAGTAACAAAAGTTCAGGATCTCTGTTGTGATTTCTTGTAGTTGAGGATCCCTCAGAGGACTTCATTCGATTACGTGACTATGTTGATTGTCAACGATGCATCTCACTTCCTGCATTCACACCTGATAATCTTATAAATGGATTCAGTGACTCAATGGCAACGGAAGCAAGACAGAAATTCAAGATATCAAAGGTGAGATTCATCTTTTTGCATTTAGGGCCTGTACATAAGAAGGTTCATAAAACTGGAATCTCCTTTGATGAGATCCTGCAGTTTATTCTTTATAAAGAAGAAAGAACAACCATCCAAAAGAGAGAATATATTCCCAGTTTACTAGGATTTTGCTTAAGCACTTTAAGGGTTCAACCTAGTAGAAGAAACAAATAACAAAAACAGATTCTAAGCATCAATTATCTAAGAGAAGACTATCAACATATTCTTTATACAATTTCTGTTTACTCTACTGACTGCCAGAAAATTTACTTATATAATGAGCATTATGTTTAACTTTATCTCTCAGATAGGGCACACATGATACACTTTCATGAATTATGATTTGTGTGATATAAGACACAAAGTGCAAGGAAGGTGAATTCTTAATTTAGAGATGGACACCTTTGATATAAATCTTATTTCAATTCCATGTTATGATGTTTGATATTTTATGTATAGTGCAAGGGGTTTTTCCTAAGTTATCTGCTTTAGGTTTCCTAAGTCACATAATGCAAGGGTTTTTCCTAGGTTATTCAAAGCTAATAACCAATTGATCTATTTCAGCTGCAAGCAAGAAGGGTGTATGAAATACTTAGACTGAATGTAACCAACACAGGAGATCCTGAACAGTACAGAAATTACCGCTTGGATATAAAAAAGCGCTTAAATGCTCCCCTAAAGGTAAGTTTGGAGTTATGTGAGATGGCAAGAAGGACTCTATATTTGAATGAAAGAGTTGCAAGCTTTTTAATGTAAATGCTGAAAAAGAATAAATTTTTGGTGGGTGCTTTACAAATTCTGAAGGTATTCGTCAACCAGAATACAAGTTTGGTCCAGATCAACTAAGATAAAAAACTAGGACAAATATTGCTTAAACTTTTAGGATTGTTTACTGTAGTGAAAAAAGGTACATGAAAAGATGTTTAATTTTTCAGTACATGGGAATTGAAAAAAACTGAACTTTTGCTATATGTGACTAAACATGGACTTCTTTTGATCTTGCTTTACACAGAAAGAGGCAAGGTACTTGACAAAGCTACAGAGTGCACTAAGTGAAGAGGAATTCAAGGCAGCAATGTTCAACCTTAGTGGAACAGAAAAAATGAAACGACTTGAAGAGGCATTTAAACTTCTAGAGGCAGACTACAGACGAGTGTTACACAGGCTTGCAACAGCATAACTCGAGTACTTTACTACCTGATTAATTTCTGGCATTATAATTAGTCTTTGTTGTATAGTATATTACGTATATCTATCAAGTTAATAAAAATAAAGAAGCTAAACTGGTATTTGATTAAATTTTCTAACAAGGAATATTCTGTTTGTATCATTTGGGACAATAAGCTTTTGATTGCAAACCTAACCTTTGCCTCCAACTGAATAATAACCCTTCTTTACTGAATCTACAAGAATACTTTCAATGCCTTCTCATTGCTAAGTTATCTTTCCACTAAAATGTGTTGCCTCCAAAACAAGTTTATCATCTCTCCTAAAATAATTGTAAACTTGATATAGGCGGGGTGCCCCTTGGAGACAAGTTCACATTTTCTGCATGCAGAAGAATGGAAGGAGATAGCAGAAGCAAATAGAGAACAGAAATATATAACAAACAGGGGTGAAGAAAAAATATTATGACAAAGAAGGGCCAAATGATTATTGCCCTTGAATGTATAGTTTTCCTGCTTTGTTTACCTGACTAAATTCAACAAACTATAAGTACGAAAAAAGTTTTTTGAAAGAGCCTTTTCCTCCCAATCCAACATTACTGAGCAAAAAGGTGTACACAGAGATTCAAACAAACAAAGAGATTTCCACACGACAGGCTTGTATTTGCCAAGTAGCAGAGAATTTTCCAGAAAAAAGTAATAGAACTCAAGGTTTGCCAAATTTGAATTGTCATTTTACTGGTAATATTGTTAGTTGTACTGACAGGTTTGTTTTATGCAAAATTTATGAATTTATAAATTCAAAGGACTGCAGAAAGCACATTTTAATGAGTATAGCTGCCTTCGTGTTTACATTTATAAGCATTTATTTTGGTGCTTTTTGCAAACACAGAGTGGCACTGGCAAGAATTACATTGGAGATATTCCCATTTTGTTCCATCAATTAGCTGGTTTCTAAATGATGAATAACATTCATGTTGCATTATTCTGCATTCATCTACCATTAATATAAAGGTGGATGCAAAATGACATTACTAAAATTTATTTAAAGTGATATTTTTTAAGACTGATTACAAGAAATACCTATGTGGACATACAAATTGTACAAAGAATGATGTAACTGACAGTTTTTTGATTTAACCCAAGCAATTTGATCAAAAGAGACTTGTGGTCTAGGAAGGCATTACTGGTACTGGCACACTGGGACTTCATTTTCCTAGAGCACCATACAGCCAAGCAGGTCTGGCTTATGCATTACAAGCACTGACTTGGAGGTTGAAAAATTCAGCAAGTGAAGGGTGAAATGTGTGCCTGAAAAGTGCAACATTTAAAATACTCTTAAAGTATTTTTTCCAGATCAGCCATCAGAAACTTTTTGGCTAGCACAAACAATTATTATGTTTTAAAACTAAGCATCGCATATATAAATATCGTCAACAAACCATTAGATATTCCATCCCATATATAAATTTCAAGATATTATGTGATTTGTTTTCTGGTAGCATTAGATGAGTGACTGGCACTTATATCAAGGAGCAATAACCAGCACAGCTTTGCACTCCACCAGCTGCAGACTCTTTCAAATTCATACCACCTCCTTGCACAGAGTCTTTCTCCCAGAGTCCAGGTGTTTGTATAATCTGATAAAATGATTACACACTGAGTTTCTGTGCCAAGCAAGTGACAGCTAATATCAAGAATATTCGAATAAGCCTTTTGTACGGTACCACAAAATTTGAAAATACTGCTTAGATGCTCATGGTCATTATTAGAAATATTGCAAATTAAAAGCAACTTTATATTTTGTTTTTTGTTAGCAATGTCAGAAAGACTTTATCATAAAAAAGGGAAATAAGTTGTGCCATGATGGCAACGCAAAGAGAAAGAGGATCCATCTGAAAGTAGAGGAATTTAGAAGAATTTATTGACTGAAATTTTAACTTTTCAGATTTAGCATGGAGGCCCCTCTCTAGTGAATACTCCTTTCTAATAAACACCCCTCTCTAACAGGCATCCCAGCTAAAAGCTAGAGCTAACACCTGGGCATTTTAAAACGGTAGCCTAGAAAAACTGAATCAGCTACAAAAACTGAAGCACTGAAGCAGAAGAAGGAATTCACTATGAAATCAATTGACAAAGAGTGATAGACAATAAATGGTTTAGTATGTTTTTTTTCGGTGCTTTTCAAATCAAGAATATTCACTCCAGTCTTTACTGATTTACTCACATACTTTCATTGATTTATACTTTCATATAAAAAAGTTTTAATCTTAAAATGAAAAGGTTGCATCAGATATATCTTTTATAATCAACTTAACTACTACCTTACCTTCTCAACAAGTTCTTCAAATGCACACTCAACACCATGCTTTGTCTTCGCACTTTAAAAAGATATGGTTTTGAAATGATGAATTCTTCTTTCTATATTTTAAAAATACTTATTGGGTTACACTGACACATTGAACAGTTCACAGCATTTAATCAATTCACAAAAAGCAAGTGTCAAAATTAGGCAACTGGCGTTTGCTGATTAAGACACACTCTTTCAACTTGGTTAAAAAAGAGGTAAACAGCAAAATATGTTTATTTTTCCATTGGTACTTCCAATTGTGTCTTAGTATAGGTTTGTGTGAGTAATTTCTTACCTGGCCTCAATAAATAGCATTGCATGTCTTTTCGCAAATTGTAGTCCCTCTTGTCTTGTCACCTCTCGTCCAGGCTTGAAATTAATAAAAAAGAGAATGTAATAAAGAAAAACATATACCTTCCATAGAATAAAAGAAAGCAAATGTGCAAGACAAACTAAAAATTGAACTGAGGCTGATAGAAGCAGAGTGAATGGTAAAAACCAAAAATTTTTTACTCTGTTTCTGTGAACAGTGTGAGCGCACAAAAGCAGATATTTTCGGCTTTGTTAACAGATAAAAGTGAAAACAGCGCAGTGAACAGGCACTCTTAGCACGATAAAATTTTTGTTTCATATCAACTGGATACACATCATTGCCCCCTTTCAGACAATAAAAAATCACTCCTTTCCATAAAATCTTTAACAATGGCTGATGCACAAATCTTAGTCTACGACAGAGTAGAAAAATAATGAGTTGTCATATACATACATATTACAGTGTGAAACTTTCTGGACTATAGCATAACCTGATTGTTTATTAGCATAAACTCACTTTATCAATTTTGTTTCCAACCAGCATCTTAACAACATCTCTTTTTGTGGTATAGGTGTCACATTCAGTTAACCACTCTTCCAATTTGTTGAATGTATCCTTGCTTGTGACATCATATACTTTAAAATAGAAGTTTTAGGAGGATTAAATATTAAATACTATCATATTGAATATTAAAAATGCCAATAAAAATGATTAACAAAGACAAAGCAGTAACTTTCCTAAACCTAAACTTTCAAAATAGCTTTCTAAACCTGAATTCAACTCTCTGCAAAGATGTTTCATCATAATTTTTCCACAAAGTATATAAATGAATAGAATATTTCTTGTTATATTAATTCAAAAAAGTAATTGACATACCAAGAATAATTCCCTGTGCACCCCTATAATAACTTGGTGTTAAAGTTCTAAATCTTTCTTGGCCTGCAGTATCCTGCGGAAAAAAACGGTATGATTTCAAAATTTCATATTTCAACTTCAGAATAAAGTAGACATTTTCTGCTCGCTATGCATGCAGGGTGCCTTGCCTTTTGATTTCAGTTTGGCACAAGGGCCCTGCCTATGCTTAACAAGCAATAACGAGTACAAATAAAATCATAGGCATAACATATTGTGTTGCATTTTAGTGCATTTTCCCTAAATTTCCATGATTTTGATCACAAATTAGAACACAACTGACCCTTTAAAAATTCTAGGTCCCTACATAAAAGATGCTAAACTTTTAACTTGAATATTTCAGCAGGGAAGCTGGAGTCTTCTTTCAAGATTAATACACCATTTTTCAAAGCTTGCTAAAAATTGGGAATATGAGTATATAGAGTAAGCAGCTGAGGTTAATTCAAACTTCAAAATGGTACATTCAGTTATTTCCAATTCTAAGTGGGTCTTCTTAGAAGCATATATTGAAATCTTTTGATTTGCTTTATTTGCAGATAAAAGTACTTTATTGAGAGATAATTTTTTTATCTGCTTGAATTGTTATGGTCACTTGTTTGCCAGAGAATAACCCTAAAATTTATTTAAATATTGTGTCATATTTCAGAAAACAAAAAGCTTCATCCTAATCTCATGAAAGATCATTTTAAACATAATTTGAAAAATAAATTAAGATTACTCATTAATCAGAGCATGGCAAGAGCTTAGCTACATCAAAATTTTATGTTGACAAGCATTGTCTGTAATATACCTACTTACCAACTCACCAACTCACCAGTTTTGTGTAAATTGAAATTAGAGGGCAACACAACACTTCTCAAGTCTTTATTTAGTAAAATATTAGCTTGAACCAGGTTATAAGAGCCATTATAAGAAACTACCCTATTTCTTATTCAAATTTCCTTTATAAGAACCTTTTTAGCCTAAAAAGGAGTAAAAAGGGAAGCTTTTATGTGGGTTTTTACTTTAATGCTGTCAACTCAAGCCCCCAGCCTGCTCTGGCAAGCCACTATTCCTGAAAATAGAATTAATGATAATGTTTAAGCAAACTCTTGCCATTTCAAGCCTTCATATCCTTATACAGGACCACTTTCTGATAAGAGGGATGTTTATTCAAAGGAGGCATCTTCAGTGATTCAATAAATTGGTAACAACACTCACCCAAATTGCAAGCTTTGCCTTGTTTCCTTCAATGCTTATTGTCTTAACCTTGAAGTCCACACCTAAAAATTTGGACAAATATTGAAAAAAACATGTTGCAATCATGAATCTAAGAATACAATGCTCAGAAACAAAAAACATTTTCCATTCAGCAACGGGGCTTGCAAGATGAACAAGGGGGTGCAGTTAGCAGACAGGTGCCAAGTCATATTACTACAGTGTTTTGACCAATTGCCTGACAATATATGAACAGTAAGGCAAAGATATGATTAAAGCTGTAATGATAGACCTCAGTGTAAGCAATTTTGAAAACTATCTTACCGATGGTTGGTCCAATATCAGGATCAAAAGTATCATCTGCAAAGCGTATCAATAAACTAGGAAAAAAAGAACAATTTATAGCTCAAATTTTGATCCATGCATATTAACTGGACAGGGTTGCCACTGACAGGGCAGGCCTTTAGAGAGAAGATACAACAGGGTCCAAATTTTCAGGCTGAAAAATGTTTGGGATCTCCCTCCCCCTGTTTCGTTTCTGGAAACAACCTTGCTTAGAAACTGAAAGCAAATGGTCTTCATAATTGTTCCTTTATAGCATGGTTAAAATGTTCATCTTTTTTAAATGGAGGAGGTTCTTCAAGATCGCTAGCCTATGTTCAAACGTTGTTGACAAATGTGAAGTGCTTTTTCTCCTCTTTTCAATAAGTCACACAGGCTACAAGATCGCAAGATCACTGAAAAAATGTTTCAACATAAACAAAACCGAATTACTTTCAAAAACTTCCATATTCGACTTTGGTCCTTTTGGTGCTCATATGGGACAAAGCCTTACCTGGAATGATACATTACTGTTGAAAAAAACCATTATTTTTTAGCTCTTTTCAAGGCCTGTACCCCTGCCCCATCTGACTCCCTTATCGGAGCTACTGTAACAGATATAGCATTTTCAAATAAAACATATTGATACAAAATATATTGAAGATGGTGTTGAAGTCAAGGTCTCAATGAGTGTCAGCACTTTAAGATAGCTCACGCCCAATATAGGCTTACAAATATAAAATGTTTCAACATGCAAATTGTTTGATAGGCTAGACAATGGGTATATAGGCAAAGTGACACAAATTTAGTGACCACCGCTAACATTGTTTACAGACAATCAAGAAACATTTGCTTACAAAAAACTCAAGGTTTTGCATTTTGATTCCCCATTAAGTCAATAAAACAAATAACCACATTAGAATTCAACGAATAAAGAGCTTTCTGTTTCTTAAGAGGGCAAGAATTAGTTGATTACCTTGATTTTCCAACAGCACTCTCTCCAATTATCAAGATTTTCAACGTAGTCAACACATCATCGTCCATCTTGCGGAGCTAGGCCCATATGCCCTAAGTTTTTACCATAAAGTAAAACTAAATAAACGCTGGTAAGACCTATTTGATATTAATTGCCGTTTTGTTCTTATGATAGGTAATTACACCTTGTTGAGCTTGTTAAAGTCTTACAGACGTACGATTCAGACTTCCAACATGATACTATCGTCGTTGCATCATCACAACCACTAAATTAAATCTGTCGCTGCGGTGGAGGATTGGGAACTAGAGTAATTCACAACAACTCAATCATTCTGTCAAAAGTTTCATTGCAGGCTTAAAACAATTTGTGTAAAAAGTTTTTACTTACCCTTTTTTCAATTAATCTTTTCGTATCAAAAGGTATCAATTATTGTCATCAAAGAATGCTATAGTTTAATATAACTAACTAAGGGGTGCTTGGCCTGTGTTCCAAAGGAGTATGGTGCTTGACTTGCAAGCCTCTTTTGAGTTTTCAAGTAACGAGGCACCTGATACATGATGTATTGATCGTTGTATTTATCTAGGTTTTAGTACTGAGTTGCTTAATTATCTTGTTCTCATCTTATTTAGAAACACAAATGAATAAAGAGAGACAGTTTAATCTTAGTACGCCTTCTCTTGTAAATTCCACGCTAGTTTCTCATAAATTCTCGGCTCGTTGCAAAATTTTGTTATTCAGTTCAGGTTGATTAAAGTTGTATACAATACAGAGGAAGCTTTCTTGTAAAAAGCCATAAACACACATCTAAAAAGCCAAGGCAACAGAGGCAAATTTTTCCGTATGTTAACTATTCAGTTTTCCCTATATAGATACTCATCTCTACATAAATACTCACACTAGAGCATGTTTCGGTGACTACTTTCTACTGGTGCATTTTCAAGTACTCCACGTCAAAGACTAAAAGCCCAGCTACCTTAGCTATAACAACTAGACTATTTAAGTCGTACCTTTCCAAGGAAAACAAATTTCACTGTAATCGATGAACAAAGTGTATTTTTCCTAGAGTGGTATTATTAAGAATTTAAAGGAAGCGTTCTGTAAGGAATACTTTTAAAAAATTTATCGATATTAAAAAGTGAATTTTCTTGAATCAGGACACTTTAAGATTATTATATCGCAACCGTAATTTCATTTCCTTATTTTTGGAGATTCTGAGGGCAAATCAGTTTAGCCTTAACAACGAGCAAACATTTTTTTGCCCCACTAGGAAAATTTCAGCTTTCTGGTATCACTAAATCATTGTGTACTTTGCTCTAGTTTCTTAGAAAAAGTTAAAAATCTTAGAAAAAATGTAACTGTTGTTTGCTGGTGCTTATAAGAATATGAAAAAGCAATGAGCCTAAAGTTAAATAGTCTGGACATCGAAGCAAGCTACGGGAGATAGAGAAAGAATTTGGGGGAAAGTGGGCGACTTGACAAGCTGTGCTTTAGTAAGCTCCCACTTCTTCCATTGGCGTAGCGGAGGCTAATTGCTTGGGAATGGGGCATGGCTTAGTATGGGCTTTGCCCGAATAGGGCTGCATCATTGAAATGAAATTGCCCGAATGGGTCGGAAATTCGATAATTTTGCCTGATTACGGGGGCTGCAGTCCCCAGTTCCTATGCCTCCTACGACTATGACCGCTTCAACCATGCTTCAGAATTTGGCCAACATGCCTCCTTCAAGAGGTGTAGGCGGTTAAGGATAGCTTTCCAACTAAATATAAACAAACAAATATTAAAAAATCAATCATTTTTAAAAAACTATTGTATACATAAAAACTGTATTTACTGCATCATCATTTACTCAAATCATATATAAACAATGTACAATCAGAATGCGTTTGGATGTTGAAAAGTGTGTAAAAATTATTTGAATTGAATAGATTAATCATTATACGAGCTAGGAAATAGCTGACAAAAGTTAATAAATCAGTTAGGTGATGCGTTCGAAAGGTATTCGAAATAAACAGTAATTTGAATGATCCCTTTTTCAAAACTGCTGCGAAATATTGGTTACCAGATCTTTTAAATCCAAGAATAAGATAGCGAGTATTATCAACCTTGTACAACATGTCTAGAAAGTTTATGCAATGGGTACTTTGATACTTTAAATATCACGGTGCCAGCGATAGAATTTCGAGTAAAGGATAATGACGTTTCTTTTAAGCCGATTTTTCGCAGGCTTTTCATTGTTAAGAAATGTTAGGACTTATATGTACCTCCCTCTTCTGCGTAACCAAAGAAGCTAAGATTTGGAGCGGGCAAGCTATAAAATATACAACTCTAAGAACAGAAAGCATACAGTTCTCGTTAACTCCTAATTATAAGGTGGGTTTTAGAACGTAATTTTTGAAATATACAACAATAATTCTAAAAATGGATAAAGTATCTTTTTCTAATAAATGATTAGGAAAATCTCTCTGAGAAATACAATCTAAAAAAAATAAAAAAGTCAGCAGAGTTGCGGAACTGAAACAAAGATAACGTTCGAAAGCAGAAAAATGACAGGATAATGGATAACAATTTCGTGCACTTTTTGGTCAGCACATGATTTCACACTCTGGGAGGTGACGGACAAAAACCACCCTCGTTATGTCGTTATATAAATATCTTTTCGGTTAAATTTTCTTTCAATTTCGCAGCTCTGTAGATGAAGATATAGCAGCGGAAATACTGATATTCATTCCAGTGTTAGAATAAATGTAGAGATGCTTACTAGCCATGCCAACTTTACACCATCTTGGATTTGCCCAAAAATGGCTAGGAAATCATAGCACTGCAAGTATTCCATGCTATTGTTTTGATACGATCGTTTAAATTCATTAAAACTGCCAAATAATTATCGACTTTAGTTATGCAGTTGGAAAGTCTGTTACTTCCTGATCATCCGGGCTTTCACGATAAAGAATCTTTGATGTTTTAGCTTCAATTTCCGCATACAGTCTTTTGTATTCTGCTTTAAATCCAATGACAAAAATCAGGACTATAACCGTTAACACAACAGTAACTGATATCAAGGCGTTTGTCAAGTCCTTTGAATCAAGGTTGTTGTGGCTGCCCGGTATATTGCAAACAGAGTGTTGCTGCTCTTCTGGTGTCAATTTTGTCCCTAATTCGGGAAGGCCAAGCATCAAAAACACTCCAATAAACTGTCTGCAAAAAAGGAGATGAGAAAGGATAAACAACTTTTCTTTAGATTGAAAGCAAAAGGGATTCACGAGCTTGATCCACTAAGCTAGAGCTGCTTTCCTTTAAACTGCGAGATTTTACCCAGTAAGTTTAGCCAAAGGGGCAATGGAGTGGAAAAGGGTAGCGAATCGACCTTAGCTGGGGACCTTTAGAGGAAACCTATTGTACTTGCGGTCTTTTGGATGCTAGAAAACTTCCGCATTGTGACACACCCCAATCTCAAATCTAGTGGAATTCGCAGGGCAATCATTCACGTGGATGTGCAATCTGAAATAAAGTCCCCCCTCTCTTTCTCTCCCTAACGTCTGTCACTAGAATTTAGCATGACACCTCCCCTTCCCAATGAACAACAGTCAGTGTCTTTCTAAGAGCCGTCGAATCGTCTATCCTAAGCGGTATAGTATTTGTTAAGTTTTAATCTGGGATTTTAAGCCCTGCTACAAGGTATAATAATTTTAAAACTTTTCTTCCGCCTCCCCCCCCCCCCTTCAGGTTTAATTTCGTGGCGTTGTTCCTGTCACGTAGCCGAAACCATATGCCGTGAGATAAAAGCTTTATTACAAATCAATTTTGCCATTTAATTTACGCTCACATAGATAAATACATATTTCATAGGCAATCAAGTTTCAAATTTGTTTTTATTGCTTAGAAATTTATCCTTGGCAAAGACAAATGTACATCGGTAAAGCTTCTACTAGCAACCTATAGACTAACCTTTGCTTCGAGGTCTGCAGGGCACCACTAAATTTTGCAGGGCAGAAACCCTTTTAACCCCCCCCCCCATAAACTTATTGGCCTAGCTACGGTCCAGACTATAAGACCTGAAATACTTCTCAGAAAGCCTTGATATGACACCGCATACGATTAAAGAGGTAATATAATTTAAAAATTGTATCCAGATGTTTGATAACTGGTTTTAAAATGATAAATGGAACTAGATCCTTTGCTTGTCCCATGAACCCGAAAATGGTTGAAAATTGGTTGGAGATTGTTTGATGACAAAAAGAAGCAACATAAAATGAAAATGAAAATGAAAAACCAAGAATAGTGAGAAACTGGAAGAAGAGAAGAGGATGTTATTAGTAAACCAGCTTTTGATCAATGATTATTGGTGAAAACCTATGTATAAAGTTAATAACTATGGAAAAAGAAAATTGCAATATTTATCGAATGAGCAATATGCACAATATTGCCATTTAAATGCAATCTAATATTTTCCTCTGACATTGAGTTGCATTGTCTCTTATGAGATGATCTTCAAACTTTTCCTTTAAGCAGTTATACCTATCGCCCAATTAGGCAGTCTGACAAAGAAAATAAAATTAAACTATTTAAAATGTCGATAAGTGAAGGGCTCACCCAAACATCCATTGCAAGCCTGCACTGGTAGCTTCGTCCACAGGATATGTGCATTCGACTCCAAGCTCAAGACAAATGGGAGCCACACCTAAACATGTTGCTCCGAACAGGAAGAACACGATGCACAACAATGTGGTTTGATTGAAGAGGCTTGTACTCTGGCATTGAAAGATAAGCATGATTGGTCAACCACGTCGATGTTTTTAACTTGAAAAACTGTACTTTGTTAAGACTAAAACCAATTTGAATTTGACAGAAAAAATACTAAGAGAAACAGATTTTTTAGACGAAATTATTAGAGTAGTAAAAACACCTGAGCCTAGTTTAAAACCTAAATCACTTTGTATACTTATGATTCGCAGTGATCGCGCTTGTTTTCTATGAGTTTTTGTGATCAGCTGAAACTAATTGCAATATTGGCTTTGTTAGGCTGCGCATACACCAAAGAAAATATGTCCTTGGGGGATTATTCGCAAAGAGCAACGTAATTTAACCTGGATAAGGTGGAAAAAACACTGGTATCTTTTCTCTAACTCGGTATGACCAGCTTGTTTGATTTGACAAACTCTGGCTGGGGTATAGTTGTTTTTTTAACGTTGTATTTGAAAAAGTCCATTGAATCTTTCCAAGATTTGGCCAAGTCCATGAGAGTTTTCAAAACCTCAAAATGTTTCTAAATTGTAGCCCAGTTACATGCTTTGTAGCTTGCGGAGTTTTAGAACACCCTAGTCTCTATCTGCTTGTATATGGCTTAGCAAAGCAAAATGAGCGAAGATAGTAAAACCAAAATGTGCATAGCATGCTGAGCTTTTTTACAGACGTAAATCGTATTGCAACATTGTCACAACGAGTATGAAACACGAATCAAATTCGTAACTGAAAATCTTTCTGATGACAATAAATGGTTTAAATTATTACTTCAAGAACTCTATAAACAGAAAAAAAGTTGAGTATCCTGGCACAATTTAGTCCACCCAAACTCTGTAATATCGATAAAAAAACAAATTACAACTCATCTGTTCAGACCTTGAGAAGGAAAACGTTTAATGACGATTTTTAGACAGAGAATGCCAAAACGATAAGAATGATGTCATTTTTATAAAATATTACTCACGACAAGAACGAGGCATGACATGATAGCGGCTAACAGCATGAAAACCTTTGCCGTTTCTTCAAACCTTTTCGTTTTGTCAACATAAACACCCGCTATACCTGAAAACAGTAGTCCACCAACAATAACTAAAGCACCGCAAAGACCAGCTATATCCTAAAATCAATGAAGATAATCTTTTAATTCTAACATCAACTATATAACCTAATAATTCAATGTATAACGCCAGTTTGAAATGCTGGATTCTTGAAACGACCTTAACTTTGCAAAAATACCTTCCCTGACAGATCTCCTCCTGTGACACATCTTTGATATAAAAGTCCCCCAAGTATCTAATGTTGCTATTTCCATCTTTCCTTTGTGTCCTTGTATATTGTAAGTGAAAAGGACTTCGGAAGCATATATAAGTCAGAGGGACACAAATAAGAAGAGACACTTTGCAGTAGTGCTAATGAGGCCACCTTGGAAAAGGTACACCCCTTATTCAGAAGTCCTTGGTTAGTAGTTATAAAATTAGTTGCAAGGCAATGTAAGTCGGAGGGACACAAATAGCAAAGGACACTTAGCAGTAGTGCTTAAGAGGTCACTTTTTGGAAAAGATACACCCCCTTATTCAGAAGTCCCTGGCAAGTAGTTTTAAGGCTCTTTACAGTAGTGCTAAAGAGGTCACTTTTTGGAAAAGGTGCACCCCCTTATTCAGAAGTCCCTGGATAATAATCATGAAATTAGTTGCAATGAAGCACTTTTGAAAACATTTGCATGTAGGGAATTCTAAAATGAAACAAATTAAACTGAAATAAACTTACATTATCGTAGCCTCGTGGGCAAATAATCTGTTCCAGCAGAGACGTTATTGTACTGAAAAGCGCAACTCCGAAACCAAACACAAACATCAGCAAGATGAAGGAACGGCTCTTCAAAGCCTGAGATAAATGTTTATTAGGGTACATTAAAATGAAATTCACTGAAAAAATAAAATTTGAAATGAAAAAGTAGCAAAAATCTGATATTTTGAGTACAATTAACAAAAAGGCCTTTTAAATTCACTGAAATGACATTCAAACAATGAGAATTGTATAGTTTTCACTTTAAATAAAAACACTAGATATTTCAATAAACAAATGTACTTGGCTTCATTTTGCTTCCATTGGTGAGAAAATGAATAAAAATATTATTGACATACCATTTTGACTCCTTTTAGAAAGGGCTCCGAGATGAGATGTGCTGAAGCTGAAGGTGGAGTTGGAGGGGCATCAGAACATACACCAAAAGTTGTCATCAAAGCACCCAAGACAGATGGTACACTAAATATCATAAGCTACCAAATGAAAAAAAATCTTTAGAACAGAGAAATTTAATAACTGATAAATTACAAAGCTCAATATTGTTTATTTGCATATTATACATTTTTTTGGAGACCATTCAACATAATTTGCAGCTTACTAAGATAATACTTAAAAATGACGAGGGCAGCCACAGCAGTAGTTGTACTAGAAGTAGAACAAGCAATAGCAGCAGTAGAAGAAAAAGTAGAAGAACGGAACTAACCATCAATTTCATGTCAGTAGCTTCTTTTACAATAATGGGTGAAAATGCACTTGCGATCAGAACCCCCAATGGGTTTGCTAGAAAATTATATTTTGAATGGTAAAAATCAAATAATTTAAAGCTGGAAAGCAAAAAGATCTCTAAGACCCCGTTTAAACTGTCCCGTGCAAGATTGGAACCGTGACAGTTCTGTCACGGCTCGCCCTTCCGTTTTCACTAGCACTGTGGGACCAAGACGATTTTGCTCTGCTATCCGTTTTGCAATCCTGTTTTGCAATCGAACGAATTTTGTACCGTCACGGTTCCGTTTTTGAACGGGACAGTGTAAACATCTATTCACATTCACAAAGAGGTATTTTGTATGGCTGTTTCAGGTAATCGAGGCTTTGATTTTGGTGCAAATACGTTGTCAAATTTCTTATCACTTTGTTAATTCAGTGACAGCGATCGCTGGGCTTAATATCTATTTAGCAGTCATTTACGATGGTTAACAACGCCATCGCCAACGCCATTTACAATCTATTCTCGATGGTGGTACATCAAAACTCCTAAGATAAAGGAAATTCTGAAGAAAAGACGACGACAGAAAAGCCTTGTATTGTTTCCCAGTCCAAGCCTTGATTGGAATTGGCAGTTTTGTAGTCTAAAATGACACTGAGAATTAAAGCACCTCGTCGTCCGTCTAAGAGAAGTTTTTATCGGCCTTCTTCTCCATTTTCGCTCTCAATAAAATGTCGATTGTTGATTGTGGCGGCAAAATAAAAACCTTGGTTGATGAAATACAGCCTCCTCTAAACAATGTTTTACCATTGAATCAAGGTCGTACTGGAACGGCTAAACGGTACAATTTGAAACCTTGACAGTGTAAACACTTGCAAATCGTAACGGTACAAAATTGTCCCGGGACAGTGTAAACGGGGTCTAAAATACATAACTGTGAAGCATAAAGAATTGAGAGAGTAATACAAATCCTCTACTTTGAATGGAAAAAGAATTGTCATAGAAGGGAGGAAGCAATTTATGCTGGTCAAGATTTCAAATATTTTCACCCTTACCTAAGGAAGCTAATGTGTTTGCCACAGTTCTCTCATTATCAGCAAACCAGAGTGCAGCTAACTTGGTAGGAATTGCCAGTATAATTGGTTGGCTGCATGCAGATATTGCTTGTCCCACAAGTGCCATCCAAAAAATATATCTTTGATGTAGCAGAAATGAGGCTAGTAATCTTGTTATACACCCAAAAGCATTTATCCAGGTCCCTGTTAACATCTAAGATAAAAAGACAGAAATGAAGGATATGCCACAGTATCCACAGTATCTTCTCTTCATAAAAAAGGGACTTTACCCCTTTTGGCACAAATATTGGAAATACTTGTTAAAAAGCCAAAACATATTAAATCTACACTATGTAACTCCTTATAAATGGTAATAGAAACCTTGAGGATTACCCTACACAGTCATCTCTCATGAGTACCTTATCACGGTTTGGCTTCACAAAGGAATATCACATGCAAAATTCAATTTATCACTCAGATTCATGTTTTGGTCTTTCTAGGTATTACAAGGACAGTGTCTGGAGGGGTGAGGTAAACCAACATAATAAAGAAGAACATCAGCCCCTCCTGGAACGCTTGAAAAGGAAACGATGCTCGAATTTTTATTTTAACCGCCTGCCTTAACTTTTTGTTGGTAATTCGTGCTAAAGATATTTTCCTATTATAAGGGAAACCATTATAAGCTTGTAGCTGTTTATGTTAACCACATAGAAGTGCTAAGCATCATATTCCATGTTGGAAAATTGTCTTTCTCTGTGGCTTTTCAAGCTCCTGTCTACACGTATTCAAATATCTAAAATTAAGTCAAAGAAAAAAAGAAAGCAGTCATAACAAAACTGGCTTAACTGGCAAAAAAAACTTCCATCTCGAAGGAGACAGAAGGAAGGGTTGTTGAATTTTACTGTCGTGATGATATATCTAGACAAGCCCCTGGAAAGAGGGACTATGTCACAATTTGGACAAATGATGTGATGGCAAAGAAAGACTCTGAAGAGGCACCTTTATTTTTCAATCAAAGAGACTTGTGCATTATTCCAGAAAGAGTACCCATCATCACCAATAAGAAAATCAAAGTTTGTTATATTTAGACCTTCAAATGTTCTTCTTCAAAAAGATACACCAAAGGAAGCATGCTTATATGTTTACCATGAGAACATAGTATTGTTGTGTGAAGCATTACACAAGGCATTGAAAGATTTTCCATTGTTTTCAAGTAATTTTGTTGACAACTTCGTTTGCTCCTCTTCATCAGAGTGTTGCATGTTTCGTTTATGCCTAGAGTGCAAAGATAAGGGTGATGCTTGGTTTTAGAATTTTACAAGAGAGGTTTTGAACAACCAGATTTCCTGGAACCAGTGGGAACGAATAGAGGTAGATTTTACTGAAGTTCATTCCAGAAGAAAGTAAAAAAAAATTACCAGTCTGGCCAAAGTTGCAAAAAGAGGATTGAAAAAAGATGCTAAATGGAACTATAGGTGATGCTTTAGAGGGACGTGCTGAGAAAATCCCTAATTTCTTGGTTCACACTTCACTTCCAGTTCAAGATTCTCAGTATTCCACCCTCAAGTGCAGTCATTCAAGTCAATTTTAGTGAGAAATACTCCCTTCAAGACCAAGGAGAAGTGCAACCTGCACATTGGAATGAAGAACAACTTACATTGTTTACAGTCTATGTTTGAATGTACCAGAAACAGAAATCATTTGTGTTTGTCAGCAATGACCTTGATCATGATAAAACATCAGTTATTGTCTTCATGAACAAGTTGCTATCAATGCTATCAATAGATCATGGAGTCATAAACTTTGATATTTTTGGTGATGGGCCATCATCCCAATTTAAAAATCAATATGTTTTTAAGTATCTACCACAACCGTGCGAAAAAATAGCAAGGGCAGATTGGCATGGCACTTTTTGCAACTTCCCATGGGAAGGATGCAGTGAATGGAAATAAGGGGGACTGTGAAACATGATGTTTGGATTGCAACTTTAGCCAGAAAAGTTATTGTGCGATCACTTCATGACTTCTGTGCTGTGGCAAGGGAGCTAAGCCATAAAGTGGAGATTATAAAGATGACTGCTGCTGAAATTGCCACAGAAGCAGACAAGCTAAGTCCTGCAGAATTTTTTTGCTAAATCAAGTGCCATAAAAAAAATAAAGAAGCAACATTACGTGGCAGTAGCGCATGATGGAAAGATTTTGTGTGAACAATACTCTTCACAGCCTGAACAAAAGGACCTGGAATGTTCTAGAAGTTTAGTTGAGATGGAGATGGCAGATGATTGATATGGAGACCATTGCCATCAATTAGCTCCAGATGCATCTTTCAAGGAAGGAGATTATGTCATATTTGTATTCGAAGGTGAACATTTTCCAGGGATGGTTACATTTGTGCACCCAAAGAAAAATGGAGCAAGGATCAAATCAATGGAGAGATGTGCTGGGGGCTGGAGATGGCCTTGAAGTTATAATTTAGGGGACATTATCAAGGTTATTGGCTTTCCTGTTCCTGTTAATAACAGGGGCACCTTCAACGTTTCTCACTTTTTTTATTTGCAGCATTAATCATGCTGTATGTCATTCCTTTTGTGTGAACACATTTCCTATTCCACTGCAAGTTTTGGCAGACAATATAATAGTTTGTAAGGAAACGGAAATCTCCTATTTATAATGCACTTGATAAACACATAGACGTGTAAGACCTATTTCTCTTTATTTACTAACACCCTGATATTTAGCAATAAGTAGTACAAACATGCAGATTAAATGAGAACATTAGTTTGAAAAACTGGGCGGCTGGAAAAAAGCCTGTTGCAAATTTATTTTGCTCTGGGTTTGCATGGGCACAGGGTATAGCCCGTATCTCTAGGCAAGGCCTGCAAATGAATATAATTGCCTTTTTTCAGTTTTTCAGACTGATTTCTTTCTCACTTATGTGGTCTTTTATAAATGCGCAAAGAAATTCTATTGATAAATTTTACAAATTGTTGAAATCACCTGCCTGACTCCAACAAGGACCCCAATTTACTGTCCCCCTGCCAAAATTCTTGTGGCTGCCTGATCAGTTATATAGAATCATTCCAGATACCTGGAAATTAGGACAATCTTACTTTGCCATCTATCTCTGGTCAGGTTTTTCCAGCTCTATGTTTTCAATAAAGCATATAGTATCACCATCTAACTGTGGTTTTAAGCCCAATCTGATTGTTCGTTCTTTTTCATTTCATTTCATTTCATAATTTATTTGTTAACGCAGGTTAAAAAGTGGCAGCCTCAAGGTGACTGATGTGGACCTGCAAAATCAAAATATTTACATAACTAAAATCATGGTAAAATTAGGAATAAGTTTGCACTGTTCATACATTGCAGCAGGTCCACATCAGGCACCTTCTAGTTGTGACTTCTGCCAAATTTTGGCAGTAATGTGTAAAGGGTAGTTTGTTACCCGTGCATTCCAAAATGCATGCAATGTGGTTCTGCACATATTGTTGTGCTGATCTCTAGCAGAATTTGATCCTTCTTTCAAAAGTAGATCTCTTATAATTCTGAACAATAGGGGCAATACTTTCTTTAAATTTTGTCAAAAATTGGATACAAGATATAAATTGGGCTGTTTGGCTCAGTGGAAGGAATGATTACTGATTTTGATGCTGTAAACTCAGTGTCTGATTCAGACCAAGTACAGTATTTACTACTGGCCCTTGTGGAAACAATTTTCTCCTGTCATTATATATACAAATAAATATATAATGCAAAATTGTATAATGTGCATATGACACCCATTCTAAAGATTGCTTTAGCTTTGAATAGAGGAACATTCAATAATGTTGTTGGAAATAGAAATAAAATGATAATACATTACCCCAATTCTAAGTCCATATGTATCAATAAGCCAGAAAGCTGGTAAACCACAAATAACAGAGAAAAAGAAAAACACCAATGAAAACCAGTTAATTCTGTCCTCAGAAACATCATAATAGGCAGATGCAATGTTAGCAATTGAGGCATAACTTATCCAAATCTGTTGAGGCAAGAATCAGAATTAGCAAATTTGCACCAAGACCCTTAAAATAAATGTAGAGAAGGTACACATTATGGTCAGGGCAGGTGTGAGATTTCAGAGGCCGAGGGGCAAAATAGAAAGATGAGGCCCCCTTCAAGAGAACCAAGCAGAAAGTTTTTGTGGCTATGCTTTCTGGATTGGCCTTTGACATACACTTTGGAATTTTCATGCCAACATTTCTTGCAAAAATTTAACATGTTTTACTATATTTCGGTATACTTTTGTTATGTTTGATTAATTTTTATCAGGCCCCCTAGGCCTCATAGTCCAAAGGGCAATTTGCTCCCTTGCCCTGTCTCAGTGGTCCTGATAACACCTATCACATGCAGGCTTTAAAATCAGCTAATACATTGATGAGAGTTTAGGAAATGTAGGTTTTTATGAATTCATTTGTTCCAATTTTTTATCTAATCAACAACAGAAATAATTGACATATCAACATATATTCTCCTTGGTTTATACCTTTATAAGATATTTCGCAACAATCCTCTTTTCCTATATTTTTACCAAACTAACAACAGAAAAAATTGACACATAAAAACACAAACATATTCTTCTTGGTTTTAAACCTTAATCAGATTCTTAGCAAAATAAACTTATTTGTTTGATGCATGTTAAAGCCAGAACATAACTCTCAAAATAATTTAGTTTTAAGCTACCCTAGGGTATTGAATAATGAGGGATGCCTTGGGTAGGAAGGATGTCATGTGAGCATTAGAGCACAGACAAGCATCGGCACAAATCTCAGTCGATTTAGTTCTATCAGCTAAAATGCAAGTAGACCAATGTATTCACTTACCATAGCATTTGAAATATTGAAGATCATGACCACTGATAACATAAACCAGCGGCTTTTATAGGTGGCATGACGATTTGCTAAAAGAGGTTTAATTTCGTCCATTTTTAACTTGACAAGTCCCGTTTGACAACAGATAACATTTGGGGCCAGCCTCGATACCAACAAGAGTCATCGTCATCTCGAGAAGAGTAGTTTGGGGTGAAAGGTGGTATTGGCTAAACACTCAAAACAGAGAGAGAATTATGGAAGGGGGGGGGGGGGATATCTCATCTAAGACAACTGATGATACAAGAGGTCGCCCGATTACACTTTTGACAAGTCGTTAATGATAACAACATGATTGTAATTCTAATGTCCATTTTGTGCATTTCATCTTGTTTTCTTCAGTGAGAAATACGTTTGAAAATAACATTTATTTGGAAAAATCCGATGGAATTTTCGGTTAATATTTACGGAATTGAAATTAAATATACAATATACAAACAGTTTTGATTTTGGTCATTTATTGTTTGTTTGATTATTTAGTCCTGGCTAATATTTCATCAGCCATGCTATGTTCAACTTTTGCAAAAAGGACACAGAGGGGCTATAGAGGCCCTGGAACACCAATATATTTGTCCTTTAATAAATTCAGTAAAAACATTTTTTGTTATGTTAAAGGCAATGTGTCGCGCTGTTCATTGACAATAGTTTGTTTAATTTAGAGGGTCCTCGAAATTAGAGAAGCGTGACAAGTTAGTACAACTGGTCAATAGCACGTAAGAGGCGTCCTTTGTTACGGAATGAAAACTTACTGAAATAAGAAATTTTGTACTTTGTTTTGATGAACCAATGAACGGGGCGACGTAATGCCTTTAAGTAACAAAATAATAGAGAAATTCACTTTTTTATCTTCATATCTTCTTTATCTAAAAGTTAAAAACTGAACTTTAAAAATGGGCGTTTTCATCATCTTCAAGTTGCCTCGAGAGCGTGGCACCCAACCGAATCATCATTTGACACCCAAAATCCATTATTGAAGGTCTCCCAGGGGTTTTCGGAAACAAGCAAGGTTGGTAACAAATGGTACAGGAACACGGGAACATTGGTTTTTTTCAAACACCCCTGGGAGACCCTCATTATTACTAAAATCCGTCCCTTCTTATTGTGCCAATAAGTACTCTTGCTTCCATCGAAAGTTTTAAATATAAAGAGATTAATTTATCAACAGCCCTAGCTATAAAACTGTGAAATGAGATCAATACGTTTCCGCGATTACCAGTTAATTAGAAAATATTTTGACAACAAGAATGGCAACAAGATTCCCCTAAAATCACATTCATGCCGGAAATCGAGTACTAGATATCGACTTAGCCCTACAACTCTTTATCGTATCATCCCCGCTGGTGCATCTTGCAGCATTTAAAAGAGTGGCTAGTAGACTATTGCGACTCAATTTCGCCAAAAAAAGTCTTCTGACTGTCTTCTTAGACTGAAAAATTAAAGGACACAACAAAAAAGAAACAATATCCAAACACACATTTCATCTTAATTCAATAAAAAACACATCTAGGTCAGCTACAGTGCTAATCTTTCTTTGGGCGTTTTCAAGTCCAACGTAAAACGAGTTCGTTAATTCATCCATATTAATGCCTCAGGGAGTGTGGGCTAGTGGCTATCACAAAACAGGCATCGCAAGAACGAAACCATTGCAAGACACACTAAATCTAAGAAACCTCTTCAGCAGCGATATTATAAGCCGGGAATAATTAGATTACAACAAAATATTGATTAATTCAAGGCTACATTAAGAAGGCAGTCGCTTTGACACTATAACAGTTCAATATCTAGCTCAAATCTTTCAAGATGGTGAAGAGATTTGTAAAGTTAAGTGATATCACGAAGCCTGAACCCCCCAGCATTCTTATCTATGGCCAGCGAGTGGTCTAAAGTCCCATACCACCCATTCCACCCATTCCACCCATTCCGCCCATGCCACCCATTGGCATTGGTGGGTCTTCCTTGGGTAGGTCTATGATAACTGCATCTGCAGTGGTAAGTAGTGAAGCAACACCCGCAGCATCAGTGAGTGCGATCCTGACAACTTTGGTTGGGTCGATGATACCAGTCTTGATCATGTCGACGTATTTGCCGTTCAATGCGTCGTACCCCATCTCGAAATTAGAAGAGATAACCTGAAACAGAAAATCCAACAGTACTTACAAAAGTTTTTAACAGAGAAAAGGGGAAAGCAATGCGCATAAAAAATAGTTCTTTCATAACAAAGACGAGAGTACAATGAACGGCGAGAATGCATGGAATGATGGAATGCAAATAAAATAAATTAAACTTCTGTCAACTTGGCTCCAGTTTTTCTGAACTGAAAGCCTAATGGATACCTGATAAATTTCGCGCTAGAATATGGATGTGACAGGACCACATGGGAATATATAAAATTACATTGCCCACTTTCATATCACATTTCTGCCTTCATAATATTCTTTAAGGAGTGGTAAATTTGTCATCACCTTTTCTACAACTACAGCTGGTTCAACTCCGGCATTCATTGCTATGGTGCTGCATGGCTTCTTCAGTGCCCGCCTAATAATATCGATACCAGCGGCTTGATCTGAGTTGCTTGCTTCAATCTTTTCTAAATGTTCGATACATCTTAATAGAGCGGTGCCGCCTCCAGGCACAATGCCTTCCTCAACAGCAGCACGTGTTGCGTTCAATGCATCTGTTACTCGGTCCTTCTTTTCATTAACTTCTACTTCACTTGAGCCTCCGACCTGGAAGTTTAACAAAAAATCTCAAGAACAATGTATGATACTTTATAGTCACATTTTTAAGACGTCTTTCAACGGTAAAAAAGATATAAAACATTTATTCTATTCCTTATGCAAGCTATGTCACAAAAGTTCATATTTTGAAAACAACTGTTCAGGAAAACAATGGGGAAATCTTATTGTGATTGATGTGAAAATTGATTCATAAATAAAAACCCTACCTTAATAATAGCAACACCATCAGACAACTTTGCTAGCCTTTCATTAAGTTTTTCTTTTTCATATTCAGAATTTGTACTTTCGATTTCTTCCTTAAGTTGGTCACATCTTGCCTGAACCTCGGATGCATCACCTTTTCCTTTCAAGAATAATGTGTCGTCTTTTGTCACAACAACTTCCCCAACTTCACCAAGATTTTCATGCCTGACCTCACTAATTTTTGTGTCCATTGCTTCATCTCCAAACACCTATTAAAACAGAAAGACAGCCTCAAAAAAAGTGACAAAAAAGACAAACAAACCGAGAATTCAATATTGCAACAACGAAACAAAACGAGCACTGGCAGCTTAGGGTTAATTTAGCTCTAAAAAGCAAACAATAACACATTAGAAAGTAAAAGCTAGAATTTAGATATGAACATGGGAAACGGCAGCACTTACAGTTGCACCTGTAGAGATTGCCATATCTGCAAGTGTATTCTTGCGATTGTCCCCAAATCCTGGTGCTTTGACAGCAACAACTTGCAAACCAATCTTCAGCCTAAAATCAACATTAATCACATATGGGATATATGAAGTGGGTAAGTTTGGCAGCAAGTTATGTTTGGCAGAACAAGGCAGGAGATTGCTTTGATAAAAAGATATTAACAGGTAAGAAATGAAAGCAATAAAAGTACAAGGACAATGTGCCAAACCAACCGATTCAAAACCAAGGTGCTCAATGCTTCGCCATCAACATCTTCAGCAACAATAACAAGTGGTTTTCTCTTCTCGTTTGCAAGCTCAAGAGCAGGGACAATGTCTTGAATTGCTGATATTTTCTTCTGGGACAACAGCAGTAAGGCATCTTGGAATTCAACTTTTTGACCTTTACCGAAAGAAAGTACAACAAAGTTAACAAACTGACTCTTAAAAATTTCAAAATCTAGTTTTAAATTTCAGTTTTAAATTGAATGTATGATTATTTTGATCATACAAACATACACGTCTGCATGTACTTCTAATAATCACTATAATATACCTTGCCCTTGTCCCACACTAGCCAACGGAAGTGGCAAATATGGTAAGAAAGCAAGGCAAAAAAAGCAATAAAAAGAGAAAGCGCTGTTGGTATGGTAAAAACACCAAAACCTGAAAGCACATACAAATTTAAAAGCGCTATCAATTGTTTGAAAACATATACATTTAATTACATAAGGCTATTACCTTTGGCAGAGTTGATGAAATATGGGGATATGTATCCTCGGTCAAACTTCATTCCTTCAATGATTTCTAGCTCATCATGTAAGGTCTTACCATCCTATAAAACGGAAATAAATGTTTGGAGATTGTACATGCTCATGGTTTCGTCTTGCCCTGAAACAAACTTCTTTTCCACATGGGCTCAATCTTATGATGTTCCTTAATAAACATGCCCGCAAAAACGACAAAAGAGATTCTAATAAAGAATATAAGGCTTACCTTCACAGTGATTACTCCATTTTTCCCAACTTTTTTCATTGCAGAGGAGATAAGTTCCCCAATTTTGGCGTCACCATTTGCAGAAATTGTGCCAACCTAAGTAAAAATATTGCTATCTTTTAATTAGCAGCCAACATTTTTGAGAAATTTCTATGAAATAACAACTAGTGATACATTTGCTTAATCCGAGATGCTATTTCTTCACTAATACTAAAAAGTTACATATCAACATATTACTTGAACATTCCTTTATTACTTTATTTTAAAAAACAAGATCAGTAAACTCACATCACTCTTTAGCAATGTTTACATGACGTTTGGATTGAAAATTATGCAGGAAATTGATACGATAACATGAAATTACTTTCTTCTCAATCAGAAGAAACAAAATCACCTGCAAGTCTGTTTTACTGTGGGCTCTTAAATTTCAAACATGTCTACATAAAATGTAGAAACATGAAATCAATCAGAAAGAATGTGAAAAGAAATTGTATTAATCCATTTACCTGGCAAATTTCCTCAGGTGTGGTGACAGCCCTTGACATTTTTTTCAATGCATCCACACAAACTTCGACAGCTAACATGACACCTTAAAATTAATGAAATTTGGATCAGTTCATGTTGCGAAAAGAATATCAATTTTGAGGTTTTAAAACATGCAATGAAATTAAATTTTGGAAACCTCTTGTAAAGTTATTTATCTTGGCAGGAAAGGAGAGCACTGTGGCTAGATAAGAAATCTAAACCAGGCCTTCCCGGGAAAGGCGTGGAAACTAATGAGGTGACAAAAAAGAAGAACTTTGTGTTTTCTTTGTTTTGTTCTTTGCGACACTTGTTGTGACGACACTTGTTTGTTTTGTTGTGACGACCCTTGAATGCAATCAAATACGGACCAAATGACCATAATGTCGAGGCTAGTAGTGGTCTGGTAAATTTCATTTTTACATCTAAGGCTGCAGAAACAATTATTTTACAACAATTTGCAATCATCTTTTAGCCCAGTGCTCGTAAAAACTAAGTCCCATTTTTATCACAGACCTGTGTTAGCATGCACATATTTTTAAAATACTTTTTTCAAATGGTAAATTATATAAGTTAAATTTTCAAACAAAAGGCTTCCAATTTAGACAAGATTTGCACCGTATTTCTTCTGATCTATACTCTTAAATTCGGCATCTTCAGCAAGAGGTCACAAAGGGGTCACAAAGGAACTCACTATATTCCTTAAACTGGGCAAAGATGACATTTAAGGCTATACTAATTAAGCCAATGACAATAAGCAATATGTAACAAAGATTTGGTGCAAGTAGTGTGCGTTATCAGATCATCAGGCATCCATCATTCAAAGGAAGTTTTTATGTGAAAGCCTTTGCTGATGGCCCATGCTGGAAAGCTCGCTTTCTGTAAGTTATTGCTTTTACATAAAGTTATTGTTATTTCAGTACCTAGTTCCTACCGCCAGCTGGGTTAAAAATAAACAGAGCGCAACGCAACGCTAAACAGCCCTCCCTAGAAGGGCTTACGTAATATGGTATATTTGTCCGACGAAGATGTCCCGTTCTTCCACCAATTATTCAATGTTGTACCGTTTTCATATGAAAAGGGGAAAATTTGGTAAACGGCAGGTTGTGATAAAGGCAGTAAAGGGTTATACTTGGAAACAGAACGATAGTGCTCTGGATTCTAAAGAGAGGAAAATCCTGCTATAGATTTGCTCTATTTCAAGCATTTGCACTTAAACGCTTTGTTCCATTTTCAAATTGTGCCGTTTTCAAATGGTGTCATTCTCAAATTGTGCCATTCAATTGTGTTGTTTTCAAAACTGTTTTAATATCCCTTTTGATGAGACACAATTAAAAGTGGGGGCCAAAATATTAACATTTTTCAAGGGTTTCATGAAGACTGCCACCATGGTTGGTGGCAAGAGGGATTGCCGGGGACTGCATCTAAAATATTTCAGTGTAAAATTTAAGCTTTCCTAAAGAACTCTGGCAATACTCACAAGCTTTTCTTTATCATTATGCCAAGATATATTTATTGTTAAAGTTGCGCAAAACAGAAGAAAAGACTGAAGAATGGGGTTTTTTAATGCTCCATATAGTAACATGTAATTAAGCCTTTCTAGACAAAAGACAAAATACACCAATAGCACTTCATCACACACCTAAAGCCCAATCTAAAGTGAGAAAAAAAGCAGCGAAATGTGAAAAGGTTTGCGCAAAATATGTTATGGACATATGCAGTGAACTATTGCTGGGATTTCTCGCGAAGAATTTCTCTGTGAAAAAAAGTTAAAATGAGCTTAACTTTTTTGGCTTTTCGCTTGCGAAATCCTTCAGCAGCCAATCATAGTCCATATCCCTTTGTCATGCTTCTAAACTTTACATTCCAACGTCTTGAGGTCAACAAAAGCATCCAAAGGAATTTTTTCCTGTGAAGTATTTCGCAACAAAATTTCTCAAGACTTTTTCTCACTGGAAATTGGGCTTAAAACATTCTAGGGGTAGGAAATGCCACACTTATGCTAATTGATTCCTAGGAAAGCCTGTAAACTGATTATCAAACTTCAATGAAATTCATGAAACTTGACAGAAACAAAAGGGAGATACCTTTTCGAATTTCTTGAGGGTTAGCTCCTTTTGAAACATATTCAAAACCTTCCCTGGCTATCGCTCTTGCAAGGACAGTTGCAGTTGTTGTTCCATCGCCAGCCTCTTCATTTGTATTATTTGCAACATCTTGAACTAACCTTGCTCCAATATTCATGTATTTATCTTTCAATTCAATTGCCTTTGCCACTGTCACTCCATCTTTTGTAATTTTTGGACCACCAAAGCTTTGTTCAATAATCACGTTTCTTCCCTAAAAAATGATATAAAACCAGTCAATAAAACCAGTCAATTGAGAGCTGTTATAACTTTTTAAACCTAAACAACAAGTCAAATATAAAAGACAAAATATAGAATCTGTGAATTTTCTCACACAAAGTTTTGCTTGTAGAAAACCTTGATGGTGGCCCTGGGTGGCACTTTGCAATTAAACTTCAATTTTGAAGTATTCTTTTGATTAGTGTTCTACCAAATTAGCCCTTTATTTATGTTGAGTCTTCTGCCAAAATTGTAAGGTCAAAAGTTCCCTTGATAATCAATTAGACAGACAGATAACATAATTTAGGCCAGGTTATCCACAAGCTTGTCATGACCATTTAAGGAAACAATTCAAAGTGGGCCATCCGTCTCAAATTGGTTCTTTCTGCGCTCTGACATTATGAGATTTTTGTTGACATATATATTTATGCAAGTAAGGCTTAAGGTCTATATCCTTCCCACAATGAGCCATATTTCCCCCTAAGTAACAGGCCTTCCAGGTCACATTTTGCTTGAGACATAAAGGTTTCTGTCATTTCTCACACACACACACATCAAAGCAGAGTTTCCATGCATTCTACAATAATGTTCTTGGTTTATTCAAATTTTTCCAAACCCTAGCAAAAATCTTTTTTCTTAACAAAACCTAGCTACAGAATAGAAAATTCTGCATAAAATTGTCAATGGTGTTTACCTTTTACCATTTCTTGCTGTCAAGCAGATGTCAATACTTTAAAGATGTCAATACTTTAAAGTCCCAAACCTCACAGTAGATTATTTAAAGAATCAAAGAGTGCTGCATAGAACTATAATAAATTGCATCTGCAAACAGATGTATTGCCATTCTAATCTACTAATTTTTCATTTCTGGTTTATAGTTTTGTACTATAAGGGTCAGTATTCAATGTTTTATATTCTAAATATTCCTTGAATGAACAGACTTCTGTTTTGGCTCATATTTCATCATGTTAATGACTCATTTTGTGTGAAAAATTTAGATTTCCATATTTGTCTGTCTTGAGATCCCATAACACTCTAAACACACCCTTCCTCACTTTTCAAAAAACTGCCTCATTTTCAAAACTGAAACTAGACAGGTCTGTAGTAAGAATAGCCTAGCACCTTGTGATTTTTTGCAAAAAAGGTAAGGCTCGTGATTTTGACAGGAGACTTTCTATTAAATCAATAATGTCTTTAAAAGTTTATCTGGTTAGTATGTAAAAGGCTTCTTACAATGATTTAGTGGTTTTGCAACAAAGCCAAATATCTACTACTGATGTCTTTTGCTTCTGGGATAGAATATAATAACTTGCAAGTTTTACAAGAATGAGTTAGCAGTTGAACATCTTGATACATTACTTCTGTTCTTGTGCTTCATTTATTATGTGCTCAACTTTTGCTTGAAATGTTGAAGATATCTTTGGATCAAAAACTGTTGCAAGTTACAAAAAGGGACTATTGTCAGCCGGTCTAAGATAGAAAAACACATTTTAAAAATATTTACCTTGGGACCAAGAGTTACTCCAACTGCATCTGCCATCAAATCAACACCTTGCAACATTAAGGATTTGGCATCAGCACCAAATTTTATTTCTTTTGGAGATTCATATTTACTTGATGTGCTGAAACCAGCTCCTAACCTTGGTACCAAAGATCTTGTACTTCTTGCAAGTGGACGAGCAAGTGATTGCAATCGATACATTTTGATCTATGGCAAAACAAAAATGTTAAACTGTTATATTTTTTCATGACTTCCAGGGAAATTTGTAAATGCAACCTTTGTTCCAATTCAAATCTCCTGTGATGATGTGAAGGCAAGATAGGGAACTTAGAACAAACTGATGGAAATGGGCTGATGGTATTGTATCTGAACACCGTTCAAGATTGAGACAGACTCTGTAAATGCCATGTTCCCTCCCAAGATTGCACACTATTCATAAACACTTGCAATTTTTATTTGCTCTTGCACATACAAGATCTTGTTGAGAACTGCAATGCTCTGCAGACTGGACAGAGACCTCGTATAGCAAATAAAGCAAGCATAGCTGTATTTCAATGTTGTCCTTATATAAATTAGGAGAACACTTTCTAAAATTGTTTTCCCTCTCGTGCAATAAGTCTTTTTCAAGCTTAAATGTTGTTCTTCGCCAGAAAATTGCAACAATCCCGGACATATTTTGAGTGCAAAAACCTTTCGATACATTTTTTGTCGCATGTGTAAGTGACATGCTCCCATCATGATCATTGCATCAGCCAACCGTTAAAAATACCTACCCTTAAGATATATTCGTAACATGACAAGAAGTTTTCAAAAGCTATTCATTGCAAGATTTCATTACAATATTGCATAAGATGTGTGCCTTGTTCTTGTGCAATCCGCACAGGATAGCCTCCGTCCCAAAAGCCTTATCACAAGATGGGCCTAATCAGAAAATGGACTGTAAAATGATTCTTAATAGCGAAAAAATAATGTTTAAGGTTGATAAATATACTTACATTTGTCTAGAATATTTCTAATTCACACTGTTGGAAACTAGGTGCCCTTCTGTCACTACAGGACGTTGGACTTGGCTAACGAAGCTTGCACGTGGCCTTCGGATTTTGTAAGGTTTTGTAAGAGAATATTCTGGAAGTGTGTGCTGGCTTTTGGGCCTGCGCAGCAAGTCAAAAATAACCACGTGGTCGCGTTCCTTTCCTATTCCGAGTTTCTGAAACGCACAGGTTTGTCACTGCTGGGGAGAAAAATGGTAAGTTACAATTATAAACTAGAAAACATTACACTATCAGAAAGCCTTACTTAGCTTTTATTTATTTTTGTCCTAACTTTTTCACAGAGACAAGTAGGTCACCAGGCAGTTACAAAAAATAACCTAAGACTTGCTGCATGGCCTAAATTGAGACGAACAACTAGAAATTTATGATTTAGAATGATAGTCTGTTTTTTTTATTTCTTCCCTTCTATCTATTTTGTTCTACATTGAATAAAAATTAACAAGCCAACTAACAATTAACTAGCTGTTACTTGCCGCTTCAGGCTGGTCTCGTAAGAAGATTCAAACCTCTATTCGACAGAATCCTTGTGCAAAGGCTTGTTGCTGACACGGTAAGTACCACAGACATTGCAAATTAATGCTACTAATTTCATATTATTGATTTATTTACAAGATCTTCGTTGATACTGCTCAATTTTCCTGTTTTAAATGGTATAACAACAATTACTAACTGCTGCAAGCCAGTCAATTTCCAAGGTTACATATTATTACATAATAAACATATTTTTTTAACAACACCCTTTCTAAAAGACAAGCAATTCCGACTTTGAAGATAATATTATTGTTTCAGTAAATTTGCATTTGCTGTTTTTAGCAGATCATTTTTCGTTCCCAATGCACAATGCTAAGATACTCTGAACGCAGAAACAAGGTTTTATTGTCCTTCCAGATGTCCTCAAGAAGTAATGTAATAATTTGCTCTCTTCCTTGAAGAAAACCAAAGGTGGAGTTCTCCTCCCAGAGAAAAGCATGGGGAAAATGATGGAGGCCACTGTTGTTGCTATTGGTGATGGTGCTAGGGATCGTGTAAGTTATGTTTTTCATACAAATTTTCTAGGATAATAAAAATGCTTTATAAACTTTCTTTACTTGTGCCTGCAAGTAGCCAACTTTCTAAGAATGGCACTAGATATGATTGCAAGATTTATATCAATTTCTAGAAGGTGACTCTATAAATTCCTAAATATGCAAAGAAGTATGCATCCAGACTTTTCTTGCAGGATGGAAAAGTAGTGCCTCTTTCTGTTGGTGTGGGTGATAAAGTCCTCCTACCAGAATACGGTGGAACAAAAGTAGAATTTGATGAAAAGGTATAGCATTTGCTATAAATTATTGCTGTTAAAATTTAGGCACAGGTTATAAGCACAAGCAGTTGATATAGGGTATAGATAAAGACACTTGAAATCACTTGTCAAACGCTTCTTTTACATTCATTTTCAACATCTTGCACAAAAGCTACTTACAGAGGAGAAAAATACTAGAAAATGTGTTATATTTGAAAGTGAAAGTACTGTTTAAGTATCATTTTATATTGTTAAATACTTCTTTTTTGCTGTTTTGGTATTTTCCCCTGGTAACAAATTATTGTGCTTTGTGTGGTTCAGAGCAGAGATGGCTTTCAAAATGCTTATTCCAGCATATCACAGGGAACTTGCTAAGAGTTTTCATTGTCAAAGATCAATTTGTACAAATTTAAACCCTAATGTACGCTAACAATTTTTTGCAGGAATACTACATTTTCAGAGACCAAGATTTACTTGGCAAATTTGAGAGCTGAAGAGAAAATTGCATCCAGAATTTGTCAACCATTAAGATTGTGTGCATGTAAAATATGACTCGAAAGGTTCAACCCCCAAATGATGTCAATATCAAACAAAGCAGACTTATAAAGACTTCAGAATTTATTTTTTATTAATTTGAAAATGTTTTTTTTCAATATATAGACAATGTGTGTAATGTGGGTTTGAATAGTCTGTAAAGCTATGGAGGAAGTTAGCCTCTTGCTTGCCAGGTCTAGGAGTCTGTAACAATGTCACAACCAGAATCAGTCTTGAATTTATTGTCCTTTTATTCTTGGGCTGAACAGATTATCTAGCAGAATCATGAGTGTTTAGAAAATCAATATTGTAGGACTCATCACTTGTTTTTTTAAATTTTTGGTTAAATACCTTTGGAGAAAGTTTCTGCTGTCAAATGCACCTTCTGCCTCATGGCATGCTGAAAGGTAATATGCAATTGCATTGTCCTGTTAAAAACACAATTTGCTATGTTGGCGTTATTTGACGTGAATTTCGTCTTAGGCACAAGGCATTGTGTAAACACTCATTTTTCAAAAACAGCCCCTTTTCTAATGGTTTGTAAACTCTTCTAGAAGGTATCTCTGTATCTCAAGGAGGTATCTCTGTTTTTGCACAGAATTGTTTTGTGTTTTAAAATATGCATAAACAAGTAGTTGTTGGGGGCTGTTATGTTCAAGGGTCAGCTTTGGAAAATATCCATATGTAGCCACCTGAAAAATACTATGTTCTTCAGCACTCGGCGCCTAGTGTTTCTGACTACATTATTTCATTGATTGGTTTTAATAAGTTTGTTTTCTCTATTCATTTGCTGGGTGCAGATAGCCATGCTTACCAAGGACCAGGGATAATCTCTTTCAAAATGTCACCCAGTGCATTGTGTTGCAATGTCCACGACTTTAGGGGGGAAAGGAGGAGCATTTTTATATGAAATATCTTTAGGTAACAGCTTCAGTTTTATAGCCACCTACAACTGTTTTTGGCTGGTAAAAATGCACACTCTGGTTAAGAGGATTTAAAAATCATATAGGACTTTAAATTAAACCAAAAATTTGCATTTATATAGACAAAGAATGTTGCTTCCTTTCTTGAACAAATACGCGAGATAGTAGTCCCCATTGGGCAAAAAATTGAGGAACAGAGCAAACATAGAATGATGACACAGCTACTCACTCTAGTAAATTTTTTAACCAAATTCACATACATTTTAGTAACTTCATTAATTTACAAATCAGATCAAAGATAAAATATGATTGTTTGTCAAGATTATTTCAGTAAAGAAAGCAGCAAATTTGAAAGTAGTTTTTTCTCATTCTCCATTTTGCTGCATTTTGTTCTGAGAAATTTATTTGCTTCTTGCAGAGCTCTTTCTTCTTCAAAAAGCTGGTGCAATCTCTCTTTCTTTGATAAACGGTATTTTCCACAGGCTTTATTATTTCGAGCTCTCTTCATACTGATATCTTCTTCCAAGGTTGACCCAGGCTCGTAAATTTTTTTACGCCCCCTTTTCTTGCCAGTGTTTTGCTCAATGCTGATAGTGACTGGGCTAGACCTCTCTGTTCTACTTCTACAATGAAGCTGCTTTTCACCATTGAGAATCTGACTAACAAAAGGACCATCAACAAAATCATTCCCTACATTGGATTCCTTGCTTGTAACATCATTGTGCCAACTGCTTTGCTTGTTTTTACCTTTCTCTTCTTCAGTCTTGTTATTATTCAATACTAAATTATCACAAGTAAACCAATCCATATTGATGTCTTCTTGCCTGGAGGCAGGCATAGGGGCTACAGCTTTATTGTATTCCTGACAAATAGAGATGCTAGTAACAGTGGAAGACTCTGACCATGTACTAATACCAAATTGTAGGAGTCTCTCATTACTATCATCATAATCACCATCATTAGATAACTTAGGATGGCAAAGCTTCAGATCAACAGAATCTAGGTTTTCTTTATCATCAGAGTACAGGTTTTTGTGATCATAGCCACTTTTCAAGCTTACAATTGGTGACAAAACAATATCATCTTGACTAACATCAAATGATACATTCTCTTCTGGCCAATTGTCGTTGTTCCAATAATATGATTCATTCAATTCTGTTTCCCAAATGTTAGCTTCAAACTCCTGAACAAGGACATGGGAACCATTTGCTCCATGGTCTTTATCAAATCTTCCATGTTGTTCACCTTTTGCCAAACCCAATGGAGATTGAGTTTGACATTGTCCTGGATAAGCAAATATATTTTTAAAAATAAAAGGTATACACAGTATGCTTGTTGCAATTTACAAAGTGCAAATGTAGGAAGGGAAGGAGGGGGTTTGTCAACAAGCACACATTTGCATAGAGGAGGGCTGACACAGTTCAAACATGTATGTCTAACAACTTTTTAGAAATTGTTGTTCCTAAGAAGGGTACCGATCCTTGATTCAAAGTTACAGGCGTGGAGTAGGAAGTAGTTCATTATCCTAGCCTGATGTAAAGCCAGGTAGAAATTTCTTGCCACAATTGCTTGGAGATTCTGTGCATGATGCGATCAAATGTTGTGTATGGAGGTCGAAATATGATAAATGTTGTGTACTATTTTGCCTGCATGTTTATCCAACTTGTTATCTTTGAAAGCAACTTTGCTACACCCTTCTCTCTTTAAAAAAAGATTGTGCAAATGGAAGGTTATTTTGAAATATCCAAAATAGGGAGCAAAGGCAGTGCCTATAGTGTCATATGTTGGGGATTAGGGCTGTAATGGTGTATTTCCATATATAACGTAATGTGTTAGGGGACTAATTGGTTAGGCCTCAGCCAGTAGGCCATCAATAGATGAATTGCAGAAGATAGTCCTCATCTGAAGATAGTTCCTCCTTTTCTGGTATAGCAATTGCACCCCAGGCATTCTAAAACATGGGTTTCTGTTTTGTACTTTGCATCTTAGCAGTGGAGACCCCACCAATATAAAGATACTAAATTACAACCAATACATGATGGTAATGGGTTTTGGTGTCAGTCTTCAAGAATTCAAAACCAATGGCCAAATCTTCAAAGAAAGCAAATTTTTACAAATAACATCCTTTGGAAATTATATTTATGGGTACAGAGCTGTTGCATTTTGAGGTTACTAAACAACTTCATTAAGGAAGGTTTTGCTGTAGTTTAGGCAATTAACCCACATGGATATTTAGAGGTGGCAGGTATATATCTTGAACAATATCATTGAGTTAAATCACCCATTTTAGAAAATAGTGTATCTGACCTAACAAGACCTTCAGGCATCATTATGAAACACAGTCTGGCAAGTTAAAAAAACTTTGAATGTGCATCAATTTGTCATCTAAATGTTTAAACCTCTTAAATGCTGTAAATATTTTCCTCAGATATGCAGGAAGAATGCTAAACTATGCTTTGGTAATAAGGTATACCTACAATGCCTGCCAAAAGTCTTGGAACACTGAATTTCCAAGGTCAAAATCAATCACCCTCCCTCTCCCTTACAGAACAGTGTTGGTTTACAATCAAACAGGTTAGAATTTTAGGACGAACTTTCTTTTGTGCTTCTTTTATGATATTTCTCTAAATTATCAACATTGTTTTAGGGGGAAGGGGGTGGAAGAAGTAATTTTTTTCATGAAAGGAATGAAAGATATCAAATGCAGCGTAAATTGCTGGGTGTTCCAAGTACTTTTGGCAGGCATTGTAGCTGAGGTTGAAAGGGTAAAATATTTTAGAATATTCATGATAGTTCAGATATTGTCATATGTAAGTCGCAGCAAATTCCGTCATCCTTCTCCACTTTTATTGGTGATATTGGATACAGCTTTTTGAACATTGTTATTCTCTGTTCCGGGTTGACATCATTGATTTTGTATCTTGCCATCTATGGGTCTTTCTCAAAAATGGACCTCAGAATTGAAATCTTCATCTTTAAATTAGTTTATACTGAAAAATCATGTTGTTTGGACTGTTCGGTCACAGGTTAATTTGTTTTAAATATTGAGATATTTCTCTAGATTTGAAAAAATTTCAACAAATTTCATTGAAATGTATAAGAAAAGCTAAATCTTGAAAATGGGTTAATTCACTGTCTAACGGCCCAAACAACTTGAAATTTTCAGCACAGAATAATTTCAACATGAAGGGTTCCAATTCTATGATCCATTTTTGCCAAATGTGAAGATAAAAATTGCCCAGATCAAAGAATTTGCTTGTGATGTCTAAAAAGAGTCTTGCTCCCCTTACAACTAGTTTTACATCCAAAAAGTTTTTAATCATCCTACTGTCACTTATCCCCTTCCTCCCAACCTCATTAATGTATGGCTCTTTTGTGTAGACAACACTTTAAAATATTTATACGCTATGTTATGGTACCATGGTGTACAAACTTATTCTCAAAATATCGATAAGAATGAATACCTAGAGGTTCAGACTGGCTGTTCTTAATTTAATCAAAAACTTTGAGGATAGCTATTTGAGTTACTTAATCCAGTAAATTGCATATGACTTACCACAACGACTAAAGACAGTACTTGGTTTCACGGCAAATTACTTTGGAGTAGTGTTCATCCTCAATTCCTTCATCGCAGTTACACGTTGCACCCGACATCAATGGTAGGCCACTAACTACAGGATCTTCCTCCCTCGACCTCTCAAATCCCACCAGCGGTGGGCATTTTTGCTGAAAAGCAGTCATTTTACGCCTAGATGCTACTGGATCAGAAGATATAATCTCTGTACTATAAATCAAGGAAATCCTTTTTCAATCACGCCCGTTAACAGCGAGTAGAGAAAATTATGTCTACAAGACCAGCTATTTAACTTTCTTCTTCGCTGACCTGTGTTCTGTACTGTAAGGAGTTTGGAACGAATGACGTCATCTCCATTTCCCATACGAGAGTCAAATGCAGGGGCGGACTGGCCGGTCGGGCTACCGGGCGATCGCCTTCCAAAAATTGTTGCAATTTTTCTTCATTTTACCATGAAATGGGAACTTGGATTGTTTAGTAGGGGCCCTCTTCTCTTGCATTACACCTAGACACTAACGAGATAAGTGGATACAGAATAAATAAAAATATCACATTGCGGAATCTTAGTACTGAAAAAACATTTTCTAAGATTTGGGGCCCCATGTAAGCACGCAGTATTCTGGGCCTAGGGCTCACTGTTCCTAATGCAATAATACGATACTTAATGGAAGTTCCAATATTGGAAAAAATTTCTCATCGGGCCCTCAGTTTCAATGTTTGCAAAGACATGACAGATTTTTGAATCAATTTGTGGAAAGGTAGATTACTTTAATGCTAACCAGATAGATTCGAGAATATATATCAAAACAGCGGAGATCTCAGCACCCCCCCTTGTTTGTGCTTCAATCAGACAAGAATCGTGTAACGCATAGGAAGCTAGAACAAACTTTTTGCTCCAGCACATGTCTGCCATTGTAAACTGAACAAGAAAAGGAGACAAGATGCAACTGGAAGTCTAAGATATATCGCAGGCTTTGTGCTCATAGAGATGTAGACATAGTTTAACACACTACTTTTGAAGATTTCGTACTGAGAACAATTAGTTACTGTCTTTGACAGGCTATACAGGGTTTTTTATTGTTGCATTTAGAAATTTATTCAAAGTTATGTGTGTCAGAAATGTTGCGTTTGTCGCTAAAAGTGGAGATTATGATCTTGGTTGTCGGTAATTGTGAACAAAGTATCACCAGGGACGTCATTTCTTGGAATTACTGAGAAAATGTGAGGAGATTGGTTTTTCGCGAACACATTTCACCGGTCAAAGGCTGTCGTCTTTAGCCACAAATAACTGTGCAAGGAAGCGAAAGCTAAAGCCTTAGCCTTTTCTATATGCTCATTCGAGAAGGAAATGTTTATTTTTGTTGTACTTCAAGCCTTTTTCCATTTCCTTCTATTTTTACCCAGCTTTGTTTTGTTTTAGTCCAGATTATCGTAGAGTCAGCTCCTATAATTCTGACTCTCCACATTCGCATCGCTTCCACCTTTTTCAAGTCATTCCTCGTTGTTAAGCTTTGTTCCTTTTCTGACGCTTGAAGGTTTATTATAAAACCAACTCCACCTTTTTTCCCATTGTTATGTCAAAATTAAGCCTCTTTGAACCATGGGAATTATTGTAAAAGAAAGCTAACAGGCATTGCCTAGGATCCTCCTTTGGTCAAATTTGATGTTGTAAATATTTTTGATGCATTTTCTGGCCAACCCTATAATGTCATATTTTCAAACCTTTTCTTGAATTCGGCCATATTTTCTAACCATGGCGGTGGCCTTTACAAAACCCCGGAGCAATCTAAGCACTTTGTTCCCCCCCCCCCTTGCCACCTTCCAATAACGTTTCGCCAGCCCTGCCTATGCTACTGATGTTCCCATATTGCCTGGTGCTCAACCAATCAATTAACCTGGCTGCTCAGCCAATGATCGGGAAAAATATCAACCCCCATTATGCTTTGACTGAAAAATTACGTATCAAGATTTACTTGAATAACTGAGACATTCCATTAGGCCCATGATTTGCTCTGTGGGTTGATACTACTTCATTGCGGACTTTTATGCTTGAGGGATTCAACCATCCATCAATCAAAAGTTTAGTGGTAGAAACACCACAGCTTAATGCAGCCATATTTAACCCTAAAAAATCATACACTATAGAAAAAATAAATTCTCGATAAAACCTGCCTTTAAATCGTTTTGCTTCATTTTTCCCCCACTTCAAGGTCATTTAGCTAGAAAACAATAATTTTTTCCCAGAATGGCATGATTTTCTCTTTTCTCTTATCCTATGTCAGAATAAAATCCTGGGCAATACAGTGAAAATGACGCGAACCCAATTAAAAGATTTTAGAACCCCCAATTTAAATTACCAACGCTAAGGATAAATCAAGTATAACTGATGTTGCAAACGTATTCCTTGCAAAGATCACAAGTACCATTGAACGATGAAAAGTTGTTTAGTATTTTATTTCGTTTAGAACTGACTTTCGTATTTGGCTACGTCTGTATGATACGGTATTAAATTCTTATAATTTTTAATGTGGCTCCGCTGTGTGGAAACTGGAATTTCTTAACTTATATGGTGGTAACTAATGAGAACTTTAAGCAATATTCCAATAGCCTTTTAAGCAAGCCTTAAAAATGTTGCCACAAAAGACTTCGATGATACCCATAAACTTACTTTGAATTTCGGGGCCCTTTCTCGACGTATTTGCCCGGGCCCTAAATTTGGAGCCAGTCAGCCCCTGGTCAAAGAATGCGGTATATCGTGAAATGACGTCCCTGACGATACATAAACGTAACTTTAAGCATTTTTCGAATTGACACCAAACCACCTGTAACAAACTGGGCGTAGTCCAGCCCAGGTATGGGAGTAGAACAGTTTCTGATTCTATAAAAAATTGCCAATGCTTTCTTACTGTTGGTCACGAGCAATCTTTTCAAATAACTTTTCGTTTTTTCGCAACTTTATTTTGACGTTTTATACTTTGAGGAATGTCATTTTCAAATTTTGTACCACCAAACAAAATTTTCAAACAACTTCTTATTCAATTTTGAAATTGACCTGTCTTTCAATGTATATTTACATTATATTTACGATATTTACAAAACGTAAAATTGTATTTTGGAAAAATAACAGGTCGTACTGCAAAATTAGATAAATGTGAGCAAGTTTAGTGATCAAAAGTATTGCACAGGCTGAAACAGAAATGGCCGCACCGCAGCAAAAAATTTTAGCGAACCAAAATTCAAGTGACCATAGCAAGTTTCATAAAAGTTATAAGATGACAATTTAAAGTGAATATGTTAGAACATTTATCAAGGTTTCATGGTGAAAATAGTAAATGCAAGAATACTCTTGATTTTTGCCTATTTCCAAACAATATGAACATGTCGCAAAATCACAACAATTGAGTCATGATGATTGAAGTACCTGTAAAACATTTGCAATAAAAAAGTTCATCTTTGCACAAAATTGCAATATCTTATTACCCTGAACTCTGGGGGTACTTACTTTATGTTTGAGTGTCGAGAACTGCTCATTTTCCTCACTTTTGTTGGAGAATCTGCTAAAAGTTCTAGTCGGAAATTCAAGAGCCGCAAAGGGCCTGAACGCAGCGGCCGCCTCGTGATATGTTGCAGCAAAATTCAATCAATAAAACCTCTAACAAATAGTTAAGTAAATCTTTTCCGACCGATTGCGATTTTGTAATGGAAACAAATAGTGAGGAAAATCGCGTAAAAAAACATTTCGTCCTTTTCTTAAAAAGAAAATACCAAAATACATTCATGACCTCGGATATAACAAACACTTTTTTCATTAGAAACAACCTGCAACGGTTAGAAGTACCTTCGGAACATCACTAAAGGTGTTTTTGATGAATTTATAGGCTATATTTTGCAAAACATGAACAAGTCATTTTTGAAAAAATCAATGACCCCGGACCTATAAAAAAATTTAAAAATCTGATAAATCTGACAAAAAAATACTTCACTCGATACAACCTGCAACGGTTAGAAGTACCTTCAGAACCTCAATAAGAGTGTTTTCGATGAATTTATAGACCATATTTTGCAAAAGATGAAATAAGTCATTTTTGTTTCGTGAAACATTCAAATTCAAAAAATTCAAAAATCTGTAAAAAACATGTAAAACCATTGACCTGTAAAAAAAGTCAAAAAGCTGAAAAATTTGAAAAAAGTTTTTGTCAGTCGAAACAACCTGAAATACGTGAAAATTCGTTCCGAACAACATTTCAAGCGTTTTCGATGAATTTTCAGCTCATATTTTGGAAAAATCGAACAAGGTAATTTTTTGAAAAAACTCATGACCCCGGACCTGTAAAAAAGTTCAAAAATCTGAAAATTTTGAAAAAATTTGTTTTGACCCAAAACAACTTGAAATACGTAAAATTTTGTTCCGAACAACATTTCAAGCGTTTTCGATGAATTTTCAGCTCATATTTTGGAAAAATCGAACAAGGTCATTTTTTGAAAAAACTCATGACCCTGGACCTGTAAAAAAGTTCAAAAATCTGAAAATTTTGAAAAAATTTGTTTTGACCCGAAACAACCTGAAATACGTAAAATTTTGTTCCGAACAGCATTTCAAGCATTTTCGATGAAATTCTAGCTCATATTTTGGAAAAATCGAACAAGGTCATTTTTTGAAAAAACTCATGACCCCAGACCTGTAAAAAAGTTCAAAAATCTGAAAATTTTGAAATTTTTTTTTCACTCAAACAACCTGATACAGTAGTGTCCCGCATATAAGAAACAACATTTTCAGTTTCAGGTCTGATGAGTTTCTTATAAAATGAGATATAAATTTCCAATCAGGGTAAATGTTTCTTAAGTTTCTTATTAGAAAAACCAAGCACTATCAGTGAACTAGTCAGACACAAGCTCTATGATTGTCCTTGATTTTCATACAAAACAGACCATTTTGATTTGTATTAGTAAATCTTTACTTCCAAGAAAAGACACAATTATTCCAGTGCTTTTTGCTTCATTTGCATGCAAAATTTTTGTTTTCATTTCAATAGGTACAGTTCGAGTCAACTGTAAGGCTGATAACAAAAGATTCTTATGGTCAAGGATTGTAAAGCCCCACTTGTTTATCTTTATATACAGTTTATCCTCATTTCCAGGAAAAGCTTCAGTTTTCCAGGAAGTTTGCTTGCTTGGAATACGGCTCAATACAGTACAATACAGAATACAGTACTTCAATGTTGCTTTTATGTCTAATAATCTTTCAGTTTTCCCCTTCAATTTGAGTCACATTCCTCACTTCAAGGACTAGTTGTAGCTTGCTCCTAAGGCTTCTAAGATAGGGGAATGTCCCAGAAAACTTTATGTCAATTGGAACTTCCAGTCCCATTCCAGTTTCTGCATTGAAACGACATCCAATCACTTCTGCTTCTGCTTCCCTACCATCAGAAATAAATGTGTGGACTAGTTTTGCAATTTCTATAGGCAAATGACCAACAGTTTCTTCATCAGAAGTTTGTACTACAACAGCAAACTCATCATATTCATTGTCAGGTTCCTCTTGGCAAAACAGCTTTTCTCCCAGTGTTAAGCAAATGTCTTTGTACACATGGTATCCTCTTAAACTTGTCTCTCCATAAAAATGAAATGCCATCATGCAGGTATCAAAGTAAGCACCATTAAAAAATCAGTGGTAATTTAAAATTTAAGCTGCATTCGTCTGTCCAACTTATCTTGCAGCTGCTAATTATACTAACTACCTCAGACCCTGACCCAGATAACTGGTGGTAGCCTTTTTTAGCGAGCCTCGTTTCCATGTGGTTGCATGAAAACCATGCCTTGCCTCTTCCGCGATCTGCAGCAAAGAAATGTCGAAGAAGGTTCAACCTACACTGGCACATTTTAATTTTCAAAGATTCATTCGAACTCCAAAAGGAACTGATTTTGAAGTTAAAATTCCAAATTTTGCTACAGAGAAGAATGTTGTCTGCTGCAGTTGCAAGAGGAAGTTTTCTAATGAACAGTACCTCAAACAGCACAAAGAAACAAGCAAGAAATGCTCCAGCTCAATTGCCTTTGGACCTCAGCAAGAAACTTTGTCTGTGACTCCATGTAGTACCGGAACATTCAGAGCCACTGATGAAAGTGGTACCTTAACTGTACCAGACACAGTCACAGATTTACACTCAAGACCAAAGGAGAAATCAAAATTAGATAAGGGTACCAACAAAAAACAGCAATCAGGAAAGCGGAGATCATACACAGTGTGCTTTAAAGCTAAAGTTATCAAAGACCTGAATAATTTGCCTTGCTCTCAAAAAGGAAAACTGCAGATAATAGCTAACTTGCATCATGTCTCCAGGGGGCTTGTTTGTAAATGAAAAAAAGATGAAGCAAAGATTATGAAGGCATGGGAAGAGTCAAGGAGCAAAGTATTAGGTGGAAGGAGACAGAATGGAAGCAGAAGCGCCAGATCAAGAAGAAAGATACGTCAACCAGCAAAATCTCATTTTCAGTTGGCAGAAGAAAAGACCAAGGAAGAGCTTTTGATTGCAAGAGGAAAGGTTGCAAAAGTAGGGGATAGATGGATCCGTACTAGAATGGGAAAATACATTAGAAAGTTTTATGGCAATAAAAAGGCTGATTCCTTTAAAGCTAGCCCCAACTGGATGTTTTCTTTCAAAAAACGGCATGGTATATCTTTACGGAGAAAGACCAACAAGAAGAAACAAGGCAGCCATGAAATGCTGCCTGTCATTCAGGCTTTTCATCAGCAATTGAGGAGCGACCTAAATTCTTGCAGACGCCGAACAAACATGGTAAATCATAAGAAATGGGGAAGGTGGGTGCCTGAAAGGAGATTTAATGTAGATCAAGTGCCTCTTCCCTTTGTTGTAGACCAAGGAATGACTTATGATCTTAAAGGAAGCACTTCTGTGTGGATTAGCCAATCTGCCAGTGGACTTGATCGAAGACAATGCACACTCCAACTTTGCATACAACCTACAGAGAAGCAGAATGTTCCTCCTGCAATTATTTTTCGGGGTAAAGGTAATGTTAAACCAGCTGAATTGCAATCATATGACAAACGTGTTCACATATATTGGCAGGATAATGGGTGGATGGATAGTGCTGTTGCCACTCAATGGGTCAAGAATACTTTTGGACCAGCCATAGATAAAAGCCATGAAAATGTTCTTTTTCTTGACAATCTGTCCTGCCAATGCACAAAAGATTTTCACAGTATTTGTAGGGAAGAAGCTAACACTCTTATGAGTTTCAAGCGTTTGAAAAAAGACTACAACATTTCAAGCGTTTGAAAAAACTCATGACCCCGGACCTGTAAAAAATTTCAAAAACCTGAAAATTTTGAAAAAATTTGTTTTGACCCGAAACAACCTGAAACA